GACAAGGGCAGGCTTCAGCGGGTCATCCGCTCTGCAGAAAGGGTGATCGGCTGCAATCTGCCGTCCCTGCAGGACTTGTTCGCTTCCAGGTCTCTGAAGCGAGCTAAAAAGATCGCGGCCGACCCCTCCCACCCCGGACATAAACTGTTTGTGCCCCTTCCATCTGGCAGGAGGCTGAGGTCCATCAGGACTACGACCTCCCGCCACACGAACAGTTTCTTCCCGTCGGCAGTCGGGCTCATCAACAGAGCCCGGTCCCCCACCGCCTGACTATAACACTCCACCGGTCACTCCCCCTCATACTGCACATGTCACTTTAACTGCAATTCATCACTTTGTCACTTGTCACTTTGTCTCTTGTCTGTTACTTGTTTGTTAGTGCACTTTATGCTTAATATTTTTCAACTTTTTAATATTTAAAATTTGTTTAACTTTATTCCCCTGTTTTATACTAACCCATAGCCTTAGCCTTATTCTTACTAACCCATTGCATTAGCATTTCATTCCACTTTATTTTATTACCTGTGCACTGTTGTCTTGTCTGTCTACTGTCGCGCACTAACCGCCAAGACAAATTCCTTGTATGTTTGACATATTTTGGCTAATAAATGTTTCCTGATTCCTGATTCCTGACTGTCATTAGTATGCGGTGGCCCAATGACAGATCACCTTGGCTGGAGCAAAGTCAGTCCCAGAAAGCTCTGTCTTCATATAAAAACACCGTCTCAGCTGGCAAAAGAATATATGTTTGGGGTCCGTGGTTAGGGAATCATATTTAGAGGTATTTAGTTTGAGGCGGCATTTTGCCGTGGATGGACTGCTGCGTGACTTGATGCACCAGAGTTAAGGAGATTCAGAGCAGAGAAGTGTGCGGCCTGAAGAACAATACACAGGTTTGCCAAAGAAAGAAAAGGTTTGTCCTCACAACATTTAAACTCGTCACTTCCCGGCAATTTTTTCCAGGCGTTTTAATTAGACACCGCAACGCGAACGTGTGATCAATCAAAACACCTGTGGAACCGACCTCCCCACTGCAGCCTTTAAAGCTGGAGGTGAGCAACATCAGAGAAACCAGCAAGAGTATGCTAACGTTAACGCTAACCGTTCCAATGAATGTAGCTAGCAACGCTAGATAGATAGATACATAGCTACAATTTAGCATCAGCACTGACAGCCAGTCAATTTCAGGCCTCCGAAGCCACGCCCCCAAAAGTACCGTGATTAAACACACAAACGGTTGTTGTTAGCATCCATCGCGTTAAGCTAGCTAGTGTTAGTAGTCAAATGTAAAATGGACTTATTAAAACTGCCTCAGAGACCAGATTCTTTTTCACGAATAAAATGAGAATTTAGACAAATATAACTATTATAAAATTAAAAAAATGTAGCTTTATATCAGCGTTGTTCAGTAAATTCTTTCATGTACTGAAAATGTGTACTGTTGTGTTCAAAAATGAAGAAACGCCGGACGGACAGAGGTCATCGCTGATCAAAAGGTTAAAATCAAATGTATTTAATAAAGGAGATGGCGTTGCGGTAAAAAGAACATCTCAGCTGAGGAGCCGCTGGTCTCAGCAACCAACAGGCCCCAGGCAGTCCTTTGACCATCCCTAGTGCCCCTCTGTTGCCTCCACCAGCGAACTCTAGAACAATGGTTCCTACAGGTATTTATACCAATGCTTAAAGGTGTGAAAGTTACACCTCTGGGAGTGGTCTTCCGGTGAGTTCAATGTAAATCGGATTTCGAATGATCCTTAGTCAATATCAGTTGTTCAAGTATTACATGCATGCATTCCAGTTGATTACATTACATCAAATACTATCATAACTGTACATTGGTATTATTCTAGTACAGTTTCAGAATTACAGTGGTTTTACAATATTGTCATTACTTTATTGATTACAGTTTCAGAATCATGGCTGTATTCTGGTGTACACTATATGCATTTTTATTAATTTTATGGACCGGGTCGTATATTTGTTTCTAATATCCTACAGTACTCAAGTACAAGTACTGTTACATTGCTTAAATTATACTCAATTACAAGTAAAAGTACTAGTGTTAAAAAAAGACTTAAGTAAAAGTTCAAGCTCGCCAGGCCAGGTACTGTATGTGTACTACAGCTTACATACTAGCTGTAGTACACATTCCACGCCCAGATACTACTTGTTGTTACAGCCTACATGCGCAAAGTCTGCAACTTCTGTCAGAGCAACGGATTTTGCGGGGCTTGCTAAAAAAAAGACACGCCAGACAGTCGCGGTGTGCACGGAGGGGAGGGGCTGTGTGTGTGTGTGTGTGTGTGTGCGCGCGCGCGCGTGTGTGTGTGTGTGCGTGTGTGTGTGAGACGCGTGAGTGACAGAGACGGAGGGAGAGCAGGGAAAGGAAATGCAGCTGAACGAATACGCTGCGTGAATAGCGTTAAAAACAAACAAACACCAACGCAATGTGCGGCGGCCGTTGCCTAGCAATGATGACGACGTTGATGACGTCGTGGTCACCTGGCATTCCTTTGCTCTTTAGAACGTGCACTCACTAGAGGCTCACACTTCTATCCGGTCAGTTCTAATTGTTGAAACAGGTTTCAAGCACAGTCGCGATGTTTTCTTGTCTCAATAAGCTATTGATGGCCGACCGAAATAATGCAGAAAATACACAGAGGACAGAGGAGATGCAGGACATCAAATGTAGTGTGGTGCTACAGATCAACTATTTCTTCGACAGGTTGACAGAGGAACCGTGGAAAAAGTTAAAGAACGGCATCCCAGACGACACCACTGAAATTCAGATAGGAGAACTGCTTTTAAATATAATAATAACCTTATCCAGAGCCTTCTTCGAAACTGTAAAGAACAGAATCAAGGTGTCTGAAAGAGAAGTCCAAGCTGCTTTAGGTGACATGGTGACGCAATGTTTCAGAGATGTTCTGAAAGTGGAAGGCAAAGTCAAATGTAAAAGCTCAAAACGCTTGAATGTACGCATATGTAGAGAGGTTGCAGAAACTGTCAATTCTGTCCCCGGGGATGTACAGGATTTGACCCCACGCCACATCCCTCCCCCCAGAAGACTCTGCAAAATGGTTTATCATGCCGTAAAAATGATGTATGTATTCATTGCAAAGATGAACCGGGTGTACACACCTCGAGTACGAAGAAAGAGAACGACTTTCAGCGAAAAGCTGGTGATAGTCAACCTGGATGGGAGCGATGATGAGTCCTCAGACATTGTTGAGGAGTTAGAGAAGCAGGAGAATGTCCCATCAGACGGCCAGACGGATAAAATAAGCAATGTATATCTGGAAGCCGAAATTCTGAGAGCGGGGTGCAAGACCATGGATCCTTTCTTGGTGGACATGTCAGACACGCAATTAAAAACGTTTGAACATTACAGCTCCTTCAGAAAATCTGTTCCTCCGGCAGTTCTTGAAGAATGGCACAGATCGGAGGGCACAGATGTCTTTCTACAAGCCAAACTCAGGATGTTTTATTCAGTTTTATTTGTTGAAACGTGGCTGAATCACATACTGGAACAACTGAAGAAAAATTTCAGGAATGACATCAAAGTAAATTGCCTCCCCCTTTTGGACATGGAAGACATTATCGCCAAGCTGCTGATGTGGGGAAATAATAAACCAGAGCCTAATAATTGGGAGTTTAAATTTAAATTGATGAGAATCACACAGGAGCTGACCAACATTCTCTTCAGACACTTGACAGGCAGTCCGCCGCCAGAGATCGCCCCAGGAGCACAGAGAGGAGATTCTGAAGGCGGCGCGAGCGGGTCCCAGTCACATGTTTACCTGTACAATGAGATAAGGTACAAAGTGTGGAGCTTCATGGGGCTGTTCAAGTACTGGCAGAACTATAAGGCTTACAGGGTGGCTCAAGAGACCAGAGACCGTTTAAAGTTAAAAACTTCTGCAAAACCTGCAGAGGACAACACAGAGAAATGCTCCATTTGCATCATCCTGTCCGCGATATGGGACGGCACAGTAAGGATGTGGCGCTCCTTTGTCAATGGGGACGTGGAAGTTGAAGATTACATCTTCAACTCCAAGGATCATGAGACACCATCAAAAGAGGAGAACAGAGAAGCTGAGAGCCTCAGCTGGGTTGGCCGAGCCATCCACAACTTTAGGAGAGGAGACAAGGTCTCACCACTTAAGTGAAGGCAAGCAAGGCAATTTTCTTCGTATGGCACATTTCAACAACAAGGCAATTAAAAGTGCGTCACATAAAACCATTAAAAACATCCATTTCAGAAATGGTCAATTAAGCAGCAAACAGAAAAAACTATACTAAACCAAGTTTAGTTTGTTTGAGAACAACACTACATTGATAATTTCCAGATCATCCAGTTTCCTCTATGAAATCACATTTAAAGTGTTAAATCTTAATCTGTTGCATCCCTGTTATAGTACCAGCAGAGGGAGTAAGTACCAAAGAAAACTAAACTCTGACTCTTGCTCTTCCCTTTAACACACTGCAGAAGATGGACAACCACCACTACCAACAACTGCTATTAAATTGATACAACAGACAATACAATTATTAGGTGGTTATTATTTGATATTCAATTTACTTTCCCGATATTGATAACGTTTCTTTTGACCATGAAGAAATTAATGAGCAGCTGTAAGTTTTGAGTATGACCATCATGAGGTCACATGCCCTATTTAATTTCACTTATGTTTTCATCTGACAGCAATGACTGTAATTATAATTACAGACACCAAGAGGCTAAACAAGTGAACCCACAAACCTTAGACATTTTCCCAAGATTTGGATAACAATTGGTCCTCATATGACACACGTACATACTGTATGTGTTTAAAATACCTTGTGTAAATCTAAGACGATTATCTTTTGCAACAACTCTTTGTTACTACAAGGCTAGGTTATTATTTTCTTACAGAAACAATTTAAGATTATGCGATTAGAGTTTTATTGTGAAACAAATCCTCTTATGTGTGTTAACAGAGACCTTGCAACCAAAACAGTGCCATTCGATAAAGAACCTCATCGGAGAAGGAGGTTTCGCTCAACAACCTTCACCCTCCATCTACTCACTTTTTGTTTGACTAAACTGACAGAAATGGCCAAACTTATCTTCTTGGTGGCACCTCTACTAGTATTGGGAAATATTGCCTTCATCCATGCTGGGTTTGCCCCCAACGTCATTATTGATATGGCAAAAATCGTCATCGACAATTACTGCTCACCCGAGAAGCTGGCGGGGATGAAGGAGGCTATCGAAGCAGCAGGCAGCAACACAGAGGTTCTTAGCATTCCAGACGCTGAAACCTTGGCTAATGTACTCAGTGCTGGAGTTCAGACTACAGTCAGTGACCCACGTTTGATGATCTCTTATGAGCCAAACTATGTCCCAGTGGTTCCACCAAAGATGCCTCCCTTGCCCCCTGACCAGGTAATTGCGGTCCTGCAGACGTCGATCAAGCTTGACATCCTGGAGGGAAACATCGGCTACCTAAGGATCGATCACATCCTCGGAGAGGATGTTGCTGAGAAGGTTGGTCCTTTGCTCCTAGACCTGGTCTGGAATAAAATCCTGCCTACCTCAGCGCTCATCTTTGACTTGCGCTACACCAGCAGCGGAGACATCTCAGGAATCCCCTACATTGTGTCATACTTCACAGAAGCCGGAACTCCGATTCACATTGACAGCATCTACGATCGTCCATCAAACACCACCACTAAGCTGTTTTCTATGTCAACACTGCTGGGGGAAAGATACAGCACAAGCAAACCCCTCATTATTCTCACCAGCAAAAACACCAAGGGCATTGCCGAAGATGTTGCATACTGCCTCCAAAACCTGAAGAGGGCCACCATTGTGGGAGAGAAGACCGCTGGGGGTTCAGTGAAAGTTGATAAAATCCAAGTAAGGGACACAGGCTTCTACGTTACCGTGCCAACTGCAAAGTCCGTCAACCCTATCACTGGCTCCACCTGGGAGGTTACAGGTGTGACCCCTAATGTGGAGGTCAACGCCGAGGATGCCCTCGCTACCGCCATCAAGATTGTCACCCTCCTTAACCGAGTTCCAGCCATCATTGAGGGATCAGCGACCCTGATTGCTGACAACTACGCCTTTGAAGATATCGGCGCTGCTGTTGCAGAAAAGTTGAAAGGGCTTCTGGCGAACGGCGAGTACAGCAAGGTTGTCTCCAAGGACAGTTTGGAGATGAAGCTGTCAGCTGACCTGAGGACTCTGTCCGGGGACAAGAGCCTGAAGACCACCAGCAACGTCCCAGCCCTGCCACCCATGGTGAGCCTCTTGTTCATAAGAGTGTGGTCTTTTGGTGTCACTTGTTAATGTTAAAACACAGATATTTAATGGGTGCATTTTTACACTTGCATAAAATTATCCAGTCTTTAAAAAAAATCTATTATTTATTATGTATTTGTAAATGTTTTTGAGCTGCATTCAATGCAACATATTATATGTTAATATTATGGAGGATATAAGGTAAATATTATACACTTGGAAACATGTCTACTACGCAGCAATTCAAATATATTTAATATGTGAATTCTATATGGGGAATTATGATTAAATATAATACATTAACTCATATATTCATATACAGTATAATACAACAAATACTGGTGTTGTTTTTTTACCTACAGAATTATTCTCCAGAGATGTACATTGAGCTGATCAAAGTCTCCTTTCACACTGACGTATTTGAAGACAACATTGGATACCTGCGCTTTGACATGTTTGGAGACTTTGAGGAGGTCAAGGCCATCGCCCAGATTATTGTTGAGCACGTGTGGAACAAGGTTGTGAACACTGATGCTATGATCGTTGACCTCAGGTGGGTGATACAGTGCCACAGAGAGCTTCTATGCAAGATGCTGTGTGTGAGTGTCCATTTTGGATAACAAATTAGTGCATTAGTGTAGTCATTTTTCATATTTAAAAATATGTACCGCTAATAATTAATTTTAAAATCCAGCCAACGTGAAATTACATTGAATGACCTTCATTGCTGCCTGCGCAGATTCATGTTTCACAAAGGACCATTCATTTCATCAGGAGCCTAACCTTCTATACTTGTTTTGCTACTGTTCGTTGCAGGAACAACATTGGTGGCCCAACAACTGCCATTGCAGGCTTCTGCTCTTACTTCTTTGACAGCGACAAGCAGATTGTGCTGGACAGGCTGTACGACAGACCATCCGGGACCACCACAGAGCTCCGGACCCTGCCTGAACTCACCGGTAATTACCAAAAATAAGTCAAGTCATATTAACACGAAGGTTTATGAGAAGATAGTGAACATAGCAAATATCTTTAATAGGAGTTGGTGGTGCATGGTCACCATTTAAGTATCATTCTTTCCTTTCATCATCATCCTCTTAAGTTTGTTTTTTGTATAGCTATGAAGCTGTTTGAATGCTTTGTTTGAATAAGAGATGGGTCTGTTTGCCTCTTTGGCAAAGTCAATGCATCTTTGGTGAAGAGGAGCGCTTCATTGTGTTACACGTTCACCGTTCACCTTTTTCTGTAATTTGATAATTGTACCATTTTGTTCATCTGTGACTCCTTTTCCACTTCTATCGTTCAACGTTGACCCCTTTTCACTACCCAGTCGTCACTGGTAGACTTTACATTTTTTTCAGTTTTAAACCTGTTCTACCTCCATGCCATCCTCTTCCTAAGGCACAAGGTACGGCTCCAAGAAGAGTCTGGTCATGCTGACCAGCAGAGCAACCGCTGGCGCCGCAGAAGAGTTTGTTTACATCATGAAGAAACTCGGCCGCGCTATGATTGTCGGAGAGACCACCGCCGGGACTTCCCACCCACCAAAAACCTTCAGAGTTGGTGAGACCGACATCTTCCTCAGCATCCCCACTGTCCACTCTGACACTGCCGCCGGGCCAGCCTGGGAGGGAGCTGGCGTCGCACCTCACATACCCGTCCCAGCTGACGCCGCCCTCGAGACTGCCAAGGGTATCTTCAAAAAGCACTTTGCAGGCCAGAAATAAGCAGCGTCCTCAGAAAACCCAGGGGGAGGGTTCACCCATCACTTTTGGTTGAACCCCACTTTTGCTCTGGCCAAATAGATTTAAAGATTTACAATTAAGAATTGTTTGAGAAGTTGAAGAATGTAGATTGCCTACAGTAGAGTGTAATCTGCCATTCATTTAGTCAAAACTTAAGCCTTTTTAGGACCGGTAGTAAAGTAGAGCAAAGGTACAACAGTATTTCTGGTGAATGTTACTCTGGCTAGAGTAAACCAATTATTTTGTGAAATGGGTATGAAGAGTTCTGTGTGAAATACCAGTTATAACTGCCTCAATTTTGACATGTCCCATGTAAGAGATTGGAAACAAATTAAGTACAAATACTCACAAATGATCATTGCTACTCTTGTATTTTGTTGGATTTTTGGAATTGGGAACTCTGTGAAGTGACAAAGTTGTTGCTATGGTCAGAAATGAGGATCATGCGATGTCCTCTTCGTGTATGGGTAAATACATGAATTATGCCACGTGGGTCTGCTTAGGTGGTATTATTTCTTGTGGTGAGACACAATAAAAAAACACAAATACAAGTGTCTGTTGGTCATGTTTTACACAAGAGGCATCAAACAAAAATATCAGTTGTACCATTCCAGAAGTTCTTTTTAATTTATTGTGTATCTATTCTACACTGTAGAGCAAGACGGTTCCTTTTTCTTTTGTGTTATAAGATACAACTGTCAGTTACACCTTAAACCAACAACTAGGCAGGGCAAACAAACAAAGTAAAAATGATGCATTTAGCTCACCAACAAAGAAATAACATGAAGGACTCCTGGATGAGTTTTGGTACCCGAAGGAAAAATCCTATAGATTAGCAATAGAAGTCTTGAATTGTTTTTTATATATCGTTTTTTTAAAGGACCATGTGTTTTTTATGTAAAATACAAATAAAAATAAATAAGAACCCATTTTTTGCACCGTTAAGAGAGTAAACTTTTATATCAAAGTGTGGCAGGGGTTAAAAAGGGGCCCTGAAGCTCATTTGTAGCCTGGGCCACCTTGGCAGGTCATTTCAGCATCACTTACAGAGATAAAGAAGATGGTCCAGGGAACAGACAAATAATGTGCTTTCTATATCTATATCTATAGATATATATATATCTATAATGTGGCATCATGATGAAGGCAGTTTAGATTAGGATTAACAAGTTATTAAGTTATGTTATAACGCAAGAGCATCGTATTTCTCATCATTAATAGAGAAAAATAAAAACAACTCCAGGTTTCTCTTCAGCCCTGTAGCCAGACTGAGAGTCACAGCTCTGTTGAGCCATGTATTCCTTTGGACCTCACCAGTAACGACTTCATGAACTTCTTCAATGATAAGATTCTGACTATCAAAGAGAAAATTGATGGTCTCCTGCCTTCAACCAGTGCCGACCTGTCCTCAGATGTAGGAACCTTGGATGCAGCAGTGGGCCCTGATGCCTGTTTGGATGCCTTCTCTTCCATCAACCTTGATCAACTGACTTCTTTATTTTCAAAGTCTAAATCTTCTACTTGTCTCTTGGATCCGATTCCGACCAAGCTGCTTAAGGAAGTTTTTCCTTTAGTTAGCACATCCTTATTAGATATTATGAATCTGTCTTTGTAGACAGGACATGTACCACAGTCCTTCAAGGTAGCTGTAATTAAACCTCTTCTTAAGAAACTGTCTTGGAGACATCAAAACTTGGATGACCGGCAACTTCCTGATGCTAAACTCAGAAAAAACAGAAGTTATCCTGATAGGCCCAGAGCGCCTTCGAAGCCAGCTGTCACGTGATACAGTTTTTATGGATGGAATTGCTCTGGTACCCAGCAGCACCGTCAGGAATCTGGGAGTTCTCTTCGACCAGGATATGACCTTCAACTCGCATATAAAGAAGACTTCAAGGACTGCCTATTTTCATCTACGTAACATATCAAAAATCAGGAACTTTCTGTCTCAAAGTGATGCAGAAAAATTAGTTCATGCGTTTGTCACTTCCAGACTGGACTATAGACTGTAATTCTTTGTTATCGGGCTGCTCTTGTAAATCTCTTAAGCCTCTCCAGTTGATTCAGAATGCTGCAGCACGTGTATTAACAAGAACTAAGAAAAGGGATCATATCACTCCTGTATTAACTTCTCTGCACTGGCTCCCTGTTAAATCAAGAATAGATTTTAAGGTACTTCTCCTCACCTACAAGGCACTTGCTGGTGAGGCACCGTTGTATCTTAAAGAGCTTGTAACATCTTATTGCCCTACAAGGCAGCTGCGCTCCATAGATGCTGGGTTACTTGTTGTTCCTATGGTTTTAAAAAGTAGGCTGGGGGCCAGAGCCTTCAGTTATTGTTACGACCCCCGGTCTTGTCTGTGTTCTGTGTGTGTGATAACCCTCCTCAGGTGGAGCTAATTGTCTTCATTACTCATCCGCCCTCCCGTGATCTCCTACAGCTGGTTCCTGTTTTCCCATCCTCCAATCGCATCGTCCCATCAGCTGTATTTATGTGTTTCTGGTTGTTCAGTCCAGACATCTCTCAGGCCGGGTGTAAGGTTGTGTTTGGGGTGCTCTTGCTCTTGTGAAATTGGTTGTACATGGTGGAGTGTTTTTGGAGTATTGAAAGTATTAATCATTTGTATTTCGTGTGTCCTTCCCAGGGAGAACGGAAAGCACTTGGGAGTGTTAGGAAAGACGCCCTGGGCATACATCACCCGTAGGGATATCTCCTGTTATACACACCAGGTTAGATCTGAGCGATCCACCCCCTGTATTTTTGGTTAGGGCGCCTTGCTCGAGCGCCAGAGTAAATAAGTGTTTTGTGTAGGACGTTGGGACAGGTAAGGGGTGGGGTTTTGCTAATTTCTTTGTTTTGGATCAGCTCAGCCGTCCTCCCATTTCCCTCTATTGTTTATTATTATTATTATTATTAATAAACTGGCACGTGCTATAGCCTGTTTAAACCAGACCCATCGATGTTGGTGTGATTACTTGCGCCCACACCCGGTCTCTGGCCGTCTGGGGTTCTGGGCAGCGCGGTGTATGTTCCCCCTCCCCTCACGGGGTGCTGTACGAACGTAACAGTTATCAAGCTCCTCTTTTGTGGAACCAGGTTCCACTTTCAGTCCGGGGGGCAGATTCGGTCCGCTCTTTTAAAGTAAAACTTAAAACTTTCCTCTTTGATTTTGCTTATAGTTAGGGCTGGCTCAGGTTAGCCCGGACCAGCCCTTAGTTAAGCTGCTATAGGCTTAGACTGCAGGGGGACTTCTTAGGACACACCAAGCTCCTCTCTCACTTTCTCGTTTTACCATAATTCACGTTTTATTAATGCACATGACTAATTCAGCTTCTTTCCGGGAGTTTTTTTGTGCTTTCTCCCCTAGCAGGTCTCCGTAGATCGTGGTTCCTTCTGGACCCTGGTCCTGACACCTGCCGTGGCCCTGCTGACGCCTGCTGCTGCCATCATCATCATCATTATTATTTTAGATATTAATTATATTACTGTACTCGTAAACCAACATTACCCTCTCCTAAAGTCTCTGTGCTCTCCCTCCCCACAGGCTTCTGTGGATGGTGGTTCTATCTGATGGTGGTTGCCCCTGCAGTGGACCCTTTTCTGGCCGAGATTTGCCCAAAAGGTCACAAACAAAAAACGTCATAAACCGAGCGAGAAACCACTTCGAACTGGATTGTTGTGTACATGAGATACATGAATACTTTGCACCTTTTAAAACATTAGTCTTGGCTACAATCTACACTAATTTGTTTGAAGATACTCCAAACACAACTCCAACAAGTTAGTAAATATGTATATACATTTTTGCAAAGTTTTAGGGCTTTCTGCCAAAAGTAACCTTTTCTGGTTTTATTGGTGACTTTTCGGGTGTCTGACGTGAAAGCACGAATTGTTCTGCATTAACTGTCCTCAGAGAGACGGTCTCACAGGAGCCTCACACAGAGAGGAGACCCACACGTCGCCTCAAGACTGAAAATGAAGCATGCAAAGCACAAAACCGCCGCTGATCTTACAGCGTCTTCCCTTGCTGAGGACTTGACAACACTGGTTCGGTAAAGTTGGCAAAATATTCACAGATTCGGACTTCCCGGTTCAATAACTCGTCAAAGACGCGTTGTCAAAACACAAAGCCCACATCTCTGCAGCTGGATCTGTGTCCTTTTACTGTACTGTGACTTTTTCTCCCTTCATTTTTTTAGTGGCCGAAATGGGCTTCCATAGGCTCAAGAGTCTCAACTAAAACCATAAAACTGATTTACGAACGGTGACCTGTCGTAAAAAGAAAGGCCGTTTTCTAAAAATATGGCTCCGTCCGTTGTGACACCTACGAATGGCCACAGACATACTGACACTTACTGACGACTGCCACCACAGACTTACTGACAACTGCCACTGACTTACTGAGACTTACTGACGACTGCCACTGACTTACTGAGATATACTGAGGGCCGCCACTGACTTACTGAGACTTACTGACGACTGCCACTGACTTACTGAGACTTACTGACGACTGCCACTGACTTACTGAGACTTACTGACAACTGCCACTGACTTACTGAGACTTACTGACAACTGCCACTGACTTACTGAGACTTACTGAAGACTGCCACTGACTTACTGAGATATACTGAGGGCCGCCACTGACTTACTGAGACTCACTCAGTGACTATTGCCTGCAGAGCTACTGTGAGGATCTGTCCCGACATAAATGGACACATTGGTGTTATTACTAATTCATGCTTCAACATACATGCCACTTCATATGATCTCATAACAATCATCGCACCCTTCGTCTTCCGAGGGAGGTGCAAAATGGCCCGTTTTCTCTCTTTCACTCTCCTCCTAGTCGGAAACATGAAACCTGGTCCATGTGCGCCAAGTCCGTCCTCCGCGCTCCCGGTTCCTTCAGCGCCAAATCTGCTCCGCATTATCAGGCTTTGTTTGGCTTTCTCGGACCAGCGTGGACACTGATAGGGAACTTCTTTTCTTCTTTTTCCTTTACCAACCGCACTTTGATTTGATCATTTGAGCCATTCTCTCCTTGACGCGTGGTCTGGATCTCCCTGCTACCCGCACGTGGATCCGGAGTCTTTCTCTCATTCCATCTCTCTCTCCAGCTGACGATGCGCGAGGTTACGGTGGTAAACTAAACTCAAAAATCAAAAGAGACGCGGAATCACTGCCTGCATCCTTCATTCTGTCTCTGTTGCCTCTCCTCGTCTTTAATATAACGCTGTCTCTGCGATGTAAAAATACACTTTTTTTTCTTCTTTTTTTTGTATCCACGAAGGATTTAACCTTTTTTTTCCCGAGGAAAATTAGTTATGGAGACAATGAAGTTGAGCATGCGTTTTGTTCTGGTTTTATTCGGATTATTTTTGCTCTGTTCTCCATCTGCGAGAGCCGAGCCGGAGCAGCAGGAGGAAGAGGAGGAGGAGAGCTCATGTCAGGGCGCCTTCGACCTGTACTTTGTGCTTGATAAGTAAGTGGAAACAGCTTCATTAAAACATAGCAATATTGTACTTATGCACCATGCATTTACTTTTCCACCTCCTCAGACAGCATCTAAGACGCTGGAGAGGAGGCTGATTTACAGAGTACAGCTTGCTGAATAAGCAAAAAGAACTCTAGTGACTTTTGATGCAACACTGACATCTCTATTTCTCTGCAGATGTAAAAAACACTGTTTCTTTCCCCACATCATTTGTTCCTTTCCCCAAGAAAGAAAAAACGTGTAACCGTCCAGAGGCAAAGAAGCTGTTATTTCTTCCCCTTACTCACTCTCTTTGTTCAGTGTCGGTCCACTTTTTCATTTCCACCGTACGCCCACATAGGCTGGACTCTAGCCCCTAAAAAAATACTTTAAAAACATGGGAAACTAGAAACGATCTATGCAGCTTTATAGCATTCAAGCCCAGAATGTTAAACACTGTGACCCGTGTGATGGGGAACCTGCATAAAGAAGGAGCCTCTATTGTGAGCATTTAGAAACTTTATTACTCTGCTGTTTTGGCCTAAACGGTGCTGTATCAGCTTCTCCTTTCATTAATGGACCATTGAAGAAACATCAAAGGACAGGAAGCAACAGCGTCTCAATTTGGAGGGCAGAATGTGGCAGGCAGCACCTTTAATCGCTTGTTTTTTGGGGGTTTCCTCTGTGTGTATTTGAGAGATTAAAACATGTAAAAATGAAATCTTGCAGATTAGCATTGCGATGACTCTATTATGTCCAATGTGCCATTCGGCGCATGGCTTTATATAAATGGCTTTTATTATTCACCCTGATGGCCCCCCAGTCGGTATCAGCATCCAGTGACAAATTGAACATTTTTGACATTTTTCCCGACTTGTGAACATTTCGATTCTCGAGTATAAGTGGAAACAAAGTAAGAAACTGCTCCCCAGATGTGGCGGGCTGCATTTGTCTTGCGCTTTGCGGTAAGCACTGACACATGCTGCAAATAAGGAAACAACTTCTTTTTGTTCAATGTCGAAAGCCATTGTTAGCTGGTATGTGTGCTTTGGTGCCCTCTCCGGGTTTGACTAACAAGAGAGGAAGTTCATTAGAAATCGTCCTCAGTTGCACCCCAACCCCGTCCCTCAGGCCTGAGTGGGTTTTATGAGACGCAGCCGGAATTCTCTGCCCCGGTTGACCCGTGTGGACGGCGTTAAATGTGGGAGGATGCAGTTTCAACATGTGGAATAGCAGAATAAACAGGGTAGTGAAACGCTGACTGCCCTTCCTTCATCAAAGTACAGTAAGACACATGGGACTACTTTGGGGAACTTTGAATCATCGGTCCCCGAGAGTTCCTCTTTTGTAAATAACCAAAGGATATTGGACAGGCAGGAAGTTTACAGTGAGTAACACAAAAGGCTGAGGGCTCTGGTTGAACAGAGGGGGAAACATGAGCATGTCTCGTATTAGCTACTTGTCTCTTTTCTAATTGGTAATAGCTGTGGTAGCTGTTGTCTGCCAGGACAAAACACTGATACTCGACAGTGGTGTTGCATATGAATGAAATCACTCGCGTTTTCAATGCAGGTGGAAGTGTCTTTAGGGGTGAAAGGTGAAGCCTTATCCATAACCTAAGCAGCTGAGGGATGATAATGTAGTCAATGTCAATATTCATACATTTTTAGAAAAACAAGCACTTTTGAAACTTTTGAAAATTGAATTTATTCTGAAAGTACACGTTTTGCTGTTTGGAGTAATTGTTTTCCATTAATAAAAAGTGGTTGCCAATGATGGCAACCAAAGGTCAAGGGTTAGAAATGTCAGCTCCTGGACTTCATTTCTGTACAACCGGAAAGAATGTGCACCTCAACAAAATCCCCCCCGAAAATAAAAAGCCTGAGGTGGAGCGATATTTGGCTTGGATGTGCAGCAAAATGTGCAGAGCAAACAGAAAGAGTCACACACAAGGTAATGCCGACGGAATTGGTTCATTTGATTAGTAAAGAGAAACATACTTTGGGCACTGCGTTGCGTGGTCATGGGTTTCACAGTAACAAGGAAAGACAACTGCTGCGTCGGCTCGTAGAGTTGACTCAAAAGGCCTTCATTGCAGACTCGGGCAGATGATGTTATGTCGGGGGCCAGAACGGGAAGGAAGCCTGGCTCTTTGAGACAGGCTGCAGTCTGCGTGGGAGACTGGGTGGCTAATTCACACTATCCACAACTGCCAAGTGCCCTTCAGAGCTCATCATGGCAAAGTAAAGGAGAGGTGTTACAATACCTGCTGCTCGTCAAAGGCGTGAGGGCCGGAAAAAGTAGGATTGAACCCGTAAAAACCAAAGAGATCTATAGGTTGGTTCTCCCTTCAAATTCAAGCAGCACGAATGTGTGAAACTGTGACACGGCACGCTAATGACTCACTGGGTCCAAATGACGCAATGTGCAAAGCCAAAGGTCTCCAAATGAAACATTGTTGTTGATAATAAAACGTGAATAACTCCAAAACCCTCGGCAAATATGTTTTTTTAAAAACTTTTTCCATGTGTTGTTTTCACACAATACAATGATGGAACATTTGGGCGGCAGCCACACCCTCCCAGGCGCAGTTAGCCACATGGCTGCAGTGTGTGGTGTGTCATATGGGTCATACAACACCAATTAACTCACCACTACTGTAACCCTAAACACAGTCACACACAAACAGCCACGGCAACTGCTTTGTTAGGCTGCGCCCTGCGTATGATGTTCATCGCGACCACCTTCTTGGTCCGTCAGCGCGCAACATTTTGCAGACATGGATGACGTACGTTTTATATCGATCATTAGCACATTGGACTAGTTCAAATTGTAAACTGAAGATGGCGCTTAATGAAATTTCAAAGGATCAACAAAATGATTCTAGCTGTAAGCTTTCAAATATTCCCTGTGTCCATTCAGTATACTGACGCATGTCCACGAAGGAGGACGGGTATTTGCTGATTCGTAGTTTACTATTTCATAATAGAACAGAGCCAATGCTTTGAGGGGATATTGCATGGAAGAAATGATTCACCTCATGGCCCCAATGCTGATGTTCTCTTCTTGATGACTACATTTAACTATCGCGTTTTTGTTCATTGTGCACAAGTCTGACTCTTGCGTAATAATGCTATCACTGTTTAACTTGTTGATTGAATATCGAATAAAGAAGGCGAAAGTAAAACAGAAAGACGTACTTTTACCAGTTTACTTGCCGCCCTCCCCTTTGTTTCATTTCCAGCAACCCCCCCTCACCCCCCATCACCTCAGCGCCCCTCACCCCTCACTTGGTGTTTCTTCTCACAACCCCCGTTGTGTTAATAACAATCTCTCTCTCTTGTGAGCCCAGGCCAAATTACAGTCATTACCGTCTCGTCTTTGTCTTTCAAAACACTAATCACGGCTGCAAAACGTTGTTATTGATGTGGTCACGTTGGCGGGCCGGTCGTGCGATGGGTCGTGCTGCCTGATTCCTGGCAAGTCAGCTGAAAAACCGAGGCAGCAGCTGCAGTCCATAAATGTTTTGGATATGTCTGGCAGTGAAAGACGTTATCGCTGTGGAATGACACTGTGATTTGGTCTTTTGCAGCGAGGTTCTTTGGTTCATTTCAGCAGGAAGCGATGTCTTTATAAATGATACCATGCTGTTGGAACTCCCCCCCCCGGAGACAAAAAACAAGACCACCGGTTTTAAAGGGAATAAATGACACTCCATAACTCCTTTCCAAAAACCTCTGGTGACACAGAAATGGTGAATCTCTTATCCCCCATAGTTGCCTTTTCCTCCCCCAAACAATTCCCCGGGAAAATTTGGCGAGCAGAGGTGCAGCATTAGCCCCTCATTGACTTCTGCAACGGCTGTTAAAGCAGGTCTGTGGTTCCAAACAAACAAATCCTTGTGCCCAGTCAGTCGAATTGGAGCAGCATCATTGGCTGCAGGCCGGGCTGGTGTGGCAGGCAACCTCCTCAGCGGAGTTGGGATTTTATTTTCTTCTTTGCAACACTTTGAAGCCGTGAGAACGAAGCCGAAGGCCGCTGAGACTTCGGATCATTGGAGCTTTTTCCTACATGCCGTCATCCTGTTGCCCTCTGGGAGAGCAGGGCTTGCTGGATGGACTTGGTTCTCAAAATGTCTCACTTAAACAAATCTGACATCATTCAGTTGCTTTCGTTTTATGAAATAACATTTCTGAAATGTCATATTTGCCCTATAGTCTTTAAGAGGCAAAAGGTGTTTACCGTTTACTTGCTACAGCCCAGATGTTAGCAGTCTAAGATGCTTTACTAAAATCAATGTCAAAATGTTGAAAAAGTATGTACATAAATTGCGAGCGTGTTTACGTCAGCACTTAGTGGAAAGTCCCTCATAGAAGCAGACGTTCATGTCTGTGGGCTCCAAGTCTTGTTGTATCATTTGAAAATCCTTCAGCAGACACCTTGAGGCATCCTTCTCAAACTCGTCCGGTGCGGCGCGCCGCCGGAGTGTGGACGATCTGGCCCGGACCTGAAATTACTTTGACACCCCGGCCTCAAGGTTTCTTGTGTTTTTCGATCCATTACAGTGATCATCAGGTTGCAGTATAATTTGAAGTCAGTCTTGACATCAACCGCATTTCATTGCTACAATGATCAAAGTATTAATTCCTGCCGTTCACATTATTGGAACATTAGTATGGACAGTTCAAGAATGCGTCATGTGCAGCTAACTAATACTTCCTGTATGGAAACAATACAAAGCAGTTGACGACAGGAAAGTAAGAAAAACACCCGTAACGTCAACGACTCAACACATTAAGCTCTTTCTCTTGTTTCTTCTCTCTATGTTTCAATCCAACAAGTTACGCCTCCTCCAGCTCAACTGTGTGCTCTCTTCGACACACACACACACACACACACACACACACACACACACACACCAAGTATGATTCACTTTCTGCAGAACCAGCTCTTTCAAAATCTACCAGTCATCAGAAAAATGCATTAATAAAATAACGGTCATATTTTCGTTTCTTCTGGGTTTCCTTGTCTCTTGATGACTTATTTGGAAACAGCAAACCGCCTCCATGGAAGAGAGGTGGAATGGTGCAGCCGAGGGACTTTTTTTGTTGTGCAGCTGAAGGATCAATTAGGCAAACCCAACCTCCAACAGGCCGTATCGCTCTGGGAGCCTCGTCGTCTTATTAATGAAACCGTTTTCACGTGTTGAGTTTTAAATAATCGTACTATCGGGATTCAGATCAATCGGACATGACCAACGATGGTCTGTGGTTCCCTAGACATTAAAATCCTCATTTAAACACAACCTCGTCTTTCTAAGTTTCACCATTTTGCTGTGGTTGTAGCAACAGAAGCAAGAGATGTCCACCGACCGGCTTGTCTTAAAACCCAAAGAGTAAAAATAAGTCAGATCAGAAATATGCCAACCACACAGCAATTGAATCTATTGTTAACACTTTGCTTTGGTTGTCTGGTCTTGTTGGTGCTAACGCCTGTTTTGCATGCCAGCTGTGTCGGCTGAAGAGCACCAAAAACACTCGGCCTCACAGTTTTCATCCAATGCATCCAATGTTTTCTCTGGTTTGCCTTCGAGTCTCTGCGTTTTTCTGCGACGAAGCTTCAAACCGCTGTTGGGTCTTGATCACTTTGTCGGCAAATTGTATCGCCCCCTCACCTCTCGAAACCTTTATTTTACGTGTCCAAACCCCAAACCACTGAAATCGAGGGCTCAACTCAGATTTAAGAGGGAAAAAAAAGCTTTTGCTAAGAGTTATAGAATGTAATGGCCCACTTCCTTTCCCCGTGCTGTTTGGACAGGTGAGTAAAAGTGCAAGCTAGATCTCGGTCCCACGAATGCAGCCACCTCGGTCAGTTGAGCCCTTCCAAGACAAACAGGCGTCATTGTGGTTCAGAAACAAGGATGGGAAATGAAAACCAAAGATGCGAGTCCTCAGATTCACCCTGAAGTTAAAGAAATACTGAAGAATGATACCCACGCCTCTACGGAGCTGCAGGAACTTTTCACCAGAATTTCTTCTTCTGCGCCCCCCCCCCCACGCCCCCCCTCCGCTGCTGTAATGGAACAGTTTAGAAACGAAATGCGCTCTTGCCTTTCAGAGGGCATGTGTGTGTGTGTGTGTGTGTGTGTGTGTGTGTGTGTGTGTGTGTGTGTGTGTGTGACTCTTTCTGTTTGCTCTGCACATTTTGCTGCACATCCAAGCCAAATATCGCTCCACCTCAGGCTTTTTATTTTCGGGGGGGATTTTGTTGAGCTTGTAAGGTCTTGATGTGGGGGAACGAGTCATGTAGTCACACCAACAACAACCCAGAGAAAACGCTTAGTAAGGTGTTTAGACTAGACGAGTGATAACACTGAAACATACATTACAACTATGTTATTGTGGATGCTTTGATTGTAATTAATTGGACTGTTTTTACCGGCGTGGGGGGCTCGAGGGAATCCAAACCCTTACCTTTGGCAGAGGTGCAGTGTTTCACTCATTCTGCCAGATTCTTGGTGTTTTTACTCACAAGGTTGTTTTCCTTTATGGCAGCTCATGAGCAACCAATCGGTTTGTTTTCCTTAGAATTTAGGTCGATGAAGTTCGGCTCTCATTTCAGCTGCTGTTGCTTGTGTTGGTTCTTCTTGAAATCCTTGAGGCTGCAGAGTTTGTTGGCGTTTAAATGTCAATAAGTTCAGCAACCCTATGAACCGTCCTACAAACCTCCTGCAGATATCAGCTGTGTGACAGCACGATGCTTTCTGTTTGCCTCTAAAGGGGACAAATGGAAATAGAATGGCGGTGAAATAGAAATAGTTGAATCTATTTATTATTTATTTTGTCTAGACTGATTGGTTTTGAATGTGATGGGAACTGATACTACTAACAGGTGAGCTAGGATTACAGACTCGGTGTTTAGTCTGGTTTCTATTACCTCCCATACAAACAACTAATTCAGCAACAAATTGGCCATCAACAACGAAGGTTTAGCTTTAAAAAAGCTCCGAAAAAAATCACATTTGTACATTTGGCAACTCCTCAGTGGAGTCAAAGCTCCAATAAGTTTAAATCCAGCTAATACTGGTGGTCAACAAAACATGATGACCTTCTCTGCGGAGATCAATGTCAGCCAGTTCCAGTTCCACTCCAACGCAATTGCATCAGCTAGTTAGTAGCTAAAATAGCAGCATCCTCTTCAGTTTGACCACAGTCATTTAGCTCATTTCTCATTTGTCGTCCCTCTGGCTCACTCGTTTGCTAACGGATGACCAGCTAACCCGTCACATGTGCCGGAAGACCTTTCTGCTTATGCTCACACTTAATAAAGTGACCACACACACACACACACACACACACACACACACACACACACCTCAGGAAATGAAGGTAGCTCCCATAGGGAGGTTTTCATTATAGTCCAGTTTTATGGAAGCTCCCCTGGGGACACCAGCATCTTTTTCCTCAGCCTTCAGGGCCGTATTCAGGATACAGCAGGGTGCTAAATTACACACCAGACCACAACACCAGCGTCTTTTATCTCAACAGGCACCTAATGTGTACCTCAGGAAAGTTATTATTCCTGCCCCTGGTTTTCATTTCCTCCCCATCAGGGTACAGCAACAGATAAAGGATCTACTAGCTATCAGTCTGTAGCCAGCGATACAAAAGTATATCTATTTTTGTTACAGATTATTTAGACAGGAAGGGAATTTACTGTGACAAGTTCAACAGTGTCTGGCCAAAAATACAGCTTGTTCTTGTTTTGGAGCAAATTGTATTACACAATGTTATGTTTTTAGCTGGCACAGCAGTATTTTGTCTGCTTTAACCTGAGTGTGTCTGCTAGACATCAGTAACCTTAATAATCTTTAACACATATTTACAGAAATCTCATTTTGTAATTAAGCTTTCTGTCATCTTGGCAGGTTTTATGCTTGTTTTTGTGATTGTGATTGCTCTAGTTTAGGGATTTTAATAGTGATGCATTCAGTCTTCATCATCATCATTAAATCCTTTACATTTTTTCAACCACCGTTTGATCACAATTATGTTTTTTTGTCTCAGGTCTGGCAGTGTGAAAGATCACTGGGATGACATATACCTCTTTGTGGGGAATTTAGCGGAGAAATTCAAAAGGTAAGTGTCCACACACATCACAACACAATTCACCGAGCATGAGGTAGAAAATTGGAGACAACAACCGTGTACTGCAGCATGTGAACGGTTTGGAAAGAGTTCACAACCGGACTTTTAGGTCTAGGGAGCCTTTGCAGCCGTTCTGCCTGTGCACTCTGTACTTCCTGGAGCTGCAGATCACTAAAGAGAAACACACACTTTACGCAGCAGTCACTGCGGTAAAGTAAAATATATATCCGTCCCTACAGTGACAGCTGGCAATGCGCTTAGTCACCCAGCATGCGCGCCGATGTTTCACCGTCTTCAGTGGCTGATGTCTGGAGTCAGTGGGTCTCACACACACACAAAGGCCTCCGTGTGGACGGGCAGTCTGGGATTTACAGCCTCTGTCGATGCAGCAGCTTTGAGGGTCTCAATTCAGATCCTTTACCCCCTAATGGTGCTCACATCTGACATAGAAGGCAACGCTCTTGAATAAGAAAGGTACGCCCCAAATTGACAAAATGGAAAAAGCAGATTTTAAACTGTACCCATCCAGTGCCGCCTCTTCACGTCATCACAGCTCAAGGGATTATTACTGGAATAATTTACATCCTTTTTACTTTTAAGCATCGGCCATATGGATTCCAAACTTGTCAAACATGCAAACCAATATTTCAGTGAACGCAAAGAGAACTCTATAACAGAAAGTCACTGTAGATATTTACTGCACCTTTGAATGGCTGAAATGAGTAAAATGAGTAAAATCAAATTAGCTAACCCTGCTCGGAGGCCACAACACCACCTGGAGTTTCATGGTTTGAACAAAGCAAAGAAAGTCGGTTCTTCTGTTTTTTACAAATAGATACCGCAAATCTGCACTCGCTTTCTCACAAATGATACATCCCATTCTTTTACCTCTTTGCCGTACATGTTTCTTTACAAGCATGTAATTCCTTTCCGAATATAACATTTCACCCATCAACAAAAATAACCAGCTCTCCCCACATCTGAGGGTTGAGTGCGAATACAAACCTGTGAGTCACGGCACACACGCACAGCTCCGTGCAGCTCATCCAGCCAGCTGCCCTCAAACAGAGAGACGCAGTTTGTCATATTTATTGTTTAAATGAAATATTAATCGATGATTCTGAGGAAAATACTGGAGCCGTCACATTGTTTCTGTTTCTGTTTTTATTACTTATTACATGTTTTGCAAGGTGGGAAAACCCCAATGATAATGTTTGGCACGTGCCATCACTAATTGGTTTATCCGTGGGGATTTTTGTACTGCACTGGTGTGAGGCACTGAATGACGAGGATGTTTGTTTTTTCCTCTTCCAGTCCCATGCTGAGGATGTCCTTCATAACGTTCTCCTCCAGAGCATCCACCATCATGAAACTGACGGAAAACAGGTAAACTAAGTTGCGGCTGGTAAACATCTGCTTGATGGGAGGATTGACTACAACAGATTGAGCCAAGCTGAATTTTTTCCGACGAATAAATGTTTTCACAGCACGGAATGCTCTTCTCCCAGAAGAGTAACAGTCTTCTGTGAAGTAAACTCAGTGTTAGTATCACAGAAACGGTGTTTCCACGTAAATCAAAAGCCTTTCCGGCTGGCAATGAGGCTCCACTGACTAAACAGAACTTACAATATGCACCGTAGTGCAAATAGTAACAAAGCAGAAGGCAAAAAAACAAAAAAATAACAGTTAAATGGATTAGTTTCTCCAAAGGAGTAGAGCATAAAAAACAGAAAACTGCAGTTTAAAATGTTTCCTCTTCTCTGCAGAGAGAACATCAGAAAGGGGCTGATTGCTCTGAAAGACGAGGTTCCTGGTGGAGACACGTTCATGGACCTCGGCTTGCGCAGGGTAAGACTTGTTATTTGACACTTCTTTTTGAAAAGAGCCAGTCCACTGAACTAGTGGTTTAAAGCTGTAAGCTTTGGCATTTCCTGTCTTTCTCACCACGAAAATGTCTCCTTATTCAAAGGCGAACGAGCAGATCCACCAAGAGAACTTTGGTACGCATGATGGAAAAAAAAACAACCTTTTTCCTTGTGAATACCTTCTTCAAGCTCAGTCAGGACTTATGTTGAGGTTTAACCATGTCTGCAATAATTCTTCCAGGCCCGGCCAGCGTGATAATCGCGCTGACGGACGGAGAGCTGCTGGAACATCATCTCATCTCTGCGCAGCAGGAGGTAGACGCTTACAGCTCTGCCGCTGGGTAACACTTCCTTTGCTGCAAGGCCAGGACTTACTCGGTGTATCGCTTGTGTCTTCCAACAGGCGGAGAGAGCCCGGTCTCTGGGAGCTATCGTGTACTGTGTTGGCGTCAAAGACTTCAATGAGACGCAGGTAACGCCAACGTCATACATGAGGGGCTGTTTTACGTTTGTATCCCCTAAATGACTTTATTTCTGGGTTTATATCAGTATTTCACATGCGCTCAGGGATCCACGCTTGTGGGTATTGCTCCTACCTCCATCTTGCAATGTGTGTATTCAGTGTTCTTGTGCATTTGTGCACATGGATAACCCATAATTTCAAAATTCCTGAAAACCAATCCAAGAGATTTTTTAACCCTGAGCTGCCTACACAAAGCTGGGCTGGAGAAATGTCTGTACTGGACTGTGTGTAAAAAAAGTGTGTGTTTGCCGTTCTCCGCATGTTGAATATTGTGTCACGCCATGTACATCCTGGTCCAATTTGATATTAAATGTCATTATCATCACCTGAATAATAAAGATGTCCCTCTAAACACAATATTTCCCCATTGCACTCATCCAATATTCTTCTCTAATGTAGCTCCTTGTCTCCTCTCCCTTCTTTCCTCCATCCACACCCCTCCATAGCTGGCCACTATTGCGGACACCATCGAGCACGTGTTTCCTGTGTTGGGCGGCTTCCACGCCCTGCGAGGAGTCATTGATTCGGTAAATAAACTCTTCTCGGCGCGGGGCAGCGTCCGTGGGGCTGAAGCTCACAAATGTCCACAGCGTTCATGTGTTTATCTTGAGTCTGTCCCGCATTAGGGGGGGAAGTCAGAAGTGACTCCAGGAAACACTCCAACATGAATGCACAGAGAGCCCAGTTACTCGTCAGACATCTGGTCACTACATTGGTTCGTCCCATGCAAGAAGGGATTTGATTTATTTCAGACACTCGCAGGTTTAGATTCGACTCAAACTGTGATTTAGGCCGAACTGTAGGTCTTTGTGTACTCCGGGCTCATGAAACTCATGCACATATTTAAAGAGTACACTACATGCCAGCTCCAACAACACCAAGGACGTCCTCCACGATGTTACGAATTCCAGCAGAACACTGATGTGGCCTCCGTGTTTGAAGTATTCATTTTAAAGGAGTGGGAAATGTTCAAAAGTGAAACTGTATGATTATTGAGCTCTCTTTTTCTAACAGAAAGATTTGTTTGTTACAAAGAGCCAAGCATCAGTGTGAGAAAAAGAAAAAAAAAACGACTTTCTCCTCGTCCACCCTGCAGATCATCAAGAAGTCTTGCATTGAGATCTTGGCAGCGGAGCCCTCCAGGGTGTGTGCGGGAGGTAGGGAGCTGAAAACACACATTCAAACGCACACACGCTCACACACGTACAGAAGACGGTGCCTCCTCCCATCATTTCTGGAACTGTGATCATTTCACCGCCGCGTGCTCATCACTCATCAGGAAACGATCGTATGTGAGCATCCAGAGCACTGAGATCTATTCACAACGAGCAGCGCGGTGGCGATCGCATCAAACGCTCTCATTCAAGGGATCGGCCGTGAGAGAGTGACGCTGGTCATATTGGCTGCACTGTAAAGTGGACAAAATCTTTAGTGTCCTGCCAAGAGATTATGACAGTTAAAGCAAAATGAAATGGACATTAAGAAAAGATGCTCTTTTGGCAATAGCAGAGGGGATTTTTACAGCTTCCCACATCTGCCATTGTCTTCTTTTCAAGAAGTGCTTCACTCTCTGCCTTCATAAAAAGTGAACGTGAAGCTAAAACGCGCTGTGGTCTCTGACGTGCTGCTGCACCGCTCAGTTCAGTGCCTGAGGTTCAGTCTCATCTTCATGTACACATTGCTGAGTGTTTTCACTAGTAACGTCGCAACTACTGAGGTCACTGTCCAACTCAGTACAAGGTATTTGTGCATTTGTGTGTGTTGTCAGTAGTGGTTATTAATAACTTGGGTTCCATGGTTTCCATCTGTAAGAGATTTAAAATGAAAAGAGTTTGCTTCCCTCTGGGTTCATGTGAGCCGCTGCAGCAGTCTTAGGTCCGCCCCCCAATCCGCTCTCATTGCAGTGCCCTCTGACCGCAAACCGGGTGTGCCTGTATGTTCATTCTGAGCCAGTGTCCGATCGAAATTTCAAATGAATATTCTCTTTTATAAAACCTGTGATGTGAGTTCAAATAATTGTTAGTGTCAACATGATAATATCGCTATAATACAATATAATACGATAATATCGCGATAATATCGCGTCCAACACATATGTAGTGGCAACATCTAAATAAGTGCATTTCAACCATAATGATACAAACCCAGAAGAACAAGAAACAAGAAAGTGCAATTTTATCAATATATGACGGTATTAACACGCACAAGCCCGGTATATAGATCTATACATATTCAAAGTTGTTAGAAATACAAAAACATAATTATTGTGGTACTGTACATTATTTCATTTAAGGATTGAGGCCCATATTTCCAGCAACCTTGTGAGCATTTGCTGAGCATCATGTACCACACACGCAGTATAAGATGGAATTTGTCTTTCCAGCGAGATTAAAAAACGATGTGTATGTGCGTTGTGTGACCAGAGTCTTTCCAGGTGGTGGTGGGAGGAAACGGCTTTCTCCACACCAGGAACATCAACCAGGTGCTCTGCAGCTTCAAAATCAACGAGACCGTTACAGTCAGTGAGTACGGCTTCGCTCGTTTCTGTCTCCTAATGTGACGAGGTTTACATCGGTCTCTATCAGGGCCCCTCTGCCTCTTTATCGCTGAATGAGAATAATCAGTGCACGTACAAATGGACCCTCACGAAAAAGCTTCTAAAGCCAAGCGGCTGAAGCAGCTCTAGAAGTACCGCTAGAATTATTGTCTATAATTTACAACAATACAACAGCTGCAGGTATCAGACTCAGAAGCCTTCAGTAAAATCTTGTCTTTGCTTCCCAGATGAAAAGCCGGCTGAGGTAAAAGACACATTCCTAATGTGTCCGGCTCCGGTCATCGAAGAAGTTGGGAAGTAGGTGCCTCTTTTGTTCATCACTGATTTCACGTGTACCTTTGAATCCCATTCTTCCCCTGAGACACGGAGGAGCACGTGCGTGCATGCATGCGTACACGTGTCCGGACCGCCAAACGCCTGCCGTACATTAGCTCTTTTTACGACCCCCCCCCCACCCGCGGCCGCATTCCTCTTTTCTTGATCCCGGTACGGCTTACAGCGACACGCAAGGCGCTCTGCAGTTGAGCCAGCACGCGCCGTCGTGAAGCCTCCATCGGCCCTGGCGTGACGGTTCCCCACAGCTCCTCGTGGCATTGTAGCATCGTTCAGCTCATTATTTTTGTGGTCACTTTACAGTTTTGGTTCGGCTGCGTCAGTCCTTTCCAGATGCAACAGGCAGCTGTTTTCTCCCTAAAGCTCCAACAGCACAGTGTGGGCTGAACAGCAGACACTGTTTGCTCACACGTTTGCCGTAAACACTTTCAATGTTGTGCTTACAGCTTGTTGTTTAACAAAAAAATATATATTTTTTTTAAAGCAGCTTAAAGGGCTTTCCCGACACAGCGTCCAAATATACCGGACAATGTAAGTACTTGTGTCATCTTGGTACTTTCCATGACTCTGAAGAGACGGATTCTACTGAGGCCGCTGAGATTGTTTAGCAGAAAACGTTCACCGCGGGGTCGCAACCCCCCCGAGCGGCGGCCAGAGCCCTTCATCAGCTCAACCTCGCTCTCTTTTCAAAGCCCCACCGTGGTCCAACATCAACAATCCACAGACCTCCTTAACCAACGTCTCCATGGGAAGAAAAGTGCAACAGTCCACAGAAGAGACGCTTCAGCGGACTGTGGCTGAAATCCTTGGGACTGCGTTGACACAAAGAGCCACTTTAGCTCCTCTTTCACACACTACTTTGACCTGCAGTGGTATTTGTGTCGGTTATTTGCGTCATTCCTTAATTGCGCTACAAATTCCATCCTTTAATTCTCCCATAAAATCCGATTCCCGGCTAATAATTACAGTAGCGTGGAAAGAGAACATGTGCATGGAGGACAGATTTAAACGGCCTGCACTGATTGATTGATGCTCCAGCAGAGGAGGCTTTTCCCTTTTCTCTTCACTACGGCGTGAGGCCACTTGTTTGTGAGCGGCAGGGTAAACACGCATTCCCCTCTGTTTTCAAACTTCTCCATTGATGCCGAGACAAATGAAAAACGTGTTCGGCTAATTAGCAGCTTCGATAGCAAGCGTGTAATCCGTGTCAGTAGGCATGCGGGCTGTTTAGTGCCTGTGTTAGGCAGATTTTTCTTTTAATGAGCAGCATACCTCCAGTGTTTTGTCTCATATGTCCCATTCCAGTGTGTACATGTGTGTACATGTGTGTACATGCGTGTACATGTGTGTGTTCCCCGCGGTTTTATTCATAAAAACATGAACGCAAACATCTACTTCACCTCTAAGGCTGTTTTCAAGTTAGAATCTCCTAAAGACCAGCTGTTAGTCATCAGCAAGGTACGTCTGCTGTTGATCATGAACTCTACCCACAAACCCAGCGTCTCTGTCTGTCTCTCTCTCTGTCTCCCTCTTCGTCTGTCTCTCTGTCTGTCTGTCTCCAGCCTGCTTCTTTTCAAACCGGAGAAGCAGCTCACTGAGTCAGAGCAAAGTCGGGTCTCTCAGACTTTTATATCTGCCAGACCTCCTTCCCATCCACGTGGTCCTCTTGCAGAGAAGACCTGTGTGTGTGTCGATCCACTCACCATGAAGCTTGTGCATCGGACACAGCTTTTTATACGGCGTCGTCCGGTGAACTCAAGATGTCACTGAATCGTACGTTTGCGGTCTCACATTTTCACTCGCAGTTCGCAGGCGGCTCGGTGACGTGAGTCGGTGGGAACGCCGTGAGTTCAAATGACATCGTTGTGTTCAAACAGATGGAGCTTCGGGAGGAAACGCTTCAGGCTTCATAAACGATCATGGCTGTTGTATCGTGTTGTTGCATCCCAGCAGGAGGATGCAGAACGCACTCCTCCTGAGAGTGTGTGTGTCTGTTGTTTCGTTTCAGGGTGATCTATCTGCAGGTGAGCATGAATGACGGTCTGTCCTTCATCAGCAGCGACGTGCACTTCACCACCGTTGAGTGTGTAAGTTTTGCCTTTTCGCCTCCTGTTCAGGCATCAGTCCTGCCACTTCTTCATCAGTCATTTGGCGATGTAGATTTAAACAACTGAACCAACATATTTTAAATAGAAAAACTGTACTTCTGAGCACTAGAGGGTTTGTGCCTCCGTTACAGCGAGTCAATCAAGGTGTGCGAATGAATAGCACTGTGTCGCAGGGTGGAGCTCCATTTCCTATAAAACAAGATTAAACAAGATGCAATTTCAGACTATTTTAAGCAATCTAAAGAAAAGAAAAAAAATCCCATGTGTTGGAACATATGGACCGCAATAAAAGACACGAACAACCCCTGTGAGAACCTCCCCAAAGTCTCCCAGGCTGCCACGGCTTCAGCCTTTGTAGTTAGTCCATAAAATGCGCCCGTGTAGCATGAGAGAACCCCCTGTGTGTGTGTGTGTGTGTGTGTGCGTGTGTGCGTGCGTGCAAGACGCATCTGTGGTGATCGTCACAACTTCAGCCCGTCGGCTGTTGAAAGCTCAAGAAAACTGGTTTCTGAGAGACGACAATTAGCGACTTCTCGTGACTGCGGCGTTTGACGGTTCTGATGTCGTGTGTGCGTTCACTCCGCAGTCTGACGGCACAATTCTCCTGATCTCCCTGCTGGTGTTGTTCCTGCTGCTCGCGCTGCTCTTCATGTGGTGGTTCTGGCCGCTGTGCTGCACTGTGGTAAGAAGACATGAACTGCGCTCAGGAGGGGACCGGCGTCGGACACTTACACTACAGTTATCCAGACCTGGGGAGGGCTCTGTCTGCACTCCAAAAGGGGCATCCGGCAGTTTAAAAACAACATGCAGACCTTAAGGAGGTCCTCTAAGAGGGGACGAAGGGGTTTGTGAACAGCTCATCGATGTCGTATATGTCTCGTTGTTCCACAGGTGATCAAAGAACCACCTCCTCCACCTCCTCCCGAGCCTGTGAGTAAAAAGACGCACAGCAAATGCTACTAGAGCTTGAATTTGGATAAAGTAACTTAAGACAATGACGAATATGATGCTTTGCAAGCTTCGCCAGGGGTCTGGGACGGTTTAACACTTCCTTTAGACTAAGTGGCCATGCTGTGTTTGCTTCTTCCCACTCTGCTTATATGTTATATTTGCATAATGTGTGTATACCGTCTTTTGCTTAAACAGCCACCGTGTTAAGCCTTAAATGAATGTCAGATAAGGCGCATCGCGAACGTTGGTTGCCAGATCTCGTGTGTGTGTGCTGCTCAAAGACCATTTGTGTGCGAGAAGGTTCGATCGATGTGACAGATATTGAGGCGAGTAGTCAAAAGTCCCTGTTAAAGCGAGTCTCTTTTTGTGTGGATATTGGTGATTTAGGAGAGTTCAGATGACGAAGACGGCCTGCCCAAGAAGAAGTGGCCCACCGTGGACGCCTCCTACTACGGAGGAAGAGGAATCGGAGGAATCAAGAGGATGGAGGTGACAAAGGCGACAACCATCGCAATTGAATCCATAACAAAAGACCTCTGAGGGGGATCGGGCCACTGTCGGTGTGCTATTCATGCGCTGTGTGCTGTCCGCAGGTGCGTTGGGGAGGGAAGGGCTCCACCGAGGAGGGGGCGAAGCTGGAGAAGCCAAAGAACGCCGTGGTGAAAATGCCCGAGCAGGAGTACGAGCCCTTCGAGCCCAAACCCAAGAAACCCCACAGCAAGAGGGCGCCTCAGGACCGGAAGTGGTACACGCCCATCCGGGTAAACACACCGTTTTTAGACGACGGGGCTTACGTGCCGTCCCGTAGCAAAAGGCCGGTTCCTCGGGAACACAAGAATCCGCCTCGCTTACGGTTTGACCGCTGTGGAGTTTTTCTGAGCTCTTGCCCGGCGAGTTTCAAATAACTGCGGGCGGCGGAACTTTCTCCACCCGCAGAGAAGCTTGAACTCCTTCAACCGAAGAGAAAAACATGAAAAGCACCACGAGCGACGAGACAGCAGAGAGGAATAAAGCCGCTTATGGTGGTATTTGTGTATAATTAGTTGCATAAGCGCAACATTCCGCCCCTTGACGTAACGTATTCTCCAGACGGAGGGAGACGTTATCAGACGGGCCGTCAGCGCTGTTTCTGCTTTAATCCTGCAGAACGACGCAGCTCTGTGCAGCAACACTGGCCTTTCATGCAGGGGCCACACGGACCGTTATCTGCACACACTGCTACTGTAAAGCTAAAGCTGTACTTTAAATATGACACCGGGCGACAAACAGCCCTGCGGTGACTCCTGGTGAAATGTGGCACGACTCACACGCCGGAGGAGCCTGTGGAGGGAAGACGGTGCATCGGTGCGCTGAGTGGTCGCCGTGCGTTGGGTGCAGTTGGGCCCTCACGTCTCTGAAACTGTCTCCACAGAGTAGAGCAGACAGTCTTGGTAAATGGAAAAAAAAGTTCATCTCTCGGTAGTTTCACATGTGGACTTTTTTTTCTTGTCACGGTGGTGCCACCGATTTGCTTGATTTGTGGCGGCAGAGGGATCGATTCACCGACAATGAATGATCGTGTCTTCAGTTTAGCAGAATAAATACAAACTGAACTAGAACCAAATTATGACCAAGTGACTCAGGGAGGAAGTAACGATACACACTGATACAGTACAAACCGTATGAATGTGACGCCACTTACTCAGGGACTGTCATGGATTGCGGCGTGGGAGTGTTTGGTGTCCAGATGTGGCCAGCTGTTGAACCACTCCCCTCTGTCCCGTTCAGGGTAAACTGGATGCGATCTGGGCTTTGTTTTGCCGCGGATACGACCAGGTGTCCCTGATGAGACCCCAGCCCGGCGATAACGTGAGTACCTCAGCAGTGTTTCCTTTCACCAAAGGCTTTACACACTCACACACACACACACACACACACACACACTCGTATCCCCTGGTCCACACGATGGATTCATCCCTCCTGCAGTGTTTGATGTCTGATGACCCGTAGCTGGTTTCATCCTTTCTTTCTTTTCATTTTTATTGACTTGCAGAGTGAATTGATTTAATATTAAATTCAAAATAACAATAACTCCTCATATTTGGGCTCATAATAATGGCGGATGCCGCAACTCATTTGTCAGTGTGATAATGTTAAGCTTCTTTATATTTTTTATGTAACCTTTGGATTAGAAAGTGACTGTGGGATTGGTCCCTCCCTCCCTTCCTCCATCTGTCTCTGCTGGTGTTTCGGTGCTGCTTAACACCTCGGCTGGCTCGTCTCCGTCCCGATGAGCTCGCTCGCGTCTGCTTCACATTAGACGCCATAAATCGGACCAAAAGCAGAACCGCAGGCAGATCCTTGCTGCTCTTTTCTGATGGGTTTGCGTGTTTGTGAGACGTTAAAGGCCCCTCCGTCTCCTCATATCAGCCACATGGTTTAGTTTCAATGCCCGTGAAGGAAAAGAAAAGCCCCAGATAAGAGTTTGGTTTGAATGCGGAGAAGAAGGGAGGTCACTGAGATTAGAAAGCTGATGTTAACGGGGTTGACTTCGTACCCATCAGACATCAGCACATTGCCTCGCTTCTCCACCCACTCCCCATTCTCTCTTTCCTGCCCTCCCCCAATTCTCCCTCCTCCCCGCTCTCCACAGCCAACTCTCCCAACAAACTGTGCCTCATGAGTAGAAAATCTTCAGTGATTTCTTTTTATTATTATTTTATGGGAATTCCACATTTAAGAGTGTTTTTTTGGCACTAGAGACACAATTTGCTTTCAGTTCCTCCTGAGGCAAGTCATATATAACACAATCACCACAAAGCAAACACACAATCTCCACAAAGCAAACCGGCAGTCAGATAAAGAAAAGTTTCTCTTATTAAAACAACAGATTTGTCTTCCACAGAGAAGCTCTTAGCGACGTCCGCATGACGCAACGCTTACTTTCGAGAAGAAATCGTGGCTCTTTTTTCCACACAAATGATGTCGCCTCCTCAGGTCATTTGCGGCTCCTAACGATGCGGTAGAAACATCTACCAGGCCAGCAGGCCGCTTCATTTCCAGGTACTTTAGTGTTTTATTTCAAGGCAAACTTGGAGTGGAAAGAAGAGCTTTTTCTTAAATTTTGCTTCAGGTTTTACCTAAAAAGTGCGTTTGTGTGTTAATTGCCTGCAACAGACCTTTAGTCTCACACTGACCAGCGGCGCCCGCTCCGGACGTAAAGCCAGCTTGGATTCTTCGTTGTGTGTTGCCGTGCCGACCGCCACAACAACAGCTGAATGCGGCGCCGTGACGCCGGCCGCATTGGGACACTAGTTATGCAGTTCACACCAAAACATATATATTTCATATACTCTAACTAAATATATCACAAGGATGGAGTTATCTACATCTGAGACAGGAGTTAGCAATTATGAGAATGTGTGTGTGTGACCGCATCCATCACACTGACGTCAGAGAGTACAGTACCAGGAGGAGTTAGTCCAAAAAGCTCGCTCCATTGCTTTCTCTCCCATAAACACAAGCCTCCCATGGGGAGTATTTAGCTGGCTAAAGGACATGAGGTAATACCGAGCAACTGCCAGGGCCGCCTGCACCACCCGACCAGCCGCCTGCACCACCCGACCGCGTCTCACACACGCACACACAGAAATGAGCGCGTTGCCCGGGCGATGTTACGACCTCGGTGAGACCGTAGACGTTGGTGGAGGTCAGAGCGAAAGAACAAGCGAGTGCGGCTTTATTTAATCCAGGACAATGTTCATAGATTCAAGCCGCAGGTGCGTGCGAGGTTCACTTTGCAAAGGTAAGCGGGCAGCAGGTGGGACGACTCATCTCCCCGACTCAAACTGGTGTATATTGAAGAATTGCCACATATACATTTGTTTTGTTGTCATTTTCCTCTTTCCGGTGCCTCCATTTGTCTTCAAAGTCGCTGTAGTTACATTTTAAGGCGTTTATTCGTTCAAGTCCTCAAACCACACAGCTTTCTAAGTGACATCAATTCGCCCATTTTCCAACGAATAAAACCACGGTCCCGTGGCTCCAATCGCTGGCTATTAGCAGATTAACATTACTCGCTGTGGCTGCCAACATCATGCAACCACGGAGCGAGGGGAGCGACGGTGGCACCAGCGACCTCCGTGCACTCTGCTGGAGCTCGTGGTCACTGGAATATTTAACGAGCAGCTCAGGAGCGAAATGGGATTTCTGCCGGAACCGTTTCATTTGTTTTACAGTCCGATAAGTCAACCGGTTCACCTGTTGAAATGTTATAACACACACACACACACACACACACACACACACACACACACACACACACACACACAAGCTGCAACCCTCTAAAACCATACCGATACTGATCATCAACCTACATTGATGTCACACCGTACACACTATTTCTGCCGTCCCATTTAAATCCCTGACTGAGGAAATGATGAGATATTTTGTATATATTATCGTTGGATCTCTTCAGGGGAAAGTTCGTCAACCCATGAATTCCCTTCTTTAATCTCACACGTCTCCCTCCTTCCTTCCCCTTCAGGGTCGATGCATCAACTTCACGAGGGTGAAAGAAGAGTCAGCGGCAGTCAAGGCCCCACCTCGCACCCCGATCCACACCCCCTCGCCCCCGCCACCGGACTACCACCCCGCGCCCACTTCCCCGCCCCCCACCGCCGCCGGCCCTCCTGCCAGATCCCCCCCTTCAGGCCAGGTGCCCCCGGGGCCGCCGCCGTCACGCACGCCCCCGGGGCTTCCCTGCGCGCCGCCGTCGCGTCCCCCGCCCAGCCTGTGACTCTGAAACACACAGACGGGAAAAAGAAAAAAGAAAAAAATCCCCGTCCCGCCCCGTCCCTCCGTCCCCCCCCCCAACGCACCCGCTATGATGTCACAGACTCGCCGCTCTGTTGACCGGTTCTTTGAGTCGAAGGTGATGTTCCTCGCGCCATGAGCCAAGGAGCCACAGTGTTTTCAGTCCCAGTCGCACTCTGTTCCTCTTCTTGTGTGTGAGAACGTCGAGTCAAACTGCACAAAGCCATTGAAGTCATTTCCAACTAAAAACCTGCGTCTCTGTGTGGTTGTTTAATGTTGCGTTGGAAGGAAAGAAAGCAGTTTGACCGGACGCGTCGTCCCACACAGAGGCTGGACGGGGGGATTCGGGCACATTTATTTTACTTAGCGTTGGCGTTTGTGAGATCGTGGTGGATTGTTGCTGGACAGCAAAGCATGTAGGCATAATAGAAGAAACACAGAATAAAACAGCAGTTCATCAACTAGCGGCTGACTGCGTCTTCAGCCGAAAAGTAGGTTGAGAAACTGAGTGAACCCGGTTAAACGTCGAATGGACTGGATTTCTCCGTTGCTGTCACTGTGAATCAGAGGTTTTGGGAATTAGATTTCACTTCGTGTTGATGAACTTAGTCGGTGTTGATTAACCGAGATAAAGAATATCAGATTTGCCCAGAAAGAGTAATTTGACAAATTAGAGCTGGTCACTGCTGTCAGTGTCAAAGGGGTTTATTTCTTCACCTTTTTGTGATGTTTCTTCTATCCAACCACATGCTAAAATATGACCAAGCGACCAAGCAGAAATGATACAGTAACAGCCTTTTGTGGGCCAGTTTTTGTCCAATTAGTGACAAGGAAGTGTACAGATGTAATGTGGAAGGTATGTTTTTACAATGTGTGATACGTTTTGGATCGTTACGTTGGTCGATATCTTTGAGGTTTTGGATTTCGTCCTTAACTCCCATTTATTGTTCATTGAACTTAGAATACAGCAATATATATTTTAGGGTTTTTGGTATCTGCGTAAATAGACTGCTGGACAACTACAGTATGCATTCCTTTTTGTAGCATTTGGACATTTTTCAAATCTGACAACCAGAAATCAGGTTGACGTCTCCCCCACACCTTTTCATACACAGTCCTCAAACTGTACTTTAAAACCATTATGTGTGTTTTATCATCACCGGTCACATTGCAACTGCAGGGCAGTTCAAGGAGCATCTAATTTATTATACTCCCGGGAGAAATGGTGGAGTACCTGAATATCGACAAGGTGTCCAACCACAAAGACGGACACTGTGCACAGAATTTTGATACGCAACGGCTGGCCAGTTCAAAGTGAGCAGCGTTTCACGACCCCTCCGCTACACAGAAACATTTGAAACCGGATGTGAACCGTCACTGTTTATTCGTTAAAAAAAAACTCAAATTTCATAAAGCTTGGTGTGCGTTACGCATCTCGTAGGTCCTCGCTGGCATTTAGGCAGTGACTAGATGTTGAATTGGGGAAATGGACCTGGATAACGGACAGAACTGGGACATTTTGACTTCAATGTGTAGAAATGAGGTTTAAAAAAAAGCTGGTATTGCTTGTTTTTTTCCACTTCCTTCCGGGATTTACTACTTCTTTGATTCTTTTATACTTTCATTATGAAGAAGGTCTGACATTATAACGTGTAACCTTTTACTATGTGCATTCATTATCGCTCTCACTGCCTTAAAGCGGAAATATGGAGCTCAGTTAGAGAAACGTGCTGCATATTCCAATTTCGCAAGCAATTTCTAGCATTACATTTGTCTATATTTCCCCTTATAGTTATAGAGATAAGAAACGCAGAGATGACCGTTTGCTTGTTTTGTCTCTGACCAGAACTTGGATGCGATCTTTCACGCTTCCATTCACACAAACCAAGGTTTAAAACAATTACAGTTGGGGAGACTGAAGAGATTTTGTTTTTTAACAGTGTGGTGATTCAGTTCCACTCTTTGCATTAGATGCTGCAATGTGGGGAGATCCGTGTTTGAAGGGGAGCGTGTGCAGCTCGATGAGGTAAACCATGTTACCTATAAACAGCAGTACTGAAGCAAACACCAAAGACTTATAATCATTTTACCTTGTTGATTGAAATGACTTTGCTTTTTCTTTTTTCTTTTTTTAAACGGTATCAATAAAAGTTGACTTCCAAGCTTCTAGCTGAGATGGTCTGCGTGTGATTTCTGCCTGCATGTTGCCCGGTTTAGCCTAGCATAGCTTCATTTCATTAATGCTGTGTACATGGCGTGTAATCAAGTCCACATTAACCATTGACGCTGTTCGACAGATCAAATTGTCTTCTGTGAGAACGTTATTATATATATATAAAGTAATTCAAGTGTATTACCGGATGCAGGGATGGACATGATGGCACCAATGGGCCTTTATAATGGTAAATACTGCACACGTGTGAATTATTAAATGCATTTCCATAAAAATGGCTACACATTTGTTGCGTAACCGAGTAAAGAAGCAAAATGATTTTGCATTTAGAGACGAGTATCCTGTAATTATGATTCCGTTCGCTGTTTTGGAGGCGAAGCGGTCTCGCTCGGAGGGTTTTCCCTCATCCTTTAGTTCTGCTGAGGCTTCTTTCCTTTAAGGAATAGAAGCTTTCCAGGGAATTTACCCCAAAACACATTTTTTTCCAGCTGCGCTGTGTTAAACACTGGCTACCTTCGAGTCACGAGCTTAATACTAATCTTTCAACCTCTACCTCCCGAGATCGTCCGAGGGGCACCTGGGTGGGAGTCATGGTGGACCCGCAGTGTATCCCAGCAGCCCCTTCGGGCGATGGAGGTGCCACATTGTCGCCTGTGTATAAAAACACGTCCTGCTCTGGGAGAGTATTCTAAACCCGTGTCTCCGGTCGGTAATGAATTTAATAATGCAACGAATGGCCATGAGCAGTTCCAGCTGGGTAATTACTGTGGAGTCTGCGTTTTTCCCCCCCCTCTGCATGCAGAGGAGAGAAGGATGTGGGATGTTGAAAGAGGTGGGCTGAATCCAAAAAGAAATGGTTGAAAAGAATGAGGCAGTCCGAACAAAGCGAAGAGCAAGAATAACAGCAGCTGCGGCGCTGCCTCGCAGTCCCGTCTCAACGCGCCTTTTCATCGGGAATGGACTCAAACTGACCCGGACGGCATCCCACAACCTATGATCCAATACAACAACGGAGAGGTCTTCCTCCTGTTCACTCGTTCTCCATCCGTCGGCTGAATAGTTTTGTCGGCTGATGTTTTTCATCACTACAAGCATCACTTGTTTGGTGCTTTTATAGTCTTCTGACCGCAGGATACGATGATTGCAGAAAACAGCTTCTGGCTCAGCCTTCACAGCAGAACACCACTTTTGGGATTTTTGAAACCTTTTCGACCGGTATTTGCTGTCATTAATGCGCCTTTTAGTCGTTAAACTCCACCTCGGTTAAGGACATGCATCTTGGTTGTGCTTAAGACAACTACTTCAGCTTAAGAAAGCACATTTGGTAAACAAGGTAAAAACACGCCACTATAAACCTCCACTGCAAACTGAAGTTTCAAAGTTGCGGCTCACTTGAATGTCCGTCTGTGGCCTAATTTATCTTAACAAAAAAAAAATGTTAACACGCCATAATAAGTGGTTATTAAACGGTTCTGAAGCCACATCCAAATGCCACAGCGCTATTTCGAGTCTGGTCCTCAGATATTCAGACAGTATTTGTGGGTAAAACCACCATCATGGAGCAAAGGAGACTGAAGACAGATTTGTACAAAGCTTCCAGGAAGCACATCCTCATATATAAAGACTACAACAATAGATACAAAGTCAATCACTCTGTCCCAATGAGAGGTGCCGGGTGCTGTATGATGATGGACGTTAGATGTCCCAGGAGGCCACGGCACCCTTGGGGTCATCCCTTCTTTTGCTTTTCTCGTGTCCCGTTTCCTGTTTTTTTCTGTCTGTCTTTCTCTCTCTCTGTGCTGAAGAAAACCGAGGCCAGTCGGAATGTGCTGATGGCTGAATGTTTCATCTCCGTCTCACATTACCGCCCAGGCTGAACTTCACCGATTCCCCCCACACACACACACTGACACACACACACACACACACACAAATGCTGGTATGTGTCATTGCGCCTGTATTTTGATGCGCTCGGTATCCATGGTGACTGGTGAGCGCAAACAGCAGGCTGGAAGGATGGAAAGCTGTCGCGTAAGCACAGCGGTGAGGGGGTTTCACAGGCGAGGGTTAGTTCATATGACCATATTCAACGTTCGTGATCTCGCTGCTACACTGGGGAAACATTTAAAGTGCTGCTTTGTGCACATACAACGGTTTCTCTCTGTTTCTCTTTAAGGCCTTTGATGGGCCCATTTGTCAGTAGTGCCTCATTCTGTGAAACAATTCAACTACTTTACAATGCAAAGTTTCTGCTGATTATGTTTATCTAAGAGGAAAATGTATGTCAGACCATAAACAGCTCTCCCTTTATTGAATTTCAAACATCTGCATCTGTTCTCGATTATGATTATTATGTTCATAATATGCCGCTGGTCTTGCCGGCCGACGCAGCACAGGTTCAATGGGTCAAGACATTCACAGTCTTAGTCGGCATTGTGGATCTGTGGTTCCCCTCTGCTGCAGGGAGCATTTTAACATCTTTGAGTCTCATTGTTCTCGTGTCACAAAAGTGATTTTAGGCTTGGCTTCAGACAGATCTTCATCTTAAGATACATCCCAATTCTCTTAACTGCGTCCACGTTTTTTCATCACTGAGCATTGAGAAAAGAGACGCCGTTTCCTCTGCAGCCTCACTTGGACTTGGAACAACATCTGCAATGAGTCGGCGTGAAGACTTTTAAAGGACTTTGTCTGCACACGTGATACTAATGAAGACACACAGGCGGCATTAATGTCACCAGTGTTTTCCCATACCTGTCATTTGTGTCTGTATTTAATGAATTATGTATATCAAACCTGACTTTACTTCAGTTGTGTGATAAATAACTTAATGAAGAAACAGATAATTAACACAAACAACCACCTAGTGAAGGAGAGTTTATCTCAATTGAATGAAGGCAACTTGTTTTCTGTCAAGAAGTAATATTCAGTCATTGTCTCTCCTTGGAGCATCTGCCAAGATGTGAAAGGAAGGCGGTCAAAAACAAAAGACTAAAAAAGACATTCCAGCCAGCAAAAACACCCAACGACAGTCATGCAACTTGCTCCTTTAGTGAGGCTGCACAGACAACGTCATTACCCGTCACATCTTTTAGTGAGGCTGCACAGACAACGTCATTACCCGTCACATCTTTTAGTGAGGCTGCACAGACAACGTCATCACCCGTCACATCTTTTAGTGAGGCTGCACAGACAACGTCATTACCCGTCACATCTTTTAGTGAGGCTGCACAGACAACGTCATCACCCGTCACATCTTTTAGTGAGGCTGCACAGACAACGTCATTACCCGTCACATCTTTTAGTGAGGCTGCACAGACAACGTCATTACCCGTCACATCTTTTAGTGAGGCTGCACAGACAACGTCATTACCCGTCACATCTGTCTGCATTTGTGTTTTGCTGGTTTTTCAATGTGACAACATTGAAAGGGTGACCAGAAGATATATTCCTCTTCCTGTTAAAGGTACCTGGTGGAGCATAACCGTCGGTCTGAACTTCTGTCACAATAGCTGACTCCTTGTTCCCTTGACAGTCGTGTTTAAGCCACGTGCGCGCTGGTCCTTCCACTACGTGGTTATGATGGTGTCTTAACTTTTTCACCACTGTGAGTATCCGATGGTTTACATTTTGCCGCACTCAGAATAGCAATTGGAAGTAAGGTAAGTAACGCATGTTGGGACCCAAGTTTCCTGTCGAGAGTTGACCTCAACGACGTGGTAACTGGATAACGGAAGAAAAGTTGAATTCTAAGAAGATACAAACAAACCTGCACGTATCCACTTTAAAATGAAAAGCAAAGAGTGAATACAACCCACACGTGGTCGTTGTAACGTCACTCTGTGGGCGTCAATGGAGAAGAAAAGAAAGCGAAGCAGACAAAGATTTACAGTTTTACTTTGCTCAGCACTGAAAGGAATTACAGTTGTGTGATGCAAACGTGGCACCAGGAGCTGCCCTCAACAGCCCCCACACACACACACACACACACACACACACACACACACACACACACACACACACACACACACACACACACACACACACACCCCTCCTCTTTGATTCCTCCCTCTTCCTGCCAAAGCCAACGCAGCCACTCAGGCCTCAGGGGCGACTTGTGTGGCACAGAATTCCCCCCCGACCTCCATGTCCAGCTCATCGTCAGCGCCTCCCCTCACACGTGCTCAGTAAAGCTACAGTAAAAAAAACTATATTGAGAACTTAATCCATTCTCTACAGCACCAAACAACGTTCTTTTGAGCGATGTGTCTTCCGTGAAGGAACATTGATGGTCATCCAGGTTAAGTTTAGTTTGATGTGAAGCCTGATTGAAAAGATGTTTCTGAGGAAAGAACAAACTGAATTGTTATTCTAAAGTATCAAACTTATACTTACTTAAGATGTGACCAAGTAATATACAACAGGGGCCTAGTTTAAGCTGAAAATCATATGACATGGATCTGACTAAGACCCCCAGTGCGTCAATGTAGGACCGAAAAACACAAGCGGATTAAAACTTAATGAGCATGAATTGTTTCTCATAACTGCTGATGGCATCAGCGACTCCAGAGAGAACAGTAACAGCAGTTTTCCAGTATCCTGCCATGTCGTGCAGTTTGGACAGAGCCATTGTGTGTGTTTGTGTGTGTGTCACTCAGAACAGAACCCTGTTCTGTCACAACCAAGCAAAATTGACTAATTCTCATTTAATTTGTTACCCCAGTTAACATTGTTTATGGTCTCAATCGCTAATCTCAAGTCTCATTCAAAACGGCCAGAAGTCCATTTAGTAAATCATGTAGCTGATTAAAGTAAAATAGACAATAAAGCAACTCTTGATTTAAGAGCGGCTCCTGCTACCGGACCATCATCCACCGCGGCTCATAAATGGTTAAACATTAGCAACATCAATGTTGCGCCCAGAAACAGATACGGTCTAACGTTGCTCACGTTAACAGGGGAAAACAATAGAAACATGTTTAGTATTTAGAGGAAGGCTGGGTTGTTCACTGGGTCACAAGCTGTTGTGTTATCTGTCATCCTTCTAACTTCTCAAACCCAGAGATGCTCTTAAGGATTTTAAAAAAAGATAAGGTCTCAAGTCAATGTTCGACTGTCCCCATATTTTCCTCAAATGTCTTGCAAAAATAATGCTAACTTCTTTTGTTGTACCACACACACACACACACACACAACAGGAGCACCAACCGTATCCAGCGTTTATCCAGAGTTTTGGAAAGAACTGCGGACGCCTGGAAGTATAAAAGCACAGGAGACACGACCACAGACCGTGAGGTTATGATGTGACCGAAAAATCAAGGACCGGATGCAAGTCTCACATTTACATGGCGCGCACATTAGCCGGCCGGGCAGCCAGGACACACACGGTCTGCAGGATCCTTTTCCATCCCTACAAATGGGCTCATGTGAAAACTGCCCTTCCCGAGTGTTCTGTGTGTTACGCAGGCCTAGTTTGCATTAAGCCGCGCAGCCAACCGTCATGCTTATTCATTTATCCTCAGAGTAAATTGAGGAGAACTCTTTGCCTCATGAAATGTCATCCCGCACTTTGCCTCTGTAATCCAGCGGGGACGTGATGAGAATATGATGGTTTCAGCACTGTTTTAGGTCGCGACCTTCTCTTGTGTATAGACATTCTGACATTAGTATCCAGCAAAGTCAGACCCTCAAACTCAAACTGTTTTCTTTAGTGACCAAAGTGATGCTTAGTGGGAAAGACACAGCGAGTCTACTGGTTTCAATGGTAATGTCGGTAAGCGCCCGTCACCAGAAGAGAGGGGCCCGAGGTTGAGAGGGGTACTGGATTTAAACATCAGATATTTATAGCCTGAGCAAAACAACCATATCCTGACAGAAAATTGTTGTATGACTGTCTGAAATGAATGGGCATCTCACTTAATCTCACACATAGAATAGAATGAGAACATACATCTGTATTTATATCCATCCATCCATTGTCAAACCGCTTATCCTGCACACAGGGTCGCGGGGGGGCTGGAGTCCATCCCAGTCAACTTCAGGCGATAGACGGGGTACATCCTGGACTGGTCGCCAGCCAATCGCAGGGCTACACAGAGACATACAACCATTCACACTCACATTCACACATCTACGGGCAAAAGTCCCCAATCAACCTGATCCCCAAAGCATGTCTTTGGACTGTGGGAGGAAGCCGGAGAACCCGGAGAGAACCCACGCAGACACGGGGGGAACATGCAGACTCCACACAGAAAGCCCACTGGGCGGAATCGAACCCAGGACCTTCTTGCTGTGAGGCAACAGTGCTAACCACCACGCCACCGTGACGCCCTCTGTATTTATATATATATATATATAATATTATATTATATATATATGGTCCCCAGGGTGAAGTAAAACATTTTCAGCGTGTAATGTAAAAAGCATTTCTGTCCTTTCCAGACAACAGTATCTCTGACCTTGAGGCGACCTCTCCCCAACCGTCGCTCTGGTAAAGTCTGCCCTTTACAGAACTCATACCAGCATCTAATACCCCGCACAACATCAGGAGATCCCCCCTAAGCTGCCGCCTGGTACGGCAAAAGCCCCGAGGCCGTCTGCTGATTAGAATGGAGCTGCAGGGAGGGATTTGGAAATGAGGAGACGTCTACTGTGGCAGCGGGGGATTTAATCAGTGTGTCACCTGAAGAGGTGAGTGCTTAGGTGTGTGTGTGTGTGTGTGTGTGTGTGTGGTCGGTCGGTTGGCCCGATCTGCAAACGCCAAGAGTTAATTGTCGATGTAGAATTTTTCTTCCATCGCTTCTGCATCTTTAACTTTAAATCTGAAGTTTGAATGAGGACGTTTCTTTAGCAGAACTGGACCGGCTCGCACCAGCTATTTGGATTTTGATTTCTTCTTGCAGCTCTTAGTATAAAGCAGACAGTCAGTGATTCAAAATGCATTGAAACCATTAAAACTGGAGCTTGTTGTTGCACCTCAAGCTCTGGACACGTCGGCCATGTTGCGTGGGAATAGTTAGCGGTAGTTGTGCTCCTCGCGCCTTCAATTAGCTAAATCAAAGTAACAACTGACCTCGCCCTGACATTTTGCATGCGTCGTGCCGCCGGTTTTAATTTAGCACTGCAGAAAGTAAACAGCAGCAGTCAGGCAACCTCTGAACTTTGGAGGAACGACAGCGACACGGGACGCGGTGGCGTGCTCTGTCAGGCCACGGGGTCGACCCGGTTGGCGGTTCAGGGTGGACGCCGTCACATGACACACACCATAGTGTTATGTGCGGTTTAGCAGGGCGCCAGGTGAATGTTAGGTAAGTGGATAAGAGTCTAGCGTGAGCAGGAATTTGGGTATTAGCACTAAAGCCCCCCGTTGCTGCCCGGACGAGCGAGCCGAGCGCACGCAAGCGTGGAAACACACAAACGTGCAAACACCAACCGCCGCGGACAATAACAATCCTCCGTGTTCATGAGAGCACACACATCACGCTAAACAAGCCAGCACGTCACTATTCCAGAAAACAAATTAGGCCGACATGTGAAAAAAGTTAAATCAGAAGATGTTAGATTCTGAGCCGCGTACTGCTGCTCCTTCATTGGGAGATTGAAGTTTCAACATAATCACATTCATTAGAAGCATTCTATTCTTGTGTTGCACAAAGTAATCAAACTCAATCTAGAGTTTACACAATGTGAATTGAGTCAATATGTTCACTTGAAATGAAAAAAAGGGACACCGATGAAGGCTGTAACATTGTCATGGAAAAGAGGGAGGCAAGAAAGAAATTGGAGATGTTTCGTCACTCAAAATCATTCTAACTGAATTGTTCTTTCATTGCTTTTTTTGGGGCAGGAGTAGGAAATTCCACCAACGCTACTGGGGAAAATGTAAGTCAGTGCTCCAAGCTGCAGACTGTCAGGATTTCTCATGCCGCTTTCTTTTCCAAGACGCAGCGATCGGTTGCCAGCTCTCTCAACGTTTCGTAGCTCCACCACGTTTTAATAATTCATTAACACACTTGGTCGCATGCCGCACTTCTTGGGACCCAGATGGGTCTTTTTAAGGTAACATGTCTTAAGTGAATGTTTTTTCTTGTTGCAGGCTGTGTGCTTCAATATGTGACTAAGTCCTCTGAGAAGCCTTTGTGTGTCATCTTGATATTCTCATCCCACTTTGTCTGCATGAAAACAACATCAGCAAACACACAAGCCAATGTGACACATGTGATTACTAACGTTTTATGTTAGCATGGTGTTTCCCCCCATCTCACTAATATTAAATTGCAAATATTGCTTTCAAATATCTTTATCAAAGATTGAGGCTAATGAGTTCGGGTTAGTGAGTTCTTGCATTTTGGATTTTATTTCACCAGCCAACATTCCTGACAATTAGCTTCAGCTTAGCCACCGTAAAGCTAACGGTCAGCGGAAGTTGTAATTACAGCCTTTAAACCTGGACTTTCCAACTTTGACGGGAAACATTTAGTGCTTAGGTGGAGTTCATCTTTCTTTAGACGGTTTTGTTTTTATTTTTCTACAGTTCTTGATTCACCACTTTCTGTGGTTCAGACTCTGCGCCGCACTGACAACCGGATCTCTAGGGGGCAAATTTAATACAGAGTGTGTAGCTTTACTTTCATATCCAGCGAGACGGGCTGGAGGGGTTTTCCATCTTTTGGGGAGATTTTTGTACATCTCAAACAAAACCGCCATGAGCCTGAAAACTAAAGGATTCATTACAAGAGTAATAACTCAGTTGTTTATATACAGACTGAAGGACAGCTGGATCGAAGTCTCCATGTACCAGTTGGTGCATTTAAATCGCTGTATTTTATTATAATCTTCTAAAACTGTTAAAATTTGCAGTTTATCGTGTAAAACTTTATGTATCCACGTGGTTTCGGCAGAGTGCCAGATTAAAGAAAATTGGAAACACGTGAGTTTCAGAAAGTAGGATCGACGGAGATCAAACTACCAACAGAGGACGGGACAACGTAATGTCCAAAGCCTGCTGCGGCGTCCACATCGTCCTCGGTCCGTCTCGAGTTTGGAATAAGGCTGACGGGGCTGGTGACCATAAACACAGCTCTTCTTGTGAAATTCCATCGTCAATAGGGGCTTTTTTTTTTCCAGACCCCAGTGGGGCACAAACCTCAAGAGTGTTTGCAGAGAAAGAGACAGAGCTCGAGAAGAGTTCACATGATGAGATGTCAGTTGCTGCAGAGTGGGCAGCAGGAAGCATGTTTACAGTAGACAAGTAGAAAAGTGCCTTTATTGAATATTTATTCAACAAGCTACTGAGTAAACCGGGTGCTGGGGATTCATTTCCTGCTATCAACGGATGTCCGATGGCCTTCCACGTAAAACTGTGTATGTTTGTTATAAACAGAAGGAAAACGCAACCATCAGATCCTTAATGCCTCCCATGGGTTTACAGAGGTTGATTCTCCAGGTGGAAAGAGCGCCACCTACAGAGAACGCGCTTCAATTAGGTTTTCTATCACGTGGAACCCACAGCTTCCAACAAATGTACATTTCCCTTTAAACCACCTCAGACTGCCTTCTTTAAAAGCAGGTTCAAAGGGCATTTTGGGAAATGTAGGACCAGAATGCTCAGACCATGTGCTACAAGCCACTCTGAGCCTCGAGGTACAGCTACGGTCTTTGTGAGAGGAAAAAAAAAAAATAGAAAAAAAAAAATGAAAAAAATACTTTTCCACTGAGCCGTTTCCCCCCTCGGGCGATGCTTCTCTCAAAGAACACACATCTGTAAATCATCCAAATCCTGCCCGAATATGTTACAGGTTAAAACAAACAACGCCGTGTGTGTTCCACCTCCACGCCGGCCCTCCTGCGCGAGCACACAGCACCATCTCGTGGTGAAGAGGAAGATCTTTCTCTGGCAAAGGAAATCAAGACATTGTTGCACCTTCTTGGCTCATAGGAATTCATTTCAGACATTATTCAGGTGGAGCAGAATTACTACAACAGAAACGTTTTTCACTTTTAAATTTTGTTTTTTTAATTCAACTGTTTAAAAACATTATTGAAGACAAAAATCTGCATAATAAACTGCCGGTGTCCATAAATCACCAAGAAATGTCCATCTCACGATTAAATACACTGTCGCCTGAGAAGCACATTTTGACTTCCGTAACAGCTCATCAGCGACGGCTCGATGGGTATTCTCGTGGAAAAGCTTTGTTTAACTGCAATACCTTCAGGGAATAAGAGTTCTGAAAGTAGAGAATCTGCATATGAAGCACTATTGGTTGTCGTGAAAATAGAAAATAAATATTCCTGACGCGTTATGGCTTTTATAACCAGCTTCCAAAACAAATCACGTCTTACATGTGCGAGTAGGAATGCGCGTACATTGTAATGAGTGCAGGATGGTTTGCGTCGCTCCCCGAGAACACAAAGACTGTGTGTGTGTGTGTGTGTGTGTATATATACACAGGGCAGAACTACGCATCAATGTCTCCTCTAAATGTGGTGCTAAACTTCTCGTGAAAGAACAAGTTTCCCTTCTAGTCTTTACCAAAATGTGTTGGTGATCCTTTAACTGAAAGCGTTTATCCACAAAAGAGATCTGAAGACAGCAGCTTGGAATACATTTCAAACGTGACAAAAATGTGAACAATTAAAAGAAAAACAGCAGACACCCGATTACCCGACATAAGATTATAGCGCGCTTTTCCACACGTGCTTTATGAAATCTGTCAGCAGAACAGAACAAAAGGGGGTGTAAGGTCGACGTCTATAGTATTGCACATACAGAGAGAAACACTGATTCAAGTTTGCTTATGATGCTTAAACAGTAAGAGGGTGATTGTGATCAGCTCCAAGGCTGAAATGTAAAGCGAAGCTGAATTCTGATTTTCATTCACAGAGCTGCTGGGATTTACTCTGATGGCGTCGTTTCACCTGCTGTGTGAGAAGAGCGGTGAATCGTAGCGATGCGCATGGAGATTCTCACCCTTCAATGGCCTGAATCTCTTTTCTATTCTGGGACGGTCCCCGAATCTGACACCAATATGACCTGGAAGTCCTACCGGAGAAGCAGAGTGGGCTTGAGCAGGTCTCTCTGGGACAGAAGACGTGTGGTCCATTTCCCTTCAGTGAAAGTTCTAGTTAGTGACTTAAAGCTGTGCAAAAGAAAAAGAAAAGTGATTTTTTTTTTTTTTTTTAAAAGGTAAACTAAAGAAAGGTTCACAAAATGATCCATATAAAATTCAAAGGACAAAGAAAAACGAAAGTTTGCAAATCATTTTGTAGTTTTAAAAATGCACATCAAAAGACACAACACAACGAGGCACCAAAATTCCAGGTACCAAAGCTCCCGGAAGCGGACCTTTGCATCCGGGCAGATCACATTCCGTTATGGGAGTCGAGATCAGACGAGCAACCAGAGACCAAATATTTATCTGCTTTGCAATCTGAGCAACGGCGGGAAAGAAGCTACGACGCTTTACAACATACACCGCCGGGCCTGATGGGAGCTACAAGCAGCCAGCCGAAATTCAAGGCCATTGTGCGCGAGTTCCCTCTGGCGCCCCCTGTGGTCGGACGGCTGAGCTGCCATCTCTAATGTCACGTTCCTTTTATCCGGCAACGGGCCACTTCCCTTCCCAAAGAACTCACCGGAGGAGATTGATTAAAAACACTAAAAGTTAATGTTTTGTGGATAAAACATTGCTCCAGTCGCCTGCGCCAGTGGACAGTAAGTGGTCACAACAATGCGGCCTTTAAGACGGTAGATTTTTTTACATGGGAATTCCACTTTCCTTTTACAAAATGATATGATTGACTGCAAAGCCGTGAGCAGGGGACCGGAGCTCTCGGGAAGCTACGTCCCGATCGCCAAACACACACACGCACGCGCACACACACACACCCGCCAGATGTTTAGTCTTAATCATACTTTTTTTTCTAAAAGGCAGCGGGTTAAAGAGTTTCTCAATCTAAAAAAATACAGAAGGCTCAGACTAGTGGTAAAACTAGCCGGACAATAACCCTCTCTGTCATGTAGAAGGCACGTAAACTACCACAAAAGTATAGGAATAATCTTTAAATGTGCAAAAAAGCTGTTTACATTGTGTCCTTGATAAAAGAAAAAGATGTCACGATCTGCCTTCGTGTTTCTGTGGAGGAGAACCTCCTTCCCATCGCTTCCATTGGCACTTAGTTAGCATTGGTGCAGATTAAAAATAAAGGGAGATCAGGGAGGGGGGGGGTGGGGGGAGTCGTGTGACGTGCAGTAAGTCGGCTGCATGACAAGAAGTTCTGCTTTTAATTCAAGGAATTCAAGGATCTCGAGTTACTGACTGGATTCACTTTGGATTCCCCCCAAAAGACAACCCAAAAAGCAGCAGGACGACACCCTGCGCTCCACCCCTCCGTCTCTCCGGTGTCCTCGGTCATTCAGACTCAGGGGAGGAGGTGGAGGTGGGGCTGGGGTTGGCGGCGCCGACCTCTGTGGTGGTGGTGGTGGTGGGGGAGGGAGGTGTCTTGGGGCCTTGGAGGGCCTGCGGGTTAACTATCACCTGGATGACAAAGTCCTTCTGGATCTTAGTGTCCTGCAGCCGCGTCTTGTCCGGCAGCAGCTTCCCAGAGAAGAACCAGCGCTGGTGGCTGGTGTCAATGTCCTCCTGGGCCTGCAGCTGCTTCTTCAGCAGGCCGATGGTGTCGGCCATGCTGGCGCTGAGGCGCAGGTCGGTGCCCGTGGACAGGCGGACCTGTGGTGGCGGACGGGCAGTGTGAAGATTAGTGTTGGGAAGCAAGCGAAATGTGGCTTTCTCTGATAAACGGTCAGGTGATCCTGGCTAGCAGCGCTAGCTGTGAGAGGCTACAGGAACATAAAGAATAGCTAGAACAACGTTTGGTTGGTTGGTTGGTTGGTTACGTGGCATAAATGTGTGGATGACCATATTAACAAATAGACTTGTGGACAAAGACAGAAGTAGCAATTGGATGACACAAAAAACAGGCTGCTTACTTTGAGCTGGAATTCCTTTTTGGGGGCCACGGGAGGTTCGGCGCTATCGCTGGGGTCGTCGTCGCAGCGCTCTGAGATGAGGTTGATGGGTGGAGCCAAGCAGTAGACGGGCAGCTGGTAGCGGGTCCCCAGTTCGTCGTAGCACTCGGCCAGATTTCCTGCAAAGGGGCGAAAAAAAAAAAAAAAAAAAAAAAGTCAGTTTGTTCTCCTTCAGTGCATTTTCCCACAGATCCACATCTTTTGGCGCCCTCACCGTGTGGCAGCGTGATGTTGGCCCCGTCAACGATGGCCTGCGCCAGGTCGTGGTCGCTGCCCTCCAGGGCCACGGCCGCCGCTTTCAGGGCGTCCCAGATCTCCTTGCGCCCCTCGAAGGCCGGCGCCGTGTCCCAGAACTCGTCGCGCTTGCTCCGCAGCTGGCCCTCGGTCATCGGATAGTCGCTCTTCCACTTGGGACGCTCTTTCTTCAGGGGCTCATTGCGCGCTGCGACGGGGAGGAAAGAGTCGTTAACAGTGCGGTTCATGGTTTTTAGCAACACCGTTTATGGGCTCTAGACCGGTCTGGGCTCATCTTTATGAAACGTCTGAGCGGCAGAGAAGCCTCTCTGGGGAGCAGAGATGGAGAACTGAAAAGCATGGAGGAGACGGCAGACATTCAAGACGTTGCATTTCTGTCCAAATGAATTATTTAAAGGGGAAAGCGGCTTAGGCGTGCTGAGGAGGACACTGTGTTGAATTAGCCATGGCAGCTTCCTCCCGGCCACTCAGCCAAAGTGCTGATGAACATGCGGCGTCCAGAGACAAACGATTGGGTTTAAGGCGCAAGTTCTGTCCTAATGCGGCCTGTGATAAACATGTCCCTGCGTTGACAAATCTCACAACGTATGCAAATTCAAAAGACACGCAATTTACGAATCATTTCATTAATCAGACGATCATTTTCTCGATTAATGGCGCAGTGGTCTGCTTCATTAAAACCCATCAGAAAAGTGAGAAAAGGTCTGTGGTGACATCATCAAATGTCGTACGCAGCAGTCGTAAAACGGCAAGGATTTCCTGTTGACAGGAGGACAAAGCAGCAAACGCTCTTTTAGAGGATGTCAGCATTAAAATGTTTGACTCACAGCTGAAGATCTAAAAGTAATCCAGTGGTGTGAGCACACGTTGCTAACAGGGACTGCTACTAGGTAACTCAAAATATAAATCTGTTCAAATGTAAAAAAATATATATATTTCTTAATCAAACCGCTCCTTTTAATAAGTGGTTACTTGTTGGTTTTGCGAGGTATGCAGATCATTTAGTTCAGACTTGATGCGCACGTTCTCCTCTACGGAACATGATTAGACACGTTATTCTTTACTTACTGACACCATCATGTGAGGAGAACAAAATGTCTCGCTGGTCTGTTGCGATGTCATTAAAGTTGGCTGGAAAATGTTGCATTGTGAGCTCCTGTGGGACTGCAGCGCTCCGGTTTTAATGACTCCCTACTCGGAACCGCTATTCTTTGCAGACAGTGTGTCACCACCACATCTACCGTCTGCCAACGAATGTGCGATAACACTCCGCTAACAAGTGGTCAAAGTGAAACGTTGCTGCACCTCACGGTTATTCATTTCACTTCACGGAACGTTTCAAAGTATGCTTAAATCTATTTTTGGAGTTAATGTGGAGCGAAGATACGATCGTATTCTAGCTACAGCTGTGAACTTATTAAAGAGCAAAACAGTTAGCTACGTGATCCAAACAACTTCACAGAAGCACCACGGTACGTTAAGGGTTCCCTAAGGGTTCCTTAAGGTTCTTCACATTGTATTGTGACAGAAACACGTACGGAGTTATTTTATTTTTATTTAATGATCATCATTTCAGAATTACTTAAAAGATACCGTTTAATCTTTATTTTGGTGAGCCACCGTTGTGCGTTTTATTCATAGTACTCAAATCCAATAAACTAAGTAATCTGAATCACCTGCGGCCAACATTTACCCCGACAGCAGTACACGGAGGCAGCGAGCCGTTACGGCCCAGACCTGCCGTCAGTCAGGCGATGAGCTCACAGCAGATTACCGCTTCATCAGCAGCTAGACAACCTTGTGGTGATGTCTTCAAATGCAGTCGTTGTTGACCAACTGGTCAAACTGTGGAAATATTAAGTCATAGAAGACTGGCAACACCAGGAAAACTGAAACACTTCAGCATTTTTGATCAGCTTAGAAATAACTACATCTACTTCATCCCTTCAACTCTCTGCTCAACCGTTTGGTCGAGCACATTGAGACATTATTTTGAAAAAAGGTATTGACTCAAACATTACCTGATTAACCTCTATTACTTTTATTAAACTCAGTTTGTGGAGAAGAAGGACTCCTCAATACATTGAATGAGTATTCATAATAGCAGTCGGTTATAAGCGACGTGTTTTTTTGGGTCATCACAGCCGTCCGAGGCGTGACCTACATTTAACACGTAGTTTCATTATTCTACTGTAGTCATGTTGTCCTTTTATCTCACGGCGACAAACATTTCGTTTCCACGTCAGAGCGGGTAGAGCGTGTCTCGTTAGAGGACGTGATGTGGCTTGTTCTTTTGGAGCGGGGTCCACTAGGGAGGGTCTCTAGATACCGATCAGGGTGGGGAATTACCACGAGCTGCTGCCGAAGCCCAGGGGAACCTTCGCTCTGAAGGCTTGAAATAGTTGATACGTTGGGCCATTTGGCAGGAAAAGGGCCAATTATTTTGAAGGTCATTTTCTTCAAATCTATATCAGATGTTCATTTTGGACTACAGACATGTGGACTGGGGGGGCGTCTAAATGCCTGACGCTAGTGTGCGAAGCTGGATTTATTCTCCAAAACGTCCTCACCAAAACACCTTTCCATTAGTAACAGAGGAAATAAAAGGACAAAACTTGCATCCAAATGAGAAAGACACTGAAACAGTCACTACAAGGTGGAACTTTGCAGACAAGATCCCCTTCATCATTTCCCTTCAGAGTTTAGCAGTCTGCTGGAGTGTGTGTGTGACAACTGGACCAACTTACTGACCCCAGCAGAGACGCCGCCACATCTCAGAAGGGGCGTAGAGGTTGTTTCCCCTCGTATACACAGTTAATCTAGCTGCTCAGATTAGACCACACAGGAGAGTTGCACCACAATCTGGTTGCTGGAAAAATAAGGAAACGCGCACAAAGCAGCAAACAAATAAAGAAAAGGCTGCTTGATAGTTTAAAACCCTGCTCGTACAAGCGAGCCAAATTCACACACAAATTAAACTGCATTGCATTTAGACTCACAACTAAGAATGCGGTTATATCACTTTGCTATTCACATAGACGTGAGAGGCGTAAAGACCAGATAGTCGGGCCAGTTTCTCCACAGCACAAGGAGAAGGGGGGAGAAAAGGTGATAAGAGTTGAAACCCAATGACAAGCGGTCACTTGAGCTGCATCGGACTCAGAAGTCTCCACCACCTCCTGTGCAATCCACGCAATTAAGCAGAAGTGGACAGTAGTGTGATGCCAGCAGGATTTAGCAACGCCTTGACGCACTGGTGGCGTTGCAGGAAGTGACACTTGTTGTGATTTAGTGAAGCACATCTCACCACCATCGTCGTCTTACCTCCTCGTCCGCCGTTCCTGGACGAGCCTCGGCTCTGTGAGTCCTCCCAGCCTTCCCAGTATCTCCCCACGCATCCTCCCATGGTTCAGATGGTTTCCCCGCGTCACACTAGCTGAACAAGGGGGCCCATCTCGGCAGAAGACGATGAACCGGGTCCGGGTCGGAGGTCAAATGCTGCGAGCCTAAGGGGTCACCGGCGGCAAGGATGAGAACACGTGGATGATTAATAGCGATGAAGGCACACACTTAAATATACATGTCGGCCATGTATGTAGGAGCCAGAGTTAAAATGCGTGTCCTCTTTACGTATCAGTGCGGTTTGCGCGTGAAACGACCCCACTAGAGTCAAAGCTCGTGTCCCACACTACCGTTACCCACACAAAAGTCCGCTAAATCAGCGACAGCACCTGCCAACCCGTTTATTTAACGTTAAGACGTGAGCTCGAGTCGTCTAACTTGCCTGTGAAGTCGGGCTAGTCGTGCGCCGTGTAGCCGAGCATTGCAAACAACGCGCACCTTCGTCGCTAAAAGCTAACAGGGCCAACCGGCTAGCTCCCGGGACACCAGCAAACGCCAACGTCCGCCAGCTCGGGACCCATTTGCACGCTGGGTTTCCTTCCAATATCCAGTGGACGGCGGCGGTCTCACGCAGACATCCCGCGTACCGTTCCTATTCTTGGCGACTATTTCCAGTTTATTGTCCCACTTAAATCCCCCCCCCAGACGTTGGTGCCGTCTTCCCTGGACTAGCGGTGGAACCGGAGCTCGCGCAGTTTAACTTTCTTTATCTACGCCTGCGCGTGGGCACGCGGGCAGGTGCTGCGTTCTCTTACGTCAGGACGAAATGCGTTATGAATGGACGGGAGCGCTAATCGATTCGACATCCACGGAGGTGTCACCGCTGATGTAGTGAGTGTATTCATTTTAAACTGTGACCAGTACGAAAGCGACCACACCGTGCCTCGATGTTAGGGGACACGGTCTCAATCGGTAACGTTAACCCACATCGCTGATGTCAGCTCACTCCCTGTGGAGTGGCGTTATTCGGACGGCACCTGAAGGCAGCACAAAAAAAGCTAATGTTTTAATTTTCAGATAACATTTACATTTCAAGCACACGTAAAGTATATGGCCCCTGGTAACATCACATTGTTCGATAACGATTTTATAACTGATTCTGTACAATTAGTCACGTTTGTCTTTTGTTTAACTCCTTAACTTTTCGCGCATGCGTGGTCTCGGTGCGAGTCACAGAGGCGCGATGGCTGCGGACAGTGCCGTGCTGCTGTCTCTGGTGGAGGAATTTGTCTCTGGACTGCAGGACAGCAAAGCCAACGATGCGGCAACATGTAAATAAGTCGTCCTCGCATTATCGTCGACATCTTTCCTGAGTAACTCGTTGCCCAAAACGCGTCCTTGGAAGCTGCTGAGCCGCCGCTTGAGGGATGCGCAACACGGCAGGATGGTTAACTAACGTTAGCTAAGTTAGCACCGCGACATCCTGTGTGGTGTCATTGTCAAATAACGTTATGTCCGCTCACCCGATCGCGGTATCGGCACACGCTCGATGGATCCCTGACGTACTTTTATCGCAATGTCACCCAGCTAATAACGTTATATTAGCCGCTGTGTGCGAAGGGAAGCGTCCCGTCAATGAACTCTGTAGCGTCACCTTTGAACCCCGCCGAGGTCGCTCGTTAACCTGCAGTTCTGTTACCTGTGCGACTGGTTTCCCACGTGTGTGTTCGCCGTGTGCTTGTGGTTGTAGCCGTCTCATCGGGCCTTTTGTTACAATTCAGTAAACGTGGCTTTTCTGCTCAGGTGTCAAAGATGGACAGTTTACGATACTGGAGCTGGTGGAGGCACTGGGGTAAGTGATCAAGGTGTTTCTAGCAATACAGCAAAACCACCCTCATTGGTTTACTATGTGTTGGACAAAGAAAAGCGAATGAAAGGGTTTCACTCTAAAACAGTGAATGATGATATTTAATGTTGACAGAATTGAGTGACTATAAATGTAGAATAATCTCCACCCTTTCCTCTTCATTGTAAAGCATCCAGTTTCAAACTACGCTCTTCCTATTGCTCCTGTGTTATTTGGTCTTACTTGCCGTGTCCCGTTCCTTCCCTGTGTAGACTGAGCCTCACCAGCTCGCAGCCTCACACCCGGGCCAGAGCGGTCCAGCTTCTCTCTCAAGTGCTACACGATTGCCACGGGGCTCTCACGGAGAGAGAAGGTACGCATCTTCTCCTTCTATTTGCTTTCTGATGAATACAATCCGTTTTTAAAAAGCCATCTCGCATCCATCAAAAGAACTTTGTCACATTGTCTCGGAGAGCTGCATGCAGCGTGTGGAGGGTGATGTTTGCTCCGCGTGTCTCTGTCCTCCCCAGTGGAGGTGCTCCTCGCCTTCTATGAGAACCGCCTCAAGGACCATTATGTCATCACGCCGCCGGTTCTACATGGGCTCAGAGCGCTGGTGAGCGTTTGCCTCCTGGATACATTGAGCATCATTGTGAGACTTTTGCACTTGGTTTTGCCTTGAGTGTGTGTTTGTCTTTGAGTGTGTGCGCTTCCCCCCCTCCAGACCAAATGCACAGTGTTGCCCCCTGGCTCAGCTGTGTCCATGCTGAGGTCTTTGTTCCAGGATGTTCATGTTCAGGTGAGACTAACACCAACACCTCCCCCCTTACATTTTTGTCACATGCTGGGTGTTCACGGGGGCTGTTCATTTTCCCCCAGTCGTTGATGCTGGGCGAGAGAGCGTGCGTCTACAACATGCTCATCAACCTCATGGCCACCAGAGAAGCCGGTAAGAGACACCCGGTTTGAGCGAGACGTGTTCCGCAGAGGAAAGGCGCGAATAGCGGCCCGCATTGATAAAAGTGCCTGTGTCAAAAGTAATAAAACATTCATGCGTAGTCATCGCTAACCTCGGACCCAAGTTTGACCCTATCTTCTCATCAACATACAGTATAAAAAGCAAATAGAATAACTGCCGGTATTTATGTTTGATCAATGTGACCTCACTTCTGTTTCTCCACCGTACTAGAGGTAAACGTAATGATTAAAGGCAGCAGATAAATCCTCTGAAGGGTTCACATCTGGACAAGTTAAGATCAGATCAGGTTCCATGGGAGGCGGGTTGCTGGTCATAGATGAACGTGTTGTGTTTCTCAGTCTATAATAAAATGTATCACTGATTGGGTCTAAGCAATCTTCAGCACAGTCGTAGCCTCCTCACAACTTCCTCACATTTCCAGGTTAAAGACACATTGGGTTCATTTCTCCAAAGTGAAGTGAAACCAAAATACCCGTCAGTCCGTCTTCCAGAACTAAAACACAGCTGTGTTCCCGTCTCACCTGTCCACAGAACTCAAGGGTTTGGGCGCAGACTTTGTGTTTGGTTTTGTCCAGTCGATGGACGGAGAGCGAGACCCTCGCAACCTGCTGCTGGCCTTCCAGATCGCCAGGACCATCGTCCTCCGAGGTTATGATCTCGGTGAGCGCGCGCGCGCACACACACACACACACGCACACACACACGTTCAGCATCTCCCGTGCTACTATCCAGTGCACAGTGCCATTGAGTCTCATCCCGCATCCCCTTCATTTCCTGTACGCCATCTCAGGTAAATTCACAGAGGAGCTGTTCGAAGTGACGTCCTGCTACTTCCCCATCGACTTCAGCCCCGTAAGTCCCTGTTTACTCTGCTTAGTTTTGTGTGGGGCATAAGGGCATCTCCCTTTAACGTGTGTAGATGCATTTATCACTTCTGCCCCCCCCCCCCCCCCGCTGAGTATTCAGGGACTTAAGGGGCCCCAGGGGATGGGGAGGGGGGGGTCCTCCCGAAGCTGAGGGGCGTCCCCCCTGGGACCCCCCGGTTTTGGAGGGAAGGAGCATTTTTCAACTCTCCTCTGGGCCGGACCGGAGAAGTTATGGGAGAAGTTCTTCCTGAGTTTTTTTGTGTTACATTACCGCTCTATTTCTCTTTACCGCTGACCATTGAAAGACTGGTCTCCGATGTTCATAGGGACACGCTGCTCTCTGTGATGAATCCTGAGAGAAAACTCCACTGAAAACTCCCCCTTCTTTCGAGTTTTCAGAGATGGAAGATGCCATCGTGGTATCCTCTAAAGACACACAGGGACACAGGGGGCAGCGCCACCCCAGAGAGAGAGGGGTGGTGAGGTAATGGAGGGGTTCTTTTCTTGCCACACTGGACATTTCTCAGGTCGCCGGTGTGTCAAAATATGAACATAAGGACGTGGCGGAGTTCCTCGAGGGACTGTGGGCCTCACTGCGGAGAGAGGTTTGTTTGAGACAACGAAACATGAATATTGGATATAATTGACGTGCATCTACATCGTGACATACTTTTGTAAAGAGACGGCTTTATTGTCCGGAATGAAAATCGGGAATCGTCTCTAAAGCTGCGATCACATGAACCAACTTTATTGGTCAAACTCTGCAGTGTTTTGTCTTCTTACTTTGTCCGGTTTCCACCAATAGCATTTGGTGGAAACTCTGCACTTTGAACAATAGAAGTGATGGATTAGAAGCCAAAACACACGGCTTTATGGGTAGAAGGCAACACATGCTGTTTCTCACGCTCTGCGAGCCAAGAAAGAAAGTCTGTGCTGATGCTGACGGTCCCCCAAAAAGCTGTAATTAAAGCGACCAATCTGTTGAGATAAACAGCGCTTTGCGAAAAGGAAACGCTTCAAAGTGCTTGTTGTCTCCTCGCAGGTGTTCCAGACAGCGAGCGAGAAGATCGAGGCGGCTGGCCTCGCCGCTCTCACCGCACTCACTTCCTGCCTGTCTCGCTCAGTCCTCAACTCTGACTCCGAGGACTCCCTCAGCACCTTCCTGCAGCTGGTTCTCACAGGTCAAACGTTGTGGCCGTCGCGTTTATTTGCACAGTAAATGCATTTTGTACGACGGATGTAACGACTCCACATTTCCAATAAAAAAAAAAGGGTTAAAGCGGCCGTGAGATTGGAGGTGGAATAAAAGCAAAACCGATGCAGGCAGAGCGACTGAGGGTGTTTTGATGTATGAAGTGTTGAGCTAACTGTGGTTAGTAGATGGAAAGGAGATTGTACCATGTCAACGCAGAGCGAGTTCCAACGTTCCACTCAGTCCACGCTCAGTTTACAGCTTATTCAAGTTAAGGAAAACCGTGTGTCACAGCTTTCACGACTTTAGTGAAATCTATAGTTCTTGAGAAGCCAGCCATGATTATTATTATGATATCGACACTGGACTTTGACTTCTACTGGTTCATTTTTTATTTGTTGTTGTTGTATCTGTTTTTAATCCCCCCCCTCTCTTGTGACTAACACGGCAGCACAACAATGAGTGGTTGTTTTTCGTCGTTCCAGACTGCAAACATCACCTGTGCGAGCCGGACCTGAAGCTGGTGTGGCCCAGCGCCAAGCTGCTGCAGGCCGCCTGCGCCGCCTCCAGCAGGGCGAGCCACACGGTCGCCGACGCCGTGATGCCCGCCCTCATCGAGCAGTACAACGGCAGAGCACAGGTAACTCGGGGGCGACCCGGCGCCCAGGAGCTTGCTCCGTCCTTCACCCCCGAGGTCAAAATGTCCACGTCATGTGCGGAGGATGTCAGTAGCGTTTCTCCAGCTGCCCAACGTGCCGGTTTCTCTCTCTCTCCGCGCAGTGCTCCCAGAGACGGACTCTGCTCGAGGTGGTGCAGCGATTCCTTCAGTCAGTGAAAACCTGCGAGAGCGGCAAGTGTTGTTTATGGCTTTATTCCTCCGGGGCGACTTATTATGCGGAACACTTTTACATTCTACAAAGAACACCCGTGTTTCAGATTTGAATCTGCATGTGCGCTCGTGGTTGCGGGTGGACTGTGATAGAATCTGTATTTGTCCTCTGGTTTGTGTCACCGTGGTGCCGAGCGGACGGGCTTGACATACAAGGACAAGATTGAATTTGCTGACAGGTACTAACTCTCCTCCTCTGTTCCATCTGTCGTATCTCTAGAAGAGAGCGTGTTTTCAGCCTTCCGTCCCGCTCTGTGCACCGTGGTGTTTTCAGCGCTGACGGAGACTAATTCCAGCCTGCAGATCACCGCCGCCTCCGTCCTCACCTCGCTGGCGCGGCACAGCGGTGAGATGAGATAAGCGCTTGCATCGCCCCCCCCCCCAGTGGTCAGTTCCATACTCACCGCTTTGTTTTTGTTTATCTCCCCGCCTCCTTTAGATCTGCTGTTGGACTCTGACATCGAGCTGGCTGTGGATCACCTGACCCGACTGCTGCTGACAGAGGAGGATGAGCGAGTGAGGTCAGCTCCCGTTGAACACGCTCGGCTCCTCTAACTTCACGCTGTGTTTACTTCAAAGATTTTTGTTGTCATTTACACATGCCCTGTGTATTGGAATTCTTATGCTTGCCTTTCCGAAAAGCCGACTGTTCACCGTTGATGGAATTTGATGACTGAAATGTGCTGCATAGTCTTCATGAGTATAAACGCCTGTGTGACAGCCGGCTCCAACTAGAGCGAAGAGTCGTTAAATTAAGATTCTTACCTTATTACCTTACCTTATCGTAACTCATGCCCCTACAACGACATCTCTGAGATCGGGTACATAAATGGGTCTTTTCTTGCCGTTTGTGGCTCCAGTCTCGCTGTGGTCGAGTGCGCCGGAGCCTTAGCGGAGTTGCGCTCGGCGGCTTTCATCACCAATCTGATCCCGAGACTAAAGAAGGAGCTGTTTTCTGGTGAGCGAAGACCACACACTGAAAATATGATGTTTTGATCATGAAATAATTCATTGCCGTGCCTACGTTCTTCCTGAATGTACCGTTTCGCCCCTCGCTCTCCTCGCCGCAGAGCCCACGGATCAAAAAGACAACAGCGAGGCTTCTGAGAAGCTTTCCCATCATGCAGTGCGCCAGCGCTGTTTGTCGGCTCTGGCCGCCGTGTCCACTCAACCCGGCGTTGTCCAGGAGAGCGCACCTGTCCTCCTGGAGGTCCTCGGCTCAGCGCACGCGGGTATTTCTGTCCGATGACGTCATTGCCTCGCTGTCCCCGGCGGAGGAAATGAGGCCTCCGGGTGACGTTGTGTTCCCGTGTTGTCAGGTGGCGTTGTCTTCTCCGTGGAGGAGGTGGTGGCGGCGTGCGGTAGCCTCCGGAGAATAGCCGAGCGGGTGCAGGACACCGAGGAGACGGGACGGTGCTTCCACGACGTCATCATCCCGCGCCTGCTGTCTCTGGCACTCCAGGCTGCACTGCAGGGTGAGCTCGAGCTCACGCTAAAATACCTTCCACCGCAAAACACTCATCCCTCAAACGCTCTCACCTTGAACCTTTTCCTTTATTGATTCATTGCTTAGCTTTTAAGATACTTTAAAATGTTCTGATAAGGGACTTTGAGCATTAGGAAAAGCGCTATATAAATGAGATGCATTATTCTTATTATAAATTGGTCAATTATTGGGGCTGAAATCCAATCCGGTGTGTTTCAGGCGGGGGGGGATCGCCCGGTCGGCGTAGTCCTCTCCTGGAGGAGGTGGTCCTGGCCGCCATGGTCCCCGTCATCAGCACTTCCTGCTCCAGGCTGCAGCCCACGTCAGTACAAACTCTCACGCGCTCCTCCAACACGTTGGTTTATCTCCACAGGAAGCCTCTTATTCTGAAAAGCGCACCATCAGGATATGTGTTTGTAAAAGGAACGGTCGTACTCTCTGTGCTTTTCAATTACGATTGCTTGCTTTAAATGTTTTTAACAGTTTGATATCACCGTCATTGCCACATGCACATCGCTTAGATTGTTAGGACTGGTTTCACCAGTGGACTTAGCCGGCCTCGGTGTCTCGCGTGTCTTTTTACAAAGCACTGTAAGCCCATGTCCGTGTCGTCAGGCTGGCGGGACAGACGGCAGCGAGGGCCGTGTCGCTCTTCCTGGACGGCGACGTCTCCTTTTTACCCGACAACTCGTTCCCTTCCAACCTGCAGCTGCTCAAGGTTTGTACGCACACGGCTCTGCGGTGCCTCTCTGTGCCGTTTATTCTAATCCGATAAACAAAAGCACCTCCAGCCCGGAGGGCAGAGTCATAACGATGCAGCTTCATTGCACAATTATCACCTGAATACCTGATTATCTCGGCGGCACTCGGTTCTGTCCCTGTGAGCGTTGACCCGTGATGTTTTCCCAGACGCAGCAGGGGGACTCGTGGAGCCAGTCTCAGATGGTCTGCCTGCTCTTAGGATGTGTGTGTTCGCTGCCTCGCACCGTGAGTCTCAAGCGCTCGCGCAACGCGGGTTCTGCTCCTTTTGAACGAACGCGGCTGCATTCTGACGGTGGCGCGTGTCATTCAGGTGGAGGCGCCTCGGTTGGACGAGCTGATGACCGAGCTGGAGGAGATGAGCTGCGCCTGCAGCCACCCGCTGTCCTACACCTCGGCTGCAAAGTGCTTCGCTGGCCTGGCGAACAAGAGAGCAGCTGGTCAGTTTGGGCTTTTAAGCCTCCCTTTTTATTTTTATTTACACAACTTAAAGCCTCTGTGACGATTCTCTTTCCCCCTCAGGCGAGTCTCTCGACGGCCTAATTCAGAGGACCATGAAGAGGGTGTGTAGTGAGCTGGACTGCCCGTCTTCCCCCGCGCGCACTCAGGCCTTCACCCTCATGATCTGGGTGAATATTCTATTCTATTCTTCTCTGCTAGAAAGTTCATTTTTGTCCGGATACATAATGGTCCCATTTCTAGGACATTTAGTGTGTTTCATTTTCCTTTTTAAATTGAACTTATTTTACCGCCGGCTCTCTATTGATCCATCCAGCTAGTTGCTCACTTGACAGAAAAACGTCATGTGACAAGTTGTTCTCGTCTCCAGGTGGCCAAGGCTCTGCTCCTCCGATACCACCCTCTGTACGCCACGCTGACCGACAAGGTGACAGCAGCGTCTATTCCGTGTGCTTTATCAAACACAGTGAATCAAGTTCATCATCGGCCGTGTACTCTTTCGAAGCTCTTCTCGCTGCTCGACGACGCTGATCTGGGTCCGGCGGCAGCAGACGCCTTCCTGCTGCTGATGAGCGACACCGCCGACATCCTCAACCGCGGTTGCCACGCCGATGTTCGCATCATGTACCGCCAGCGCTTCTTCAGCGAGAACTCCGCCAAGTTGGTGCAGGGCTTCAACGCTGCGCCGCAAGGTGCGATTTAAAGGATTGTTGCGGTGTGCTGATGATCTTTTGAAGGGAAATGTAGCAGAATAAAAGAAATTCTGCAGGTCTCAGCAATACTTCAATTATATTGTTGGTCATTGATGTATTGATGTGTTTATATGAAATGTAGATATTTAAAAACCTCTTTGTTCTGCAATAATTTTCTGTAATTTTTTATCTTTGTCCATTTTTATTGCCTTTTGAACGTCAAGAGAAAAAAATATTCCAAAGCATAAACCTCTTTGGACAAGAAGGTTGAGGTCAATTAATATCCGTCAGGTGTATGTGAGGACATTCCACCCAGATTACATACAGTGGATAAACAAAGAGGCTTGCAGATTATTTGAACGACATAATGTCAAATCTCCAAAAGAGAACAAAAAAAGAGGTTTTAGACTTCTTCTCCTCAATGTCCTTCCCGTCTGTCCCCTTCACAGAAAAGAAGCCCAACTACCTGAAGGCCCTGTCCAACATTGTCAACAAACTGCCCAAGCAGGTTCAACTCACCGAGCTGCCGGCGGTGAGCAGAATTCCCACGGTTCTTTTTCAGATGGCGCCACGAAATACATTTATATATATCGTCTTAACGTGTCGATCCAGCTGCTGTCTCTTCTGCTGGAGGCCTTGTTGTGTCCTGACCACGCCGTCCAGCTGTCCACCCTGTCCTGCCTGGAGCCCGTCCTGATGGAGCCCCCCCCGGCCCTCATCCAGCAGCTGGAGGCTCTGGTCGGCAGGCTGCTGGCCCTCACCGCCAGTGCCGTCATGGTGGGCGAGAGCTCTTTGTGTCCTTTTTGGTGTCATGCGTCGGAACTACAGCGAAAATCTCCCTCTTGTATGTAAGAAAGAACATGTGAATTCCTCGGAGCTCTCTCAATTATTTCCTCGATTTCATTTCAGAGCGTGCGGATCGCCTCGTTGCGTTGCATCCATTCCATTTCCTGCTTCCCCGCGCACGAGGTAAAACCCGACGCGGTCTGCCCGATTGTTCCTACGACGTAGAATACGAGATGTGACCCGTCGGTGTATTGTTCCGTGTCTCTGCAGGTGTTGCCTTTTCGGGCCCGAGTGCTGCGCGCTCTGTCCCGGCCTCTGGACGACCACAAGAGGCTGGTGAGGAGGGAGGCGGTTCGGGCGCGAGCCGAGTGGTAAGAGAGACACACGAGATATCACTGTAGTCTCGGTATTAAAAACCCAGCAGATAAACTCCCCCAGTTCCTGTAGTTCTGTACCCCAGAATGCATCTTTTCTGATGGCCGTGTGCCAGCTGAGCTCTGTGTCGGTTCGTCATGAGGAGGCTTCTCTTTCTGGTGTTTCTCGCAGGTTCCTGTTAGGAAGTCCTGGAGGAAGTTGAGGTTGGTCCTCGAGCACAAGCCAAGTCTCCCATCCTCCCTCAACCTGGAAGAATACAGATGTGAGGGAAGTCAAACCCCTGGACCAGGTAGCGAGGATCAAAGCTGCGCGATCCACACATCCTCCCCTCCCCAAACACACTCCCCTAACTCTGGATCTATCAACGAACCCTTCATCGTCTCTTCATCTTCTGTTTTTCTTCTGTCTATATGAACGCACAAATGAGTCTTTGGACCGACTGCGAGTATTGAAAAGAATGTTTAAGAAGTTACACCTCCTGTTCGTTGTCGTCCGCATCAGAATGTGACTTTAAGTGCATTTTAAAAGGTGGTAGCTTTCCTACTCTGTCAGATCAGCAGCTAAAACACGGTCATCCGCTGCTCGCCGTCAACAACCAGAAAATGTATAATTCACTTTTTGCACGATTTTTTAAAATCTTCCCAAACTTGGACGGCTCCAATAAGAGAGCTCAGCGCTATAATTTGAAGGTGTGAACTCCGAGGAAAAGGGCAAACAGCGTACACACATTGGATGGTGATGTCACGGACTGTGGGGGCAACGTTTTCTTACTTTTATTTCTTTTGAACTATTTCGGTGGAACCATCAAAGTTCCTCCACACAGTGCATATACAGATGTGGACTTTAGTGGCAGTGAAGCCGGCGTTTAATGTTCTCATCCAGATGAATGTGTAGTTGAAGTAATGTCTAATAATAACAGCTGGGGGTGTTACATTCATTTCACTGTGGTTTGCCACTTTGTTGAGATCTGGGAAAATGTGCCAATTGCCTGCTGGCTCACAGCGTGGCCTGAGTCACTGAATCACACCTCCACTGGGATCATTTTAAGATGGATTTTACAGGTCAATGTAGGGAAAGGTTAGAAGTGAGGTAGGCTGACTTTGGACCTCAACTTATGCCAAGGAAATATAGTATTTAAAATGTCATTAAAACCTTTCTTTGTAATTATTCAAAATGCTTTTCGTGTCATTTTTTAATAGTTCAAGTCCTTATCAGCTGAAAGGATTCCAAATCGAAATATCAAACAGGGTTTTTATTGAAAAGACAGTGAATGAAACTGGAGCTCAGCTCCCATTGGTTACATGTGGTATCACAGCTGTACGTGATGCTTAATGGCAATTACAGATCCCATCCGTCACGAGCGTCATGATACGAACATGTTGCAGTCAAAGATCTGAAGGGATTTAAAAATGTGCTATTAGGTTTCACAGAACCCGATTCACTTATTTAAAGAGCCTCATTTCACAACCAGACAAAGTGCTGAATCTTAAAACATGACAGATTATTGACAGATCGCTGGACAAAAATATGTGTTCAGCTCACAACCCCACAGGCCATTAGGATCTGTCTTCCGATCACAGTCCGTATGGTCGCCGACAAACCGTAGCACGTCCCAGGGCCGCTGTGGACGTCTGCAGTCGGTGCGCCTGCTGGAGGTGGTGGTCCGTGACTCTCCTGAATCCCAACTACCACAAAAACGAACCGACTGAGACGCCTCTCCCGAAAGGTTAAATGAGTTACCGCTCTTCTGCTGGTCCGGGCCGGGGGCGTCGTCCGTGGCAGCACACACCTCACACTGCAGGAGCCCCGAAGAGCCGTCGCTTTGATGCTGGCACATTAAAACACACAAGGCCCTATTTGCTTTAACTGAAATAAGATGTTCTAGTTCACAGTGTGCCGTGTTTCCTCCGACCCCCCCTTACACCCGCCTACTCAGAAGAGGCTGCAGTGTTGGTGCACGGCGGTCAGTTAAAGAGATGTACAACAAAAGCTGTGCTGTCCAGCAGCACCATGTAGAAATCCCGAGTAGGTGGAGACCGGTTGTTTATGAGATTCGGCTCAGATGGCCATGGGGTCGCTTCTGGCGAAGGAGAAGTCCCACATGATGCCGTCCCCGTCGGGAAGGTGGCTGGAGGGCAAGAGGACCCGCGTGAACCAGTGGCTGGGGAGACGCAAGCACAATGCGGATTGGCGGAGAACTGCTGTTTTGAAGAGGTGAAAATACACACAAAAAACGCGGTGCATTGCTTTGCTACACACTGATGACAACTCTCTTCAAACAAGTCTATCACAAAAAGCTTTTCGGGATATCGCCCCACCTTTAGTGTCCCCAATGGCGTCTGTAATTAGCGCCTGCTGTATAACCAGGGTTTAGCTACATGGGAACTCACCTCCTCTTTTCCACGCCCAACAGTAACTTCCAGTTGTTCATTGGACCATGGTGATATGGGTTTTTGAAAACCTGCATCAGAACAAGGGGGACATCTTTTTTATCCTGTATTCCCACACTAAATACTCACCACCAAAACTACCAAAGTGTTTGCTCCCGGATGCCGGACGGCGCTGCGACACCGGAGCTCGCACCTTGCCCTTCTCCCGCAGCCTCCTGGTCTCTTTGTTGTTGATGTGACGCTCCACGCTGGTCTCTCCTCTGCTGATGATTATCATGTGCCAAAGGGTGAGTCCTCCGAGAGCCACGCACACCGTGCTGCACGCGGGTGGAGGGGGGGGTTATTGTAACATGATGCTATCACCCGGTCTCTCAAAACCACACGCATGTGTCAAAGCGTTCCTCACCTGGTCAGCACCCAGAGGAAGATGATGCTCTTTTGAGCAGTGGTCTCGGGGAAGGTTTCGGTCGGGCCGGGGGTCTGATAGAATCTCTGAACGGGACAGGAAATGATCACCAAACGTTATTTTACTTCCACTTATGAGCTGAGTGACGTAATTAAGTTGTTCGCATGCCAGCCGGTGCATGAGCACCTCGGACACTAGACCGACCCCGATCGCATGGAAACGCCAGCGCAAGAAAGATAAGATCCTTTTGCATGTCTCGTATTTCAATTATCATTTGCCACCCGACCCCCGCCCTCCAACTCCCCACCGTCTGTCGCCGTGGCGACGGCTGAAGGCACAGCACCACGGTTGTGTGCGTTTGCGGGCTGCACAATAGATACTGACCTCTATCGCGTCGTAGGCCTCCAGAAACAAGGTTTTGCTGCTCATGCTGCAGTAGAAGCAGCCCAGTGTCATGTACAGGCAAAAGCAGAAGAAGTAGCGGTGGTTGAAGTGGCCCACGCAGTTGTTCACCCAGGCTGGAAAGGCGTTGAGGTCAACGTGTACAAAGATGGCGGTTGGGGAACAAGACAAAGGAGGTAAACAAGAGGTGAGGCGTGTTCGTGCTTTTGTTTTGTTCCGCGTTGCTTGCTAGAAGGATACGGCAGTGATGGTCCATCTTCAGCACACAGCTGGAATTTAAACAAACAGTGGACGGTGAAGGAACTTTTTACACTCAAGAACTGTACATGAGAGGGTTTCATTCGTATTTCCATCTTACGTGTTGCAGATGCTGCAGTGGTGCGTCCTGGGCGGTTTCGGAGTGATGCACTTCTTGCAGATGGACACCGAGGGGATATGAATTTTGTCCTGAAGACAAAACACAAACGAAGTGGCCCAGGTAAGTATACGACCAGCGTGCCGTGTGCATAAATCCCGTCTGGAGTGCAGTACCTTGGGCGAGTGTCCCGGGGAGGTGGTGGTAACCTTGTAGTAATGGAAGACCACCATGACGAGAAGCCAGTGGCCACAGCTCAGGTGCCAGGCCACCCAGTACGAAGGGTAGGTGCTGATGATTGTGGGCAGGACGAAAAGGTAGACGATGACCACGACCGAGGTCGTCAGCAGCACGACGAGACAGACAAAAACCTGAGTCGGGGAGAAGAGGTGACGGTGAGGGGGAGTGAGAGAGAGAGAGACAGAGAGAGAACGTCCGACGGTCATCCGAGCTCTCACCGCTCCGAACCACCGGGTCACGTTGTCCACAATCCAGTAGACGGGCTCGAACGCGCAGTCCAGTAGCGTGTCGCCGTCGCTGAGGCTGTTGGAGTACAGCGACTTGAGCAGCAGCGCGCCGTAGCTCCACAGCTCCAGGAGCCGGGCGCCGGGGGCCCCTCGCTGCGGGCGGCGCCGCCGGCACCAGCGCAGAGCCAGTCTCATGGCCCGGGACAGCTGACACCTCCAGCTGCTGCTGCTACGCATGCCTCCACCTCCACCTCTGCCTCCTGCTCCCCTCCTACACACTCGGTCTTTCACACACACACAGACACACAGACACACACACCAACAGTGGCAAACGCAAGCAGAGTAAAACAGCAGCTCCTCGTAGCGGGGCCTGATCCCGGCCTCCTTCAGATCGAGATCTGCGTCGCACATTTCGGAAAAGGACTGGCAAGGAACTGGCACTCTACTACAAAAAGCAGCAGTCCAGTTCTGAGCCAGCATCCTCTGTGAGGCACACGGCGAGCGGGTGTTGAGCTACGCCCATCGGCACCAAGAAATGAACTGCTCCGGTTAATAATTCACAGCAAATCCAGATCTCCAAGCCAAGAACCTCTCAGGAACTCGCAGGGCGGGAGATGCGGAGCAGTAACCTTATCGAGGGAGACGCGATGGGGTGAATGTCTTAAGGAGGAAATAAAGTAGCCACCGGATCCAGGGCATCTTTTCATGAAAGTGAGTATTGGTTACACTGATAGGGCTTGTTCAGGTGCTCCGAAATTGGATGGCATTAATAATGAGGGGTGCTGATCAGGCGCCCTAGTTAGAAAGTAAGGCCCGTCAACCAGCTGCCCTTTTCCTTTGCCGTCAGCTGCAACTTAACTACATCATAGTTACCTGAAAAAAGGATGAAAGAGTAAGTGCAGAAAGTGAGCTCCCATTAAAAATGCAGATGCAACACATGCCCCATCTGTCAGGATCGCACTCCTATCATTAAAAGGTGCTATAAGCAACATTTATAAATCATGATGAACACCAAATGAATTCCAGCACGTTCGTGTAATCCCTGGGAATGCAGTACTCAATCAGAGGGAAAAGGGAACAAAACGTTAGGCATGGCACAAAAGGTTTAGGGCTGCAAACTTTAATTTGATTAATCTGCACATTTCTTTTAGTCTTTTAATTGATTAATGCAATTTGGACCGTAGAACATTAGGCCTTTTGATATTTATTTGCATGTTATATTCAGTGACGGACAGAACAAAGCAGTCTCCATGGCAACATGCTGCCCGAAATCTGGTTTTGGAAGAAAGGAGGATCGCTGCTTGTGTTTCTTATTGTGGAAAGCTTTACTTTGACCTCTACATCCATTGGGACTCTGTCTCTCTCAATATGAGGATGTATTGATGATAATCACCTACATACACCGTTAATAAACATGTGTGAATTAGGTCTAACCCTAATTATTGCATTACATTCCTAATCACGATTAAACAATTGTGAATCATTTGTTTTACAGGTCGAAAGGCAACATTACGTCACGTGGTGCAACCTTTTGACACTATCATTTATCTGAGTGAAATTAATACATAATTAAACAATTTGAGCATGCATTTGACAGCAATGTATTAGAAATGTATTACAGCCTATATGCTTGTTTTGTAGCTCTATAGCAGCAGACAATACCCCCTTTGTAAAAATTACGGCTGACAAATGCAATCGAAGACTGGAAAGAGTTGTTCCACGTGACCGAATGATTAATACTATCGCGTTTGATAATCTTACAACCGGTTAAACAGCCAAGAGAAAGCCCCCATCCCTTTAGCCCCGGTGTGTCCCGCTTTACCAATGTGCTAACTTATATCCTTCCTGCTAGCTGCCTCCAGCGCCCTGCAACCAGTCATTTAGAGTAAATACACTACACCAACTCGTACTCATGTTGACATTGACGGTGTACCTGGTCAGGTGAAGTGGGCGGACACGCCTGCAGCAGAGCGGTCAGGTCATGGTCCGGCTAAACTGTTAGCTGTGGTCTCCACTGATTGTAGGCGAGCTTCCCACAGCAAAATCAGCGCTCTTTGCGAAGATCGTCTATTCAGCGGTGGGTTTTACTCAACGGTAGCAAGTGTACGCGTCTTCCGGCTAAGCTGTTCAATTGAGGGGCCTCGTTGATTTAAGTAAATTTAGCAACGAAGCGTCAACAAAATAATGGTATATCACTGTAAAATTATGTTTGATTGATTTGCTGCAAGTTGCGCGTTATGCAACGCAAAGTGACTCAAAAAGTGTCCAGTGCGGAAACTAACTATGCCGAAGTGAGACCTCTTCCTCTTCTTTGGCTCTTTGACGTAGCTTGCTCGAGAAGGCGCGGTGTTTCCTGGGTAATGAAGTTGTATGCTGTTATTTGCTCGTCTGGTTTGTTTAAACGTAACGTTATCTCAACTCACGCTGTCGTTGTGTTGAAATCAACAATCTGTTATGTATCCATAGTATCAGTCGTGTATGATGACATTGATGATGACCATTCCCATTCAACATATTTGAAACCAATAACGGCGCATTCCCAAAAGTTGGCCTAACCAGGAAGAACTGAAGTGTCACGTGATTGTGAAAAAAGATGGCTGCGGTGCAGTGGTAAGATGTTCTTATTCTTTCAAAAAAACTCCGTTTCATCAACATACATTTTCTAGAGTGCAAATTTTGTGAACGTCAATAGAGTATCGCGATCTTAATTTCAACTACAGTGCCAAATGAAATGTCAACCTCGCTTTGCAGGCTGTGAACATATACTGACAATCAAATGCAGAATTACCAACTGTTGTTATGTCTCTGGCCTTGAATGAAATGTCCTCGTTGCCCTGTTGCATTTTGCCAAAGCCCATGGGGAAGTGTAGTCATAGTAGCTAAGTACATATGTAGTATACTCTTTGCAGTAATTGTGTATAGTGAGAGACCACAGACTGTGTGAGCACCCTTGGTGTTTGCCAGGCTGTCAGTAGAATCTGAATTTGGCCTCCTGTTTTGTTTAGGCGATCCAGGGTACGCAGCTATCACACCGAGCTGCAGAGATGTCGTCCCGAGGCTGCTCTGGTGGAGTTTGGAGACTATCATCCCCTCAAACCCATCATGGTAGACATCTTCTTGCTCTGTATAGACTCATTATAAACGCCACTATTACAACTGTTCTGGTTTTTAAAAGCATGATTCAGATGTTTCCTGCATTTACTGTGCACGTTCCTTTTAATAGTTCTACTCTTCCCTTCTCCTCGCTGCCCAGGTGACTGATACGAAGACCCGGCGCGGGGCTCGTAAAGGCAGCACTTCCTCCTCGTCCTCCTCTTCCTCCTCGGTGCCTCCGGACCCCCTCAGCTCCATGCTGGATGGGACCGACCCCCTCTCCATGTTTGCAGCAGCCTCGGCCACTGAGGCTCCCGCCATGTCACACAGCGGCTCTGCTGCGGTTTGTAACCCTGGACACAGACTTGAAAGCTGAGACAAATGCTGTTCTAAAAGCGTTTCTTCGCTGATCTTTTTGTTCTTTTTAAAGTTATGAAATTCTATACATCAGCCGCTTTAATACACAGTCACTGTTTCCTGAAACTAACATTATTCAAACTATTCACCAAACCCAGAAGGGGAAATAAGATGATACCCAAATGTGTTTTGTATAAGGAGAGATGTTGTGCTTCCAGGATCTGGGGAAGAAGAGGAGGGAGAAGGAGGAAGAGGCGGTTGGACAAGACTTTGAGCTCTGGTCGTCAAAACGTGGGGAGATCCTGGCCAGATTCACCACCACTGAGAGGCTCTCCATCGTGAGTCCTCCTCCCCATAACAGCAAGTTCCTCTGGTTCTCCAAACAGAAACCTAATTCTGATTTCTTTCTTTTCATAGAACCTTTTCATGGGTTCGGACCAAGGTAGGATCTGCATTTATCTTGATCATAACAAGACACACACAGATAGCAGCTCGCTGCTAAACATCGGGTGGCATTTAGCAGCCAGATAGACTAAACTGGCACTGAAGGGAGAATAGAGGTTTGACTGGGATTCTTTGGGTAGAAACAGAAAGCAAATTGAGACATTTGGCCAAAATGTGTCACTGTTGTGTTGACCGCATGCTTTGCTGCCCTACGTGGCACAACAATTATCACTGCTATTAGAAATCTTTAAAAAGCAGCACAGTGTGTATGTCTTTACTTCGGTTTAGCGCTAACACATCACTCCTGTTGTCACCGTAGGAAAAGCGCCAAGTCCAGGATCCTCCGCTGTTTCAGAGAAAGTTCGAACTCGCCTGGAGGAGCTGGATGATCTGGAGGAGGTACCTTCTTAGCTAACTGGCACAATTCAAATGTCAAAATCATCCATCAACGAATGTTTTACTTGTGTTTGAATGCATACATCTACTGTACATAAAATAGACACCTGCACGGTCCTATTAGTGCATAAGCAAGCTGCATCATTTATAGGGACTGTATATCTCCAGTGAAGGAAGTAATCCTCGCTCTGATGCGTCTCGGACTGACTCGTTTTTGTGCATCTGCGTGCGTGTTCAGGGTTCTCAGAAAGAGCTGCTGAACCTCTCCCAGCAGGATTACGCCAACCGCATCGAGGAGCTAAACCAGTCCCTGAAGGAGGCCTGGGCCTCGGACCAGAAGGTCAAAGCCCTCAAGATCGTCATCCAGGTAATCGAGCGTCTGAAAACGCACCAGAAACCATGTACGCTCCATCTCTCACATAACCTCTGGATACATCGGAATAAAGTTCCTCTGTGACACAAACATAAACACTGATCTGTGGCCTGTTCTCCAAGTGCTCGAAGCTTCTGTCCGACACCTCAGTGATCCAGTTCTACCCGAGCAAGTTTGTCCTCATCACGGATATCCTCGACACTTTCGGTGCGTGAAGAACCTTTTCATCTCTCGGTTTCTGAGGGGAAAAAAGGTTCCTGGTTTTCTATCTGTAGTCTCACTTGTCTGCAGGCCGGCTGGTGTACGACAGAATCTGGACCATGTGCTCAGACCCGCGACCCCTACCAGGTACGGAGAAAACTTCTTTTCGCGATTCCTAGGTAACGGATCTTTTGGCTGACTCTGGCTCATGTCCGTCTGGTTGTCAGACTCGTTCACAGTCGACGACGTGAACGACACGGCCAAGGAGACGTGCCTCAACTGGTTCTTCAAGATCGCGTCCATCAGGGAGCTCCTACCCAGACTGTATCTTTTTCCCACCGCTCAGATTTGCTTAAAAAAAAAAAAAAACGTTCTCATAATATCTCATCTCCTCCCCTCGTGTAGAGATTTGACTCTTTGACCTCTGTGAACAGATACGTGGAAATTGCCATTCTCAAGTGCAACCGCTTCCTGAACAAAGGGTTTGTTTGTTTCACCTTTAGCTTCATGCACAGTGCGTCCAGCTTCAATGTTCTTCTGATATTCTTCCTCAACTTGCTCCACTTCCTCAGTTCAACATTTTCAGATTAGTATCAATAAGAATTACTATTTGTGCGGTGGGGGGGTGGGGGGGGGGGGGGTTTAAAAAAAAGATTTGGGGATATGATTGTTTACTACAGACCAACAAAAGTAGTCCCTTCTGTCCCTCCACAGCGGTATTCAGGAGACGCTCCCTCGCTGACAGCCATGATCAGAGGGATCGGAGACCCCCTGGTGGCGGCGTACGCCAGAGCTTACCTCTGCAGGGTGAGACATGCACACGCCTCACCTATTGTTGATGAGAAAAGCCCTCAGGCTCATTGTCAGTGTCGCGTAGGAGGGAAGAAAACCGCTGTTTTGTCATTTAGACAACCGAATCAAATATTAACCAGCAAAAATGTAAAAAACATTGTGATTGGTTGAAGGGGAAAAAGTGAGCCAGAGATGACAGTCTCTCTCTCTCTCTCTCTCTCTCTCTCTCTCTCTCTCAAGGTGGGCATGGAAGTCGCCCCCCACCTGAAGGACAGCCTGAACCGCAACTTCTTCGACCTGCTTGCCGCCTTCCGGCAGATCGGCAGCGAGAGCGTCCAGAACCAGCTGGTCCTGCAGCGGGTGGAAGTGCCCGAGTACCTGACGCTTTACTCGCCCGCCATCAACTGGATCCTGCAGTGCATCGCCTACAGAGCGCCAGAGGCACGCAGCCACATGCTGTTTTACATGACTTGTTTAGCTCCAATTTTTATTGGACCAAAATATGTCAACTTAACGGCCTTTTCGGGGGAAAAGCCAGGCTCAGACATGACACTTCTATGTTTCTAATGCTCTTTGTGTTTCCATGTCAGCCTCTGCTGACGGAGATGATGGAGAGATGCAAGAAGCTGGGGAACAAGTGAGTGCTTTTTAAAGACACTGTAAAAGGGAAGTGGATTTAATTTGGACGCTTCTTTCCTGTTTGTGAAAGGTCATTTCTGTACTGGATGTACGACTGATCAGACTTTTTGCCTCATGTCAGATCAGTCGTATTGAAGATGTATATATCTCAGATCAGTTATATGGGATAGTGATGAACAGGACAGGACACATACAGAATTGTTTCATGGTTTCTTTCTTTATTAATGCAGATTGATTTTAGATCAATGGAAGGACACATTTTGTTGTTGTTTGTCCCCAGTGGACAAACTCAACCATTGTTGAGTATGTCCACAACAACAAGACTCTGCTTCTTTTTCAAGATTCAAAAGTCATATCAAGCAGAACTCCCAAAAAGCTTTTTCCTCACAGGTACAAAATGTCCCGTTTGTCACAAACATCACAACGTGTTCCTGTCGTCCCGCAGTGCTTTGCTGCTGAATTCAGTCATGAGGGCCTTCAGGCCCGAGTTTGTCGCAGCCAGAGCCACCGACTTCATCGGTATGATCAAAGAGAGCGACGAAGCCGGCTTCCCAAAGGTCAGAGGGCACGAACGCTCGTAACACAGCCGTCCATTAAATGTAAACGTGTGGGGGAATATCACAGCCAGCCTCGGGCTTTATGAAACTTAAGTTTGCTGTACCAACGAGGTGCGGATTCAAGCGTGAAGAAATAGGCTAGAAAATGACGACCGTCGTCCTCCCCTCCAGCATCTGTTGTTCGGATCTCTGGGTCGCAGTCTGACGTGTGCCGACCCTCCAGAATCCGAGCGACTGACGATCCTCAACGAGGCCTGGAAGGTCGTCACGAAAGTCCGCAGCCCTCAGGTACGCTGGGAGTGGCGCCACGCGCGCGTGTTCCCGATTCGACGGCCTACGTGACTCTTTGTTGTGTTTTAGGATTACATCAACTGTGCCGAGATCTGGGTGGAGTTCACTTGCCGGCACTTCTCCGTGAGTGAAGCGCCGGGAACATGTTTTTTGGAGGGGCGGCGAAGTTGCTGAAAGCTCAGCCTTTATTTCGTCTCTGGGCCCCTTAGAAGCGTGAGATCAACACCGTTCTGGCTGACATCATCAAACACATGACCCCCGACCGGGCGTTTGAGGACGCTTATCCTCAGCTGCAGTCAGTCATCGGGAAGGTCCTCGCCTACTTCCATGACTTCTCCGTCCTCTTCTCCATGGTGAGCGCCCGCCACTTCAAGATGCTTGCGAGGGACCTTTTTGCCCTCGGGGGGCCTGAGATAAGGGGCCTTTGTCGGGCCAAAGTTTCACAATGTCCCCCCCCAAATGTTCCGTTCTCCAGGAGCGTTTCCTGCCGTTTCTCGACATGTTCCAGAAGGACAGTGTGAGGGTGGAGGTGTGCCGATCTATCATGGAGATCTTCATCAGGTACGAACCACCTCAGAGACCAGAGTTTGAAATCAGCTAAATGACGTTGTGTTTTTTTAAAGGTTTAAGAAATGCTTTTGACTTCTACAATTGGTCTCCGTCTGCTTGCAGACACCAGAAAGAGCCCACGAGAGACCCGGTCATCCTTAACGCCATGTTGCACATCTGCAAGACCATGCACGACTCTGTCAAGTAGGGTGTTTGTGTGTGTGTGCGTTGTCTTTTAGGGGCCATAACAATTAGTGAAAATTTAGGTTTCAGTTGTTATTTTTTTCTTTCTTTTTTTCCAGTTATTTTAATGTAGATTGTGACCATGCACAGAAAGTTCACCTGAAGTCTGTCTCCCTGTATTGTAGCGCTCTCACTCTTGAGGATGAGAAAAGATCTTTGGCCCTGCTGATCATCGGCTTCATCCGCATGGTAAAACGTTTGTCTTAAGATTTATTCATAGCAGCTTTTACAGTACTTTTTGACTTCTCTGTGGCTCTCAGCAGCCGATTTGTTCTTACTGAAGGTGGATGCATTTTCTGAAGTTGTGTGATTCCCTAAGAAGGCTGGGCATGGTTGGGTTAAGGAAACGTTACTCGATCAAGAGTAAATACCCATCTTGTGTGAGCTCTTGTGTACATGTGATTGACTCAAATAAGCTACATAGCCTGTTTTCATGCTCATTCGGGGCTCTTATAATATCTGTTTTTCTGAAAACAACGGAGCTCAATGGAATGCTTTGGTATCCCAGTGGCTACTTTACATGCCCCTCAAGATATATTTCAATGGAGCTATGTGGCACAAAGGAGTAAACTAAGAAATAACTAAATCAGAGCTCTAAATGTTTGGAAAATGTTGCGATTCCAGACCAATGTGATTTCCTTCAGTAAGTCTCCGAGAGCTCTTCTCACTCTGCCACATTCTGTCTGTGTGTCCACCGCTGTGTTCAGGTTTCTTTTGGTCGAGACTTTGAGCAGCAGTTGAGTTTCTGCGTGGAGGCGCGGGCCACCTTCTGTAACCTGGAGCCGGTGCTGGTGCAGCTCATCCACGTCAGTACGAATCCGCGTTCGGGCCGTTATTTTCTCTGATTTGGGTGTGATATCCCTGCACGCAGCGTCCTCAGTGCTCCCACTGTCGTTTCCAGACCGTGAACCAGCTGGCGATGGAGACCTGCAGGGTGATGAGAGGGAGTCACTCCCGCAAAACGGCGTCCTTCGTCAGGGTGAGTGGACCTCTGATCGCTCCGGTCGGGCGGGGGTTGGCTTTGGATGACGGACGCTCGGTTAACTGTCGTCGTTGCCCTCTCCTCCAGGCGTGCGCTGCCTACAGTTTCATCACCATCCCGTCCCTCAGCAGCATTCTCAGCCGTCTCAGCCTTTATTTGCTCTCGGGTCAGGTTGCGTTGGCCAATCAGTGTCTCTCGCAAGGTGAGCAATGTTGCACGAGGGTTCAGTAGTCCGGGCGCATTGAATTTCAAGTCAATTCTAGATAATGGTTCATTTTCAGCAACTCTCCACGTTCTTTTTGGTCATCGCCAAATCTTTCTTCTCTTCTCCTGCTTCCTTCTCTCCTTCTACTGTTCCCTCACGTCCTCGTTTCCTGGTTACCTCCCTTCCCTCCTCCCTCTCTTCATCGTTCTGTTCGCACCTCCAGCGGATGCTTTCCTAAACACAGCCGTCAGTCTTCTCCCGGAGGTTCCTCGCTCCATCAGCGTGGAGGGCAAACTTCGCTCCTCTGAGAGCTTCCTGCTGGACTTCATCAACAACTTCCTGGCTACGCTCCTGGTTGTCCCGGTAACGCAATCTACCTTTCTGAGTACAAATCAGTCACAGTAAAATCAAAAAGTGGAAACCGTTCTGATGCGGGTGTGAGATGAAGGCGATGAAGGACCAAACCAACAGGCGAGGGTCCTCAACACTCCCAACGTGTGTGTGTGTGGTTGTGCATGTTTTATCAGGACCATCCAGAGCATGGCGTGCTCTACCTAGTCCGCGATTTGCTCAACAAGGTCCAGAATTACACTTGGGAGGACAACAGCGACGCCAAGGTGCGGGTCTTCATCAGCGCTCTGCCCCTGCTGGCTGCCATGAGCCAAGAAACCTTCCACTACTCCATCCCTAAAGGTAACGCGTGAGGCACAGCGCCGTCAGAATACACCCCATACGATGGAATCCAAATGACAAGAGGCGCCGTTGTGTGTCTTTTGTTGTTGTGGCATAGAGAGGGATTTTATGTGAGCATTCTTTACAGCTGAGGTGATCTTTTTCCATCTTTCCCGGTCACAGTGGACTCCAACGAGACACTTTATGGAGGAGACCCCAAGTTTCTATCGGAGATCAACAAGCTGTGTGAGACTCTGATCGGGCAGATCCTGGACAATCTGAAGGCCCTCTCTCGGGATGAGGTGAGGCAAGAGCGGCTCGCCGCCACCAGCGGGTCTTTTAACCGTGCTGCACTTTCTGATCTGATGACCAAAACACCACCTTTGCCCTCTTGCAGCAGAGTACGAGGCGCCAAGGTGCCTTGGCCTTTTCCCTGTTGGGGGTCTTGCTGGCTCATGGCGACCTGAGGAACCAGAAGCTGAGCCAGCTGGTCGTCAACCTGTGGAACCTCAGCCACAAACACGGATGCTGTGACACTCGAGTCTCTGTGAGTTCACGCGCACTCCTCGAACACGTCTAACAGATTTCTTAAGCAGTTTGAGTGTTTTCTGTGCTCGGTCCAGATTACAGTCCCGTTCATGCAGCCGCTCTCTTCCCTCTGCTCCAGGTCCGAACCCTCGAGTACATCAAACACCAGGCTCAGCAGGCTGACATGGCCCACCTGTCCGATACGGTCCAGAGGCTGGCCCTTCAGTCCCGCACCTGAACATGAACCTCACCAACCTGTGTGGAATAGAGACAAATCATAAATGACCAGAAGCACAAAGGAGAACGAATCATTCCTGAATGCATTTTGGGTGGGGATACTTTGTGCAAATGATTTGAACCAATATAAAAACATAAAACTAACAATAGTTATCAGCTGAAGTTACGGGAAATGGTAATTGTGCAACAATTCCTTGTTTACGCCAGTTTCAAGCCTAAAAATACTAACACCTTGCACACTGTTATCAGACAATATAAATGTACACAATAAAATGATTAAATTATTATAAATGGGTTATCTGTTATTAGTAAATGCTAATTTTGTGGATATATAAATGTGTGTATACGTATAAATTATATATATATTTTCTCTTTTTTTATTTATTTATAGGTAGTCTTAACTAAGTCTTAGCCATTAATATGGCAGGACATGGTTTCATTCTCAGAAGAACACTTAACGGTAGAATCTAATCCGATGTGGAGTCATCTGGTGACCTCACAATTAGACCAGCAGAAGAGATTCCCATAAGTACCTGCATAGATAGAACGCATTACAGTTTAGTCCTATAATTCAACATAATCTACAAACACACACAGATGCAAAGGTGTAGAGGCGGAGCTGCTATTAAATAGATGCAAATAACACATGGTCCACATGAACACCAGGTGCTTTAAAAGGTTCTCTGTCTCTGATCTCCTATCATGTAGTGGGTTACAGTACAATGCCTGTTTTTAATGTTTCTCTCTTTCTCACTTGTTCTCTCTCAACTCTTACAAACAATAACAAAACATGTCTCAACAGGTTTATGTTTTTTTTTGCTTCAAATTGTAATTATTACTCTGAGTTTGTTTTTAATAACAAACGTACTCCTAATTTATTCATCTTGCAAAAGCTCATAGTGATCATGTGACAAATCTAGTCCAGATCATAACACTGCAATTGTTGGAGCACTTCCATGTACAATTCAAACTAAAGCTAAAACATATTATGACAAAGCATCACCAGCCAGCAGGCTATTTCCTTGTACTACAAAAGCACGTTTTATTTGGCAGTTAAAGGTTTGAATAGGTTGAAGCAGTCATATACAAGTAGAAAATAAAATAAGTACTGCAAAATGGTTCAATATCTGGTTTTCATGTTTATTTTGTGGAGGGGAATAATGTACAAGTACACCTTTTTTCTTTAAGACAGCATGCATGAACTGAAACGCAGAATAATGTACCCTAACCACTATTTCACCTAATATTAAATAATGGGGAATAAATCAGACGCGGCTCGAGTGGGCGACTACGGAAACTAATTTAAGCACACTGCTAAGACCGCAATCCTCCGGGAGCCGAAAGCCCTTTCTAATGTTCTCAACCATTTCTAACGAATCCATCGGCTCGCGTGGCCGTGGGCGTCATGAACGTGGTTCTCACTCTTCCCAACCAAATAACGGCAACACGCCGGCTACGGCGCGCGAAGAGGGTCAGTTGCGTTTATTGCTTTCCGGTTTCCCACTGAAAACACTTGGCTCGGGCGCTGCTGCGGAGCAACGATGTCGGAGCAGGAGTCTCTGAGGTGCTCCAGTGCCAGGAACCGCGGAGGCGTTCAGAGGGTCGAAGGAAAACTGAGAGCCAGCGTGGAAAAGGGGGATTATTATGAAGCGCATCAGATGTACAGGACTTTATTTTTTAGGTAAGACTTTGTAGCATGTTGTTAGTAGGTGCAGTTGTAGCTGTCATTTGGCTTCGGGGCCTGTCTGTTCCAGATCATTCTACTGTCAAACATGCTCACACGTCTGTCTGTTTGTGATTGGGTGAATTCACGGCGGACCCGCCCACTCATCGTGCTCCGTTGTTTTGTGTGAACAGTCGCGCTGTCAATCCAAAATCGCGTAAATGTTCTGCTAACTATTGCTAGTTAGCTCTCTAGCTAGGTGTGTATCAGCTCAGCTCACGGTAGCTGAAGTCTGGTTACCAGGCCTGCGTTTACCAGACCGTCAAAGCACCAGTGTTTAATTAAATTACCGGAATATAGCGGCTTATTCCGTTGTTAACCTAAACATCCTTTGAAGCTGTCCAGCCGTTTTAGCATTTAGCCGGTTAGCCGCACACTGCACCGCCACAGTGGTCAACGTTAACGTTAGACGTGTTGCTCCTCCTGGAGCATTAGTTTGACAAAGATATTATTTGTTCACAATCCAGTTAAGTTGAAGTCAATCCTCCTCCGTATCAGATAGTGAGTTCGTTACCCATCTAACTTACTTCTCCGTCATTGTGTCTCTCACGACTAATGGTTGCAGTTGCGGTATTAACGTTGTCTCATGGGGGTGCGGGGGAGTCTCAAAACGCTACAGCTTTCGTAAACTATCCAACCATTCTAACCATCCCATCACGCGTATGCATGCCTTGCTTTCTATCTCACGAAACACCCGTTGTGCATTTATCTTCTGTTAAAATGCTCGTGTCTCTGTCGATAAGCTGACGTGGTGTGACGTGTAATGTCCTCCATCAGGTACATGTCCCAGGCGAAGCACGCCGAGGCCCGGGAGCTGATGCACAACGGGGCTCTGCTCTTCTTCAGCTACAACCAGGTACAAGCTTCGCTTCAGCTGTTGCCCCCCCCCAACACGGTCATGTCAAGTGTTGAATGTCCACGTTGTTTATGTAAACACGCCAGATAGGAGGGTAATAGTATCGTGGTTCAAAGCAGTATTTGTTTGTTGTTTTCTTTGGTGTATTTGTAATACCAGTGGAGTGTTTAGAAGTTACTCCCGAATGAAAGAGCCCAATTGCGACAGTAACTTTTGTGAGTCCATCGTTTTGAGTCTATATTTGTATAAGTATTCAGACAAAATGTGTCTAGGAAAAAAGTTCACTGCAAGTTTGCTTGTTGGGCAATGATTTCAGGATCGATTGATTTGAGCTTTTTCTCCCAACGCTCCCCAATCCAATTCTTTAGAAAACATGGAATTTCAGATGCAATGAATTGTGTTTTCATCTCCAGCAAAACAGTGCAGCAGACCTGTCCATGCTGGTGCTGGAGGTGTTGGAGAAATCGGAGACAAAAGTTGAAGACGAAATATTAGGTGAGTGGCAGCCTGATGCCATTGTGGGCCGTATTATTGCTTCCACAGCTTCCAAGATTCACACCATTCAGATACAAAGGAGAACAGGACAGGAATTGAGTTAATCATCTTCAGAATTGCTTTTATCGATGAAAGATACAAGTCCACTTATTGTGGAGGTACATTTTGTTAAACAATACAAATGCAATACTTGTAAAAAGGGCTAATGTTGAAACGTATAAATGTATTTTTTAAACGGTATACATCATTTACTTAAGTGTGTCTTTGGAACAATGAGATATTTTTGTTTGCTGGCGAACCCAGATTGCAGTTGGTGATGGATTAGCTTTTACATATATAACCATTACAGATCCTTTATTCATTGGTCTTAATACTGTTTGTGATGGTATTCTTAATAAATACGGCTGCATTAAATTGTCATAACATTCAGAGAAGACCGCCTTTCACAGGGGGGGAACAGAGTGGACCTTCTCTGATGCAGTTTCGTTATGTGATTGTTGCAGAAAGCCTGGCTAAGCTGTTCAGCCGGATGGACCAGAACTCTCCAGAGAGAGTCGCCTTTGTGTCCAGAGCCTTGAAATGGTCCACAGGAGGACCCGGCAAGTTGGGTCACCCAAAACTACACCAGCTGCTAGCGGTCACCTTGTGGAAAGGTAATTAAGTATTGAGTTCATAACATAATCATTAAGTGTTTTAGGGCTACGGCTGATGTACATCTGTACTTTTGAGGCATATAAGGGGAGAGAGGAGACCCGGTAACAGTAACACCACCCGGTAGTGGTTCCCGTTAATATTGTAACGAGCGACTGAATATTTAAACCTTTTGTGTCTCCCAGAGCAAAACTACAGTGAGTCCCGTTACCACTTCCTCCATTCGACTGATGGAGAGGGCTGTGCACAGATGCTGGTGGAGTATTCAACGTCACGAGGCTTCCGCAGCGAGGTCGACATGTTTGTGGCGCAGGCCGTCCTACAGTAAGTCCGACGCCGTTATTTCGTTTCTGAAATCGCCACAATGACAAGGTTGACATGACTGCCGGTGTTTGCAAATGTGATTGGGAACATTTTGTTATATTTAAGGTGCAGTATTCAGTAGATTTGCCGTTTCAATTGACTGTTTGTTCTCACCCTGTTTCTGTTCTACCGGTGTCACATTTTCTTTCTCATCTTCTCCTTTTTATCTTGGTCCTCTGTCCCTTTTCTATTTCTGTCCTTTTCTTTCTCTGATCCTTTGCCCTACAGGTTCCTCTGCTTAAAGAACAAAAATGGCGCTTCTGTGGTGTTCAGCACGTACACGGAGAAACACCCGTCCATAGAGAAGGGCCCCCCCTTCGTCCAGCCTCTACTAAACTTTATCTGGTTTCTGCTGCTGGCAGTGGATGGGTAGGTTTTCATTTGTTGCTTTTTTTATTCTACCTTACAGTAGTGAATTGTGTGAGTGTAATAATCTGTCGTATTAAAAAACGCTCCGTCTCTTTGTTTCTTTAGGGGTAAACTAACAGTTTTCACAGTATTGTGTGAGCAATATCAACCTTCCCTGAAGAGGGACCCCATGTATAATGAGGTGAGTGTTAAAAAGTCCGGTGTTTCCGCCCATGAATCCTGTATTAAAGCTAACTTCAGTGATGGGACTGTAGCTCGCCATGTATGCCACATGCATAACGGTTGAATAATAATGTCTCCTACGTGTTGTTGTGGAATATTTCATCGGGTTGCTTTTTTGTTTCATGTGTTTTGGTCTTTGGGGTTTCGTTTAATCTGTCAACATTTAAGTCGCCGTGCTTGTTTTGGTCGATGACACCAGTCGAGGCGGTTACTCTTAATATCGTTTCAGTCCCCTGATTCAGCCGTAATTGTGTCTGTTTTGCTGTTTTCTTGTTCCTTTTCCGTGGCCTTTTAATAAACGGCGTACGTTACTGCCGTAAGCGTGGACTAGATGGGGACATAACAACCTGTAAACATGTCTTCGGCTGTAGTTTTGTAACCCGTCTCATTCACACCTGTGTCCTCCTCTACTTCCTTCTTTGGACAACCTGCTGCCTCCTCAGTATCTTGACAGAATAGGACAGGTTTTCTTCGGTGTTCCACCCAAACAGTCGCCATCATACGGGGGACTGCTAGGTGAGTGAACCGAGACTTTGTGTACTGGAGCGGCTTATTCACAAATACCCGACCGATCACCTGTAAGATGAACGACGTTTAGCTCCTTGTATGATCTCATCGCTGTTGAACCCTACTGTTAAACCCCCCGGGTTTAACCGATTTCATTCAAGTTCTTCTCAAATACACACGGGAAAGATGGATGTACGATGGTTTTATTCAAGTAATCAGATGGTTCGTTTGAGTTTTTGCTAAACGTTGGATAGAAGACACGCAGAACATAGTGAGCTCAATATTCTCTGCACGTCTCGTCGTCAAGTTGGCACCGAGCGGCGTGGAAGCTGACCGACTGCTGCCTTATGTTTTTCATTCTCCTCATCTCACAAGTGGAACTATTGATTTAAAAAATCTGCATGAGAAGACAAGAAGATCCCTGCACAAAGTGCTGCCGCACAGCGGCGATCTTTGTGTGCGCAGAACGACTGTGACGAGTGCGTTTTGTACCGCAGGAAACCTGCTGAACAGCCTGATGGGCTCGGGCGAGGAGGACGACACGGCCGAGGAGGCGCAGGAGGACAGCAGCCCCATCGAGCTGGACTGAGCCCGAGAACAAACGAACAAACGCACGCACACGCACACACAACGAGGACGACCACGCCGCCTGCCTCCTTCACCTCCACCCACAAGGACTGGGCGATGGCACCGCTGCGTGTTTTGAGATGAGTGCTGTTTCCAAATAATAATAAAAGAAAAACCCTCCCTCTTCCTAAAATCCGGCTGCCAAAAACCTCCGTCTGGGCTGACTGCGTCAAATGGCAAATAGTTATTGTAAGATTATTATATTTTATGTGAATCCCTACTTTTGTTAGTGTGGGACTCCTGCCCGCTGTAAAGGGTGTAATGATTTTTAAAACGAGAGAATAACAAACATCTCGCTCCCCTCGAACACCTCCAGAGACACCGGCAAGGTCGGAGTCTCCCAGTGGAGAGGAAGGCATCAGCACCACCACCACCACCCAACCCCCCACAATGATGATGATGATGACATCATTATAAGGCAGTTTAGTCGACTCGCTACAAGTATTTAACTGTTTTGTTTTGCCTCACAGACCTCGATCAGAGACGTGGCGTTGCTGCGTTTTTTTTCCCAGAAACTTTCTTGTTAAAAGAAATCCCTTTTTGAGTAGTAAATTAAGTTGTACTTGCAGTCGCAGCCGTCGCTCGTCTTTCTCCTATTAGCAATACGGACAGAAAGTCCGCTGATCTTATCAGAGGTCTTCTTCAATCTCAACCAAACAAACTCTGCTCGGCGTCTCCTCCACAGGTGAATTACTCCAAACATACAATAGACATTCAGTAGCTCCATTGTAGAGGTCCCACTTTTTACCGTGCACAAGCTCAACTGCTGCTGTTTGCCTCCCCAAGAGGAATCGTGTGAACTTGTATTTAGTTTTGGTTCCTTCAAAGTCTGACTTTCTAGCGTTGGAGTCAGTCACTGCTTGTTGGTCTCCGGATGCCCGTCTGCATTTCTCTGTGAAAATAAAAAGTCAAAGCTGGAGTGATCTTTGAAAACGCAAAGAGAGCCGCTCTGTTGGACTGGATTTTACTTGTCATGTTACAAAATGCTAATATCTAAAGCCGCTGTTGTGAAACAGACCGTTTCTCATTAAGTCTTTAGTCACAATCATGTTTCTTTTTTTTTCGGCACAGCTGCCTCAACATCAGTCACATTCTGTGCGCATTCAGAAGTGTGATGTAAACAGTCCCTCTGCACCTTCCTCTCCACAGCTTTATTTTCAACTTCATCTTTTTATCCCCATTGTCATTTTGAATCAGTTACAGGATGGAACCTTTTTTCTTTTCTTTCTGAACTTGACTTAATTTAATACAAGGGAAGTCCAGAGGTCTTCCAAGTTAGAGTAATGTTTATTCACTAATGTGTAGGTATCTGTGGGGCTGTCAAAGTACTAAAAAAACAACAACAAAAAAACAATTTATTCAATATATGTAGACTACGGCTTTTAAATAAACAAAAGCATAATTTGGTGTAACTTGAGGTTCATGGAGGAATATTCACGGGTTCCTATTTTAATGAGAAAAAAATGTCACAAAACATGAAACGATCCCACAGTAGTATTGGTTTTCATAACAGCTTTAGTACATAACAGGTTATCTGGGTCCTCTTTGAACGTTTGACTCTTATTTTATATAATGATCAGTTTGGGAGTAGTGCTGCAGTACAGGGGGGGTGTTGCATCCGTCTCATGCTGAAGACAGAAACGGGGACGCGGCCGTCGAAGCAGCAGCAGGCTTCAAAAGATGGAGAAACAAAAATAAATGAAACAGCAGAAATATATTTAAGGACTGCGCTTTAACAGTATTGCGTTCCAGTTGTGAGAAGTCCTGTTTCTTTCTGCAGGCCGATAAATCCCAGAGGTCCAGCCAGTGAAAAAATGAATGTGACCAAAGGCCTGTGCGTCATAACAGCTGTCTGCTCTTGTTTTTAATATTTTTTTTTTCCTTTTTACTGAAGGGGAGTGTTTGCCTTGTCAATAATTCACTAATTAAGTAAATAAACTACAACTGCGAAGAGTTTGAGAATATCTTGAAACAAACATTGTCCTGTCCTTTGTTTTATTTTGCATTGCTTCATGCTGCACATTAACAACGATGGTGAATGCATCACCAGGATACACAATGTTCTTGTGTTAAAACACTATTATTGAGCCCAGCCAGGGGGGCAAAAATCCCATTGTGTATTACTTAATGGAACACCACCAGTAGCAGGTGGAAATGACAGACACAATGATTCCATGTAAATGTTGAACAGGGCGACCAAGGAGCCACGCGTGCACGTGCAGATCTCCTCTGGACGAGTTGCAGCTGCAACGTGTTCACCAACTGTGGTTTCGCTGCACGCTCAACTTTACAGCAGCTTTTCAGACATAATGCACCAAATAAAAAAATCAACTATTTTCTCCCCATAAATAAACGACTTGACTTTCACAATCCTAGCCACAGCCAGTCTTGGGGGGATTTTGGCAACACCAAACGTTCCATGTTCCTAAATGACCCGCCGTCATGTAGACGAGAATACCGAACTCATCCCAAAGAAAGTGGCCCAGAGTTGATCGGAACACGTGAGCCTTCATGAAAATGTGTGCGCACGCGCAAAGGAGTGTGTCTGGCGTGTGTAGTCTTCTTCATTGGACAAACGTCATTCTGCAGAAGCTTGTTGATCCCAACACAGGAAGTCCAGTTTCACAACAATGAACTGGATGAGTTTATATCACTGTTGTTTATAATGAAAAACTACCTCAGTGTTCAGTTTGCTATTCTTTGTTAATAGTCAAGAGGGATAACGAACAGTTAAACATTAATATAGTTTTTGTATGTATTGTTGGATGAAATAAAGTACCATAACATTTCCATTTCCAAATCTTTATTATTATTTCAAAGCCGAGTATAACGAAACACACTGGATTATCTGGCGAGGAAAACCCACGCAGACGTTGAGGAACTTATGGTTCAATCAAATGATTTTACGTCAATTCAAGTTACATTTCATTTAATTACATTATATTACACTAAAGAAATCTAAATTAAATTATACATTAAATTATATTGCACTGAATTCCACAGTGTGTTTAGCTGATAAATATTATTTAATTACATTGCATTAAATTATTTAATTCTATAATTCAACTCAAGTTATATTACATTGAATTACATCTGCAATCATTATTAATGGTATCGTAATTTGAAACCATTATTCCATTATTTGACATACCGATACTGACTATCAGGCCTCACCGCGCATGGGCAGCAGAGGCGCAGGTCCGAGGGTACTTTCTTTTTCGGTTTTCCCCTTTCTTTGCTGTTTTGCTTTTCCCTACCAGTTTCTTTTGTCTCTCTTCATGAGGCCTTTCTATTGTGTGCTTCTCAGGAGTATCCGTTAGGATGGCTGTCTTCACACTCTTTTGGTTTGTGCTCTGGGGGGACATTTGGGAAGTGGTAGGATTTCACGAGGGGACGCATTTCCAGGTCGACTGGGAACACGTGGCACATCTGGGTCAGCTGGCGAGGTGCACCCATGTGGACCACGCACAGTGGATGGAATAGCATCAGCGATTGGATCATCTGGGGAAAATGTAAAAACCATGGGTTAAAAAGGCAATGTAGTTGCTTCGGATAAAAGCGTCAGCGGAATGACATGTAATGTAAATCATCTGCAGCAGGTGGTTCATCTGCTGGTGGGTCATCTGCAGGGCGTGGACCATCCAGGTCATCTGAAGTGGATGGACCACTTGGATCATCTGAAGCTGATGGACCACTTGGATCATCTGAAGCGGATGGACCAATGGATCATCTGAAGCGGATGGACCAATGGATCATCTGAAGCGAATGGACCACTTGGATCATCTGAAGCTGATGGACCACTTGGATCATCTGAAGCGGATGGACCAATGGATCATCTGAAGCGGATGGACCAATGGATCATCTGAAGCGGATGGACCAATGGATCATCTGAAGCGGATGGACCAATGGATCATCTGAAGCGGATGGACCAATGGATGCAGGCTACAGCTCAGGATCAAACCTCCTCAGGGAAAATATCTTGGTTATATTAGAAAACCCCAGTGGACTTGAATCCAGAAGTTATATTCTGTGGTGTCACTGCTGACAAGAAGGCCTCATTCACAAGTCCTGCAATCTGGTAGATGGAAACTGTTTTGCCAGGGTTAGACCTCCTCCACCCATCAAGAGCTCGTCAGTGTAGGGTCTTGAAGGGGCCACACACGGTCACGTCGAGAGGCTGCATGCGATGGCATGTGTGGGGTGGAAGGGTGAGCAGAACAATACCGTTGCTCTTTGCTTTTTCTACTGCCTTGAGTGAGATGTAAGCTTTAAGATTATCAAGGATTAGCAGCACGGGATGGTCAGGAGTGCACTTAGCGTGCTGTATCAGGTGATCAAAGAACCCAGGCCAGGTGTCTTCATTCATCCATCCCGTTCTGGTGGAGGCACCTTTGGCTCCTGGAGGTGCTCCTATCCTGAGGTTGTCCATAAACCTTTGGGGAAGACAAACATGGGAGGTATGGCATTCACTTCACACACCACGGTCACCGGTGTCTCACTTAACCCCACAGCCACCCTTTTAGATAAAACAGCAACTCTTCAAGTTTATCAATATCATATAATTATATATGTTTTTCTACCTGAAACAATTCGTTTTGACACAACAGTTGATTAATATTTTTACAGGCAAAAAACACATTTTTTAGCACCAACTTCTCCCTCATGGCAAGGGGGGAATGGGAGGGGCTTGAAAAAATAATGGTCACATGACCATAAATGGGTCCGTTTTCTAGACACAGGGGTGTCTCACATTACCCCCTCTCCCTACATCTCCAATTAAACGGACATGGAAACAAGGAAATGGATATTTAAGGGTAGAATAATATGCAAAATTGTTAATGTTGTTATATGACATTTTAAGGACGAACAACTAGGGTTTAGGATAGGAAAAGGGGACACATAAATCCGAAGTGCCTGTGTTTTAACCCTATAAGTAAGAACTACAACATTTTGATAATATAATCAGCCGTATTATGGAGTACATATAAAAGAGATGCTCTGTAGTTTCACCTAGGCTTAACCACGGTATGATAAGAGGTATAAAGTCATCCTTATTGACACACCTAAATATTCAATTCATTTTATTTTGTATAGCCCAAAAACTACAAATTTGCCTCAGAAGGCTTTACAGTCTGTACACATGCAACATCCTCTTTCCCGAAACCCTCACATCGTCACAGGAAAAACTCCCCTTTTTTCATGGGGAAAAAAGGGAATAAACCTCAGGGAGAACGTCAGAGGAGGATCCCTCTCCCGGGATGGACACACTACAATGGATGTCATGTGCACAGAATGAACAACGCAGAATATCTACAATACATTCAATTCCTATAACAGAAATGATTCAAATAATTGCAATTAGTAAGCCAGCAGGACCACTGCAGGGAAAACCACCATCAGATAGAACCGCAGAATCCTGTGTGAGGGAAAGCACAAAGACTTTAGGAAGGAGTAATGTGGGTTTATGATGACAGTAATAGTAATATGATTAATATTTAAAATAATAATAATGATGATAGCAGCAGGTGTCAGCAGGGCCCCAAAAGATGTCAGGATCAGGGTCCAGAAGGAACTACGATCTACGTAGACCTGTATGTAAAATTTAGTGACCTATTTTCCCATTCTTCCTCAGCTTTATTGCAGTATAACACACATATGGCGTGTATAAAATTCATCCACATTTGCCAAGAGGGGCTCTGTCATCTGTCAAGGTCCTTTTTAAAAAGTAGAAGGTAAAACCCGGAACCTAAGTGGTGGTCGATGTTGCAATAGGAAACCATTAGGGGACGAACCTTGAACTGTTATCTTTTTCAAAACAAACCAGCTTTCTACACCAGCTGCCCGTTGAGTTACCTAAACGTCGGAGGTTGACTTGGATGATACGCGTTTTATTGATATATTACTAGCCACAAAAAAACAGTGTGTGTCACGCTGGATTAGCTTTCCCTTTCCCAGAAAAGCTCTGACGTATTTTTAGCTAACGTTAAATGGCTAATGTCAGCTAGCTTGTCATGCAACGGTAAAGATAACATCTGCTAGCTGACGTTAGCCGTATTGGCAACCTTAGCTTATGTTATCAAAGCTATGTGTCGACAGGTCGCAAGACGCAACAGCTCGGGTGTTAACTATTGTTGAATTGGGTGATATTAGCCGAAACCTTCATTTTAACGTAAGCTATCGTTAGCTTGTAACGTTGGCTAGCTAAAACCGTTAAACACAGATCTTTTTGGCTAATTAACGTTAACCAACGCAGCAAATTGACGTTAACGTGAGACAATAATGGGCCGGCCAGTGTGAAAGGTTGCTGCTTTTCCGGTGATGTCATGCCTGACTTGAAGTGACCCGGTTCGCTTCACAGTGTTGAAGTGGTAAAGCGCCGTCGGTGGTACATTTTATTTTGTTAACCCGCAACATGCCTGGAATCGTGGTTTTTGGTCGGCGGTGGGGGATTGCCAGCGACGACCTGGTTTTCCCGGGATTCTTTGAACTATTCGTTCGTGTACTCTGGTATGTGTTTTTATTTTTTATTTTACCCTTTTGTTTGTGATTCCCAGAGGGTTTCTTTGACTGACTAATTATGCCTTATGATGTCATTCATTGACTCCTCTGCTACTGTGTTTCCCCTCAGGTGGATTGGCACCATGATCCTTTTCACTTATCACAGTGGCCGTTTCGATTGTAACGGGAGGGGATTCCTCCACAGCTATCTGGTCGGACTGCTGGTCATCCTGGCGCTCATCATCTTGTCACTATGTGCCATCGTCCAAGTCAGTGCCAAAGGTAGAGCTGCTATGGTGAATGGGCTCTCCCGCCTTTTAAAAACTAAAAAAAGCTTAATATATTAAGACAAGTCTTTTGTAGGGGTGGAGTTTGCAGGTTCACATAACTTTGCTCTCAAAATACAGGTTATCAATACAACCACCAATTGTAACTCTTGGAGTGCGCACAAAAAAAATAGGTGTCAACTTGCGAAAGGCTCAACTGTCAATTTCAAACCATCAGTTAACTCTGTCACACCGCGTCTCACTGCTCATCGATCAGCCACTTCTAACGGATTGAAAAGCAACGGCCACATTTCTAATTTGCTGGTTGTTTCTCAGGTACCATAACAAACCCCGGCCCCCGGCGCTCCATCCCTGCACTGGTGTACCTGCGAGCTCTCCTGTACATCCCCGAGCTGGTGTGGGCGTGTCTTGGAGCCGCTTGGGTGTCAGGTGACAGCAAAGGCTGCGATCCTGCCACGGTGGGTGCCGTCATCGCAGCGGTGGTTGCCAGGTAGATTGTCCGGGGGTTTGCCAATTACATAGCTTTCATCTTGTTACAGTTTGGCGAAAAGGCTTTTTAAAATCTTTGGTTTTGACTCAGCATTTCTGGTTCATCACAGCTGGATCCTGCTGCTGTTCACCGGGTTAGGCGTGGTGTTTGTGTTCGACCCGCTCGGCAACCCGCGCCGTGCGGCTGCCGCCATGGAGCCGCTGGGAGTACGCGACCTGCAGAGCAACGAGGGCACCCAGTTCCTCTCCACGGCTCGCTCCCTCGCCGTCAAGGTGTGGGAGAGCAGGCTGCGGCTGCTGTGCTGCTGTCTGCCGCAGGACGAAAGCCACCGGGCGGCGTTCTCCAGCATCGCACAGCTGGTTGGCGGGTTCTTCTCTGTAAGGGACTGCTATCTGTCTCTCCATTTGTCCTGTGCTGCGCCTTACATCCACCAGTTAGTTGATTTGTGCAGACGTACTAGAATGCATCAAGAAAAAACAGCCCGATGTGCCGACTGTATCATCACTTGGTGTGAAACCAGTTGTGAGACGCTTTTGGACGTGCCGTTTGTGTGTGTGACGCAGGACACGGACCTGGTGGCAAGTGACATAGCGGCTGGTTTGGCCCTGCTGCACCAGGAGCAGGATAAGATGGAGCTAAGCAGAGACCCGGACGCAGTGGTCGACCACAGCCCTTCCTCTCCCATCGTGAGTACAGAACTCTGTTGGCCACGGACCTACAGTAGACCTAAAAAGCAGGCGGGCAGGCAGTTGCACGTCGTGCAGGTCCGTCGAAACGTTCTCCTCACGCGTTCGTCTTTTGCCCGCTCCGAAGGGAGAGGATTTGGAGGCGGAGCTGGAGAAGGCGGCTCACTGCATGCGGTTTGCTGCGGCGGCTTACGGCTGGCCGCTGTACGTTTACTCCAACCCCCTGTCCGGGCCCTGCAAACTCAGCGGAGACTGGTGAGTCCGTGGGACGTGTCTAGACCGGCATGTTGGGTATTAGTAGGGGTGTAACGGTTCATTTTAACAACAATTCGATTCGAATCGCGATTCATGGTTGCTGATTCGATTCATGGACAATATGGGTTAATTTAGAACGATTCGATTCAGTGACTTAAAATCGATTAAGTAACTTTACTGGACAGTGCAGGCAAAGTTCCCTGAGATCCCTGTTGTTTCTTGTAAGGAAATCAGGTTTAAATTAATTGTGGATATTATAAACAAGCAAACAACAATTGATGGAAAATGTATTAACCTTTTATTGTGCAACCATTTTCAATGTAAACATTACACAATCAACACATTAAGTTTGGATCAATTCACAGAACCCCGGATTTTCAACCACATTGTAGGGTCGCATGTCTTTACAGATAAACTTGCCAATTGTTACTGTGATGTTGAGTTTGGTGCTGGCGAGGCCTGAGGTGTCTGCAGAGCTGGAGTTACCTGCTGCTGCTGCTGCAGCGGTGACGCTGCTAGAGGTGCCTGACTGTCGGCGTTGTTTAATCCCACGGCGCCTTAGTAGATGGCCGGAAAAATTCGTCGTGTTTCCGTGGTTTTTTTATTTGGCTTCTACATATTCTACAAACAAAGACCGACTTATTTAGAACACCTCTGTGTTTGCAAAAGCCCAAATGTTTCCACACGCTGGATCGATAAGTTGGTTTGTAAATGTCTTGCTCGCAGTCGTCTCCTCCACGCTGTGTTTTGTTGTTGTTCAGAGTTTCGCGCGGCTGCCGCTGCGTACTGATGACGTCACAGACAGGCAGACTGAATCCAGTAACGTTTAACGTGTCTAAAGTGCTAAAAAACAAACAAACACACATCCATACCGTTTTTGTACTTAAATCCAATGTGAAGTTTCCAAGAATCGATACAATCGATTATGTACCATTTCAATCGATTTGTAATCAATATATGTCGTCCGGAATGCCGATTTGCGGAGCACAGATCGATTCAGTTGGATCGCAGGAATATAAATCGATAAATCGATTCAGTGGATGAATCGTTACACCTCTAGGTATTAGGTATATAAGGAATTATGGTCCCCTAGAAACAGTTAACAGGAATTAACAGGAATAATGGATATTTATTGCTGCTATTATCCGATAGATGGTTAAGGTTCACAAATGACAAATGAGTGACTCTCCTTGAGAGTCAATTTCAGAGTCCCAGAAGAAAACTGTCTTCAAATCAAGTCGTGTGCTTGTGTGCACCAGCTGTAGAAGCCGCGCTGCCGAGTACGACATCGTTGGAGGCGAGCACCTCGGCTGTCACTTTTCCTCCATCCTGCACAGCACCGGTTTACAGTACAGAGACTTCATCCACGTCAGCTTCCACAACCAGGTAGGACCCCCCCCCCGCCCCCCTGTCGTGTGTACTCCTCTGTGTGTACATTTTAGACGTCAGCACCCGTCCGGACAGTTCTTCGCCACTCTCGTGATGTCCTTGTTCCAGATCTATGAGATCCCGTTCTACGTGGCTCTGGATCACAAGAGGGAGGCTGTTCTGGTGGCTGTCAGAGGAACGCTGTCACTGAGGGTGAGCTGGGACTCCAACTAATCACTTTTTGTTAGTAATGAGCTGATAGTAGAGAGCACTGTGTTTTAAATGATTTGTTTATGTTTATGTATTTGTCAATCTGCGTTCTCATTTGCTCGTTACTTGATGCCACCAACGCCAACACACGACCCACATCATCATGCATTCCCCCACTAATATACATCAACATCGCCTGAACTAGTTTCTGTCCATGCTTGAGCGCGATAAAGTATTCAGCATCAGTCTCGTCTACACAAATGCTGTGCATGTACATTCCTCGACTTTATCCTCTCCCAGTTCGTCCTAATGGTCACTCACTTCCAGTGGTGTAGTCTATATTTTTGACAACACTTTTCCCAGAGCGACGCCCCCATACGCTAAGTACTGTGACACAGGCACACAAACACACACGCTATCATATAAGCTATTCTCACCAGGTAACAGTGATGTTGTGGTAGAATTTTCCGGCCGGTTTTCTGTAACAGTGACGTTGACCAACGGGTCATCACATTGTGTTGCAGCCGCAGTGTCACCCGACGCGGCTGTAGCTTCAGGGACGGACTTGAAAACACGGAAGTCGTGTTATTTGGGTCTGTTTACGTTTCATATCTTGTTACTTTTAAACTTTGTACAAACGAGAATGGCTCTGACTACCTCGTTGTGAGAAACGAAAGACTGCGCAAAGAATGACCGCCAGACAACTTGTTGCTTAGTAACGATGCTGCGTCAGATCGAGGGCACGGAAGCCCCAAGAATCCAAATATCAGTGCTTCACAACACAGACGGGATGAATTTAAGAATGAAAATCTCAAAGGGAGGGAGTGATGTGTGCGTGTGTAGGAGCGCATCAACTCTAATTTTCTGAGGTGATTTTTGTCGATTCTGATCAGAGCTTTTCATTCAATTACCCCCACCCACCCTCCAAGAAATTGCTCTACGTGTAACCTTTGACCCACAAGGCCAATGCATGCTCCAGTTAATTCTTAACTCCACCCGGCGTCTGTCCTGCAGGACGTCCTGACAGACTTGTCTGCGGAGTGTGAGAACCTGCCCATAGAAGGAGTGTCTGGAGCTTGCTACGCTCACAAGGTGCGTGCACATTTAAACGCAGCGCCCTTCCCCTGTTTTAAGTGGAAAAGTTACAACATGTTGCTTTATTTATTTCTCCGCTGCAGGGCATGTGTCAGGCGGCGAGTTACATCTACAAGAAGCTGGTCAACGACGGCATCCTGAACCAGGCTTTCGCCATCGCGCCGGTAAGAAGTTTGACTGAGGTCAAAAACTCTGTTCCACGCGGTGCGGGGAGTGTGTCTGCGCCGTCCAACGTGACCCTTATACGAACAAGCTTACAAGCTTTCCACGCAGCACACTTGCATTTCGAGTTCATTGCTGTCTGATAACGTCAGCCTTTGCAGAAGTAGTGGAGCAAGTATGCAACGCGTGTCCGTGCTCCTGTGTCTGCAGGAGTACAAGCTGGTCATCACTGGTCACAGTCTGGGTGCTGGAACGGCGTCCTTACTGGCTATTCTCCTGCGCGGTTCCTTTCCCAGCCTGCAGTGCTACTCATTCTCTCCACCAGGGGGACTCCTGAGGTGGGCAAGTTAGTATAACAAACAGTTGACTGGATAGACTTCTTAATTTCTCCTTAGTCATGTGTTATCAATATGTGTAAGGATGAATTTACATTGTGTGTGTTTAAATCATTTAGCAGTGAAGCGAAATATGAAATGTCCGCTGTAACTCCCCTGTATGCTGTTTGATTATTGGACTAATAGAACTGTTTTCTGTTGTATTTCCCCCTGAATGTAGTAAAGCATTAGCTGATTACTCCAAAGACTTTGTGGTGTCAGTTGTGCTTGGAAAGGATCTGGTTCCCAGGTAATACTTTTACACTTCATTCTTCTGCTCAGTTTTTTAATTCATTTTTTAATCCAAGTGACGATGCATAATATCTCTGTTGGGTGTTGATCCTTGGGTGACGATCTTTACTGCAGATTGCTGTTGGTTAAATATATGTTTGTGTGTCAGCAGCACTGCAGACTCTTGTCTGTGAAAGGCCAATACGAATGTGCCGCTGTGCACAGACTATTATAGACTACTGCGTGATGGAGACTATATTTGGCTCGGCCCTGTTATTACAGGCAGAGAAGGAGAGAATAAGAGCAACTCATGCGCTACTTCTTCCTCTCTTTTTTGCCAGTTTTTTTTCCTGCAGAATCTGGTCCTCCTTTTTTAATTTGTGTGTTTTTTCTATTTTTAATTTCAGATTGAGCATTCCCAATATGGAGGATCTGAAGAGAAAGCTTCTTAAAATAGTTTCAAACTGCAATAGGCCCAAGGTGAGGACCACGCCAAGCAATGACCTCGACCTGCTGCTGCGTGAGCCTCTAAAGACGCCCTCCCGTCTGTGTTTCAGTACCGCATTCTGCTGCAGGGGTGTTGGTACGAGCTCTTCGGCGGAGATCCCGACGACTTCCCCACCGAGATGGACAACCGGAGGGAGGAGGAGCTGAGCCAGCCGCTGCTGGGGGAGGAGTCGCTCATGATTCGCCACTCGTCATCCTATCAGAGCTTGACGTCGGACGACTCGCCCGCCCGCTCGGCCGCTCACTTACCCCTCTTCCTGCCCGGACGCATTCTGCATATCACAGAGGACGGACCGTCGCGGAGGTTTGTCTACTGATGTTGTCCACCTGTCCTCTTCATGCACATAGATCCATGACGCCGTGACCACGGGGGTGTTTGGTGACCCGAGCCACCGCCATGGGGCAACCCGATAACCAAATAACCGTGTGCACCAGTATGTAGCACGGCATCCTTTGCTTTAACTTGATATGCAGTAAGCTTCATTCGGTTGGCGTAGCAGAACTAAATGGTGTTTTGGTGTTGGATGCAGGTGTCCTCGTAAAAGCCTTCAAGCTTTTCACCGGAGTGTTTCACCTGGATAAGTCCAGCACATCTTTACCAGCCCATTGTTCGACCAGATGTGTGTCAATAATAAAGTTCCTCTTTATCTCCCCTTTTCGCCCCCAGATCCTGCTTTTCCCAGGTGCGCTACCGGGCCGACTGGTCCAATGAAATGGCGTTCAGGAGTATTTTGATCAGTCCCAGGATGCTCGCCGATCACATGCCCGACGCTGTGCTGCAAGCACTCAAGAGTCTGACCAGCGAAAGGCCCTTCTCCCTGTGCCCGTCGTCTTTAAACAGCAACCAGCACCACGCCGTCTGAGAGGCGTGGCCGACTCCTCGTCTGTGCTCCCAGACCTCCCTGCTACCGTTTCATCGACTCCACACCTGATCCAGGACCCCTTTGGATACTTTATGCTCCTCATGCTGATCCTGCTCGCAGGATCCCGAAGGCCCCCGAAGGCCCTTTGTCTCATGCACATTTGGAAAAAAGATTGTAATGGCCGTGGCACACACGACCGAACATGATCAGTTAACGTGTCAGAGCGCTGGGACTTTTTCTTAAAAATTGCACTTTTAATTTTGGGATTTAAACCATTTGTTTTACTTCCAACTCCTTGAGTTACTCCATGAGTAACTCAAAGCCATGATCTTTGAATGTGCGTTGTGCATAATGTGTTTGACGGTTTTGCTGTAATGTCAGTGTTGCACATTGTATGTTTGTGTGAGCGCTGTCCGCCTGGTAGATGCTACTCGGTGAAAGGGTCAGATGCCGTCTTCCTCAACTGTGGGATATGACTGAGGAGCAGTTGGATCCTGGATGTGAGGATGCGGGAGTGTCGTTTATGTTAAAATGTGGACTGAGGCATTGCGTCATTGTATAGTGACTGGTGAGTCAGTCCTGTGTTTATTGTATTGAAACATCAGGGTGAACAGTGCCTATGCATTCTAGAAAAAAAAGTCAACAGAAATGCTTTAAGTAAAAGGCAGAGCCGGGTGCAGTGCGTTTACAGTTAATTCTGCATATCCCACGATGCAGTTTGAATAGTGCATGTTGTTGAAAAGGGTAAGTGATTGTGGATTCTGTTTACTTGCAATGAATATCACCATTTCTTCAGGTAAGGGACGATATTTAAGTCATTATGCTTGCATAACTATTCCACATTCAATAGATTGTATTGGATGCGTCGATCCAAATAAAAGCTCTTGTTTAGCACGTTCTCCATGCTCTTGATTATTTTTCTTCCCAACAGGAGGAATGGGAGGAGTTTTAAATCACAGCAACCTGTTGAACTTAAGTACACTGCATTTTACGAGGCTTAAAAATGGGATTAATGTCTTCCTGAAGCCATACGACTCATTAGCACAGGGCGTTAGAATTATGATTTTTTTTTTACTGAACAGATCACTACGCATTAGCTGTAGTTTCTCTGCGCTAACCGGCCCTGTTTAGCATGTGACGTAACAGCGACGACCCGTCACCAGCACGTGACATCTTCAAGTGACGCTCGTCACTCCCGTTACTGGACCACGCGGATCCAAGTGCAGTCTGAACATTAGCAAAGTGGGCTCAACAACAGAATTCTTCTTTTCGCTTTAAATCCAAGAATAACGACATCACTTGTGCTGTAGAATAACAGGGAGGAAATGTGCAATAAACCAGCGAACGAAATCAATCTGCGAGGTAAATACATGTGACAATAGTGGGACATCGAGATATTACACACTTTTCACCTAAAAGTTATGTCGAAACAATAAACGGATGTCTTTAACCCCATGGTTGTTCTCCACCCCTTAAACGTCACATAACACCAACTATATAGCAGCATGAGCAAGAGGTCACGTGAAATAAACATGACAGGGTTCACACTCATTCGCTAACTTATGCTGTATCCTTTCACCCCTTTGTAGGGTTTTCATGCTTCATTTTTTTGCAAACTTGGTTTTGCATTTTCCCAGGATTACACCTCTTTCCATTGTTTACTTTCTTCGTTTCGTGGGACAACTGCGTTCATCTTCGTTTTTTCCAACAGCACCTGAAGGCAGCAGAGGCTCATCTGTTGGACGCAGGGAAACTAATCAGGAGCCAAGTAAATACTTTTCGGGGCTGTTAGCTTCGAGGCTAGCGAAGCTTACAAAGTCATCCGCCCGGACGACTCCGACGTACAGACGTGACTTTATGGAGTGAGCCGTCTCTTTAGCACAGCACACACCGTCCCGGGACATGTTTTAGGAGCGCCGTTTCGTTACGCTAAAAGTAGCGAGGCGGGACAAGCCCTCGGCCGCTAGCTCGCTGCCGTTAGCCGGGGGGACCGAAGCCCGAAGGGAGGAGGGGGGAAATGGAGCTGGACGGCGGGGTCCTCTACCAGGACGACTCGGGCGACGCCACCGTGATGTCCGAGCGGGTCTCGGGTCTGGCCGGCTCCATCTACCGCGAGTTCGAGCGGCTGATCGAGCGCTACGGCGAGGACGTGGTGAAGGAGCTGATGCCGCTGGTCGTCGCCGTGCTGGAGAACCTGGACTCGGTGTTCGCCGCCAACCAGGAGCACGAAGTGGAGCTGGAGCTGCTGCGGGAGGACAACGAGCAGCTCGTCACCCAGTACGAGCGGGAGAAGGCGCGGAGGAAGCACGCGGAGGAGGTGGGTCCCACCTGCGCGAGAGCCGCCCGGTCAGGGGACGTCCCGCGGTGCGACGGGTGCTTTTATTGGGGAGATATTCCAACGCTCGAAGAAGACCTCTAATTAGTACATTTTTAAAAATAGAAATAGTTTTGTCAGAGGCAAATTTAAGGATGAGAAGGTTAAATTGTTTTTTTAAAAAAGCACACAGCTTGATGGGTAAAGCTTCACAATGAGGATAAATGAATGTGAACCACATACTGTACATCTCAGCATCTCTTTGATTGCCTTGGAAAGTATCAATATTTGTTTTCAGATACATGCAAAACCTCATCGGTGATTTGTTTTAATTGACTTACACCTGCAATTCAAATGTGGTTCCTATTTACATTCTCATTTGGTTCAACCCAAGTGCGGCACCTGTTCTTCACCCCTCCAGTGCAGTGTTATGGACAGGGACACATTGGTGGACAGGGGATGATGCTGTATTTAAATGACATCCAGCATTAGACTTTGAATCCAGTGCTGAAACCAGACGAAAGCTGTTGGATCCACACGGCTACGCTTTTTGAAGCATCAGGGGCAGGACGTCCACGGAGACGCCACGAAAAGAACACACTTGAGTCATTTAAGTTACTTACTGGCAACTCTCTACCAAACGTTGGCCATAGTAGCCGTAGTCCGGCCCTTTCCCGATCAGATGGTGGGACTATGAACTCCGTAGTTTGCCACGATACGAAGCTAAAAATGAGTCAGATAAATTAAGCCACGTCTTAATTTCTCTATTGTGTGGTTCTTCCCTTTTTAATTTAATGTTGTCCACTTCCGTTTTTAGGGTGCTTGCTGCTGCAGTCACCTTTTTCTGCTGAGTGAGAACATAAAAGAATCGTGTGGTTTTAGATGTTAAAATCAAAACTGCAGTTTGAATGCTCAGTGTATGATGTCGTGCTAATGCAGTAAAGTACTGAACGCCCGGGTTGTTCTCTTTATCTTAAGATCAGTGCTGTGTGCACGGCTCGAAGTTCACCTCACACACATCTAAACTGATCAAACTAAAAATAAGAATAGATCAAAGATTATAAAATACACCTCCATGCAAATCAAGAACTTAGTTTTTAGTTAAGTGGGTTTTTGTCACTTTAAAAGGTGGAACTCGCAGTAATCTCGTCGACAGGGTTTCTCATGTTTCAGCAGTAAACGCACAGTCAGCTGCTAGTATGAGCATGTGTAATAACCTCGAGTCACCGCGGAGTTCTTCACTTAATCATCTCCGCTATTTTTTTAAACCTCTTTAGTCTCAGCAATACTAATGGTTGCTAACATGATTTAGACTGGAAAAATTATGCAAAATAAACGTATGTTTTTCCTCTCAGTATTTCCAGACTTGTTGCCGTTCGACTTGACAGTTTAATGTGGAACGACGGGCCCAACGGGTCACGTCGGCGCACGTCGTCAAGGCGCTGGCACAGACCGCAGCTCGCCGGCTTCCATTGGTCCCGTTTCCTCTCGCTTCTGTGTGTCAAATCCCTGATCCCGCAAAGCACTAGTTCCTCCCTCAGCGAGGCGTCACGTCAGCGGTCCCGTTGGTGTGATCAGTAATGTTCACGTCCCGGGTCTCAAGCCTTTTGACCCTGCGTCCTCTAGAGGTCAGCTTCCGTCCCAGTTTGGGAACTTGAATGAACAAGTTCAGGACGTGTTGTTCTCAGCTGCAGAGGTCACGGCCGTGTTCTAATGGAGAGTAGAAAAATATCTGATCAATGCAAATCTTTATTGAAGCGAGACGTCCCTTTAGACAGAAACGCTGGAGTACATAAAACTTGATTTCTTTCTAAATGCCTACGAGGGGAATTCCTCTGATTGTATTGAGCTCTATGAGAAAATGACTTGACTTCTCACTTATGTATTGCCTCAGTAACATTTTAAACATGATTTTAGGGTCTAATCTGTACAGTACAGTACAATCTGTCTAAGTCTTTGTCTTAAAGTCCATTCTGAGTCAGATCAGAGTATGCTTAGGGTGGAGCTACATTCTAATTGACAGGCCGCCACCAAGGTGCTGTCGGGTCTGTGAGTTGTCTTCCAGATTTACTCCTTTCAGAGTGTCCAAGCAATAAATGACCTCCTAGTGACTACGTCCACTTCCTGTATGATGATCTATGCAAAGTAGACATTGTGCACTATAAAGTAGAAATTGTGAAAAAGGGTTGAATCGCTGTCTTTTGTGACTGGAGAGGAGAACAAATATCATTCATGGAAGGAACCGTAACATGTTAATGCTATTTTGTGTGTGTGTGTGTGTGTACACGCACAGCCTTTCAACGTCCCTCTTATTCCATTATCCCTCAGTCACTCAGACAGCTGGGTTTAGACTAAATTGATATCCAGCCAAAATGTCACAGATCCAGTGAAACGCGGGGGCGACCGCGGAGTAAAGAGCCTGAAACAGCCGGGTTGACGGTTCAAAGGCCGCTTGCGTGGGCTGCGTTAAATGCAGAGAATCGTTCCCTCATGGGGATTAATAACGCACACTTCCTTCAAATCAGCTGCTTCCTCACACTAACCAGCAGCGCGGCACTGACCCGTTACTGAGCGGAGCTCTGTTGGGTGGCGAGCAAAGGAGCACATTCATTACCAAGCAAACGCATTGTGTGAGCCAAATGCAGCTCCGAGCCCAGAGGGACACCTCCTCTTCGTAGTGCCTTTCAGCAGAGGAGAGGAAAAGGCAAGGCAGGAAATACTTGGGGCTGGGAAAAAAACAAAGCACTTCCCCTTTCTGCCCTCTCAGGTTTGTCTGCGGACCTGCGAGCATCCGCAGCCCCGTCTCATGTGGTACCTGAGTGGTCGTCATGTGACCTGAGCGGTGCGGCGGAGTGCGAGATGCTCCGTTATCAACCCCTCGGCCAAACACATGCCGAGGGGTTGATTCGACTCAACTGTCAATTGAGTACCAATACAGTGGAGCCCTGTGTGTGTGTGTGTGTGTGTGTGTGTGTGTGTGTGTGTGTGTGTGTGTTGGCATTCGGGGACAAAGAGCGCATTATACATGGCGACACACACCGTGTAGGGGAAAGAGTGGATGTAAAAGCGCAGGAACACTCGTTCTCTGGAGCGCTGTCATATGCTCGGGTCACATGGCGAGCGGGACGATGCTCGGCGTCGTTGTCAAACAGTGTGTAGATCCCATCGGGCGTCCTTTCATGTGCTGCTCTGTAATGCTGTTAACTGGCGTAAATGTGATAAGATTCCTATGGTGTTCCATTATTTCGCCCCCCACCCTTATATCTCCCCCCCTCAAAACCCAAACAATCTCCTCAACCCCTAAACGAACTACATTCCACAAAAAGGTAAAAACTATCCGTACCATCTGCCTTGTTTTGGAGCAGTTTGAGGAAACACCTTGTTGCTGCCGCCTCTGGTCTTCATGTGATGTGCGTAGAAACAAGAGGCTGTTTGTCACGGAGACCTCCATCCATCGCCCAGGGTCCGACTGATCCACAGCGCCCCGCATCACAAGGCCGCAGTGTTTTACTGGCGCCTCGTCAGACTCCTGACTGGGCAATCAGCTGAGGGATCAAGAGATGGGCTCCCAGTAGGAAAACCAACTTTGTGTTCCAGTTCTGCTTCACTTGCTTTGGATATTTGTCCCTTCCGCTCGTTAAGGTTTCACCTGATCTAATCTCTCCACTCACAAAGTGTGTGACCCCCCGAGGGAAGACTGAGGTTGGAAAAACCGGTTGTGGTAAGAATGGTAGAACAACTTTGAGACCACCATCAAGGTGTTACTAACTGGCCCATTAAACTGGTCCCCACCACATCCACACACACACACACACAAGCTGTTGCCCTTTTGTTTCGGTAGGACGGCTGGCGATGTGCAATATGCACCTGTTGTGCAGAGAGCGGGTCTTTATCTCACACACACACACACGTTCAAAATGTCGTCGATGTCATCAAAGCCCTAATTTGACTTTCAAACGGCTCGATGTCGTAGATGTGGTCATTCGGTGCTGAAGCAGGTGTTAAACTGGCAGAGAGGAACTGACAGCTCGGTCCCTCCGAGCCAATCGCCTCCTCAGTCTGGGAGTCTCACGGGTTTGATTAACAGCTTCTCCGTTCCTTCCCTCTGCTTCCGGTCTCCGCCTGCAGAGGTACATCACCTTGGAGGACTCCCAGGACGGCGAGAAGAAGGACCTCCAGAGTCGACTGGTGATGTTGGAGTCGCACACGCGTCAGCTAGAGCTGAAAACTAAAAACTATGCAGATCAGAGTAAGTGGACGGCCGCTGGTTTTTGCTCTGCTTTACTAAAGGCGTTCACACACACACACACACCCACACCCTGTGAGCAGCATGGACCGGGTGCAGGTCTTGTGACTGTTTGTTAGCCTGATGTGCCGCAGGGCAGATGGACTCCCATGTAACGCCGTGATGGAATAAACCCGACATAATCCAAAGTTTAGTGTGGAATTCAGGGAGCTGAGGCAAAGGACCTTTACCTTTTTTTCTTCTTTAATATTTATTAGCATTCTGTTTTTTTCTAGATTGATTTTTCTGCGCCAGGAATCATATATTAACTTACCAGGAGAGACGTTATTCTTTGAAGTCTCAAGAGCTTCTTAGTTCTACGCTGCATTCAAAAACACAATGATACCGTTTTGTGTGTGTGACTGCTGGTTTGTTGCTGCGCTGTGTAACACAGCGCTCAGGGAACAGTGGCCTCAGAACGCCTTTTATTTCTCTCATAATGACACTTCTCCTTTCCTGTTTCTCACTTTCATATCGATCTGAAATGATGTTTGTTGAACGAGTTGGCAGCAGCATGAGTTGGTTCCCTCATCTGTGTTTGTTCATGACATTGGAATACATCTACACACACACAGGGACAGACTTCATCTCTTCTGTTTTTCTTTTCTCATTACATTACTTTGATTGTGTGACACGTGTCACAGCAACCTGTAGGTCTTCACGGTAAATTGTGAAGTGGCCACGACCTCCGGCGTCGAAGAGGAAATCAGGGGGGAATTTTCTGGCCCTTCATGTGGGGCTTTCCTGGAGGGACACTTCCTTTTACCCCACATGCCTGTGTATCTGACCCGGGTTATTTGTGCTCCACTCTTTAACCACGACTTCCTCCATCGGCTCTCCTAAGCGCACTGAATCACAGGTTACATCGTCGTCGGCAGCTGTTATCAGGTGATTTTCCCTGAATGCTGGACTTGGTTCTTGTTAAACACCCGAGGGAGGAAAAAAAAAAGTTATTCCTGACTCAAACCGAGCTGCAAAGCATGAAGCGTGAAAGGTCCTGAGATTGGAACTCCCACTTTTACGGATTTGCAAGGGCCGTTTAAGTGCCTGGTGAGAATACTTTGTTAGGCAATGCTCTGAAAACAATAGACGATCGTCGGGCTGTTTTGACCACAAATTGCTGTCACCTTAATGTGACAGGTGAACAGCCTTGTTGACTAAACACACACACACGTCTACTACTGTTGTTTCTTCTCCTTTTGAGTCGATTGTAACTCCACATTCATTTCCATTCCCCACACACAGGTTGCTTTTATCATTACAAACCACACACATTAAAATGGGTTGTTAAGGATTGTCGTGATGGATCAGATTGCACCGCCGACACAGAGCGGTCTCTGCCTGGCGTTTGCTGATGCACGGGAGACCTCCTCTGGCTCCGGCGCGCAATAGCAGCTCCTGCGCCACCAACACATCCAGATCCTATAAAAAAAAAGAAACCAAGTCATCAGTTGGAAACGTTTGTCCCATGATTTGTCAAAATTATATTTTATTTCTCTAAAAACAATGCAATTCAATTTTTTGTTTCGTCCAGTTGGCCGGTTGGAGGAGAGAGAAGCGGATATCAAGAAGGAGTACAACAGCCTTCATCAGAGACACACTGAGGTATGAAGACGTTTGTGTGTTTAGGCAACAAGGCTGTTCACCTGTCACACATTTCCAATAAGGTCTTCATTCATCAGATCATATTCTAAAAGAAGAATATCTTAAGGTCAAATTGAATAACAAGAGTTACAACCCTTTTCCTCAGGCCTTTTTACAATTAGTGCTTCCATTAACGTCGATGTGTACCATCCAGATTGCAAAATAATTCTACAGAAATGTAATGGTCATAAATATGATCTAATTCCACGACCCTGTGTGCGCTCTGTACCCTGCAGATGATCCACAGCTACATGGAGCACCTGGAGCGAAGTAAACACCAGCACGCCGTCTCAGCAGCAGAGTCCTCGGAGGCCGGCACGCCGGCCAGAGCGCGGTGAGCCGTTCTCTCGCCCCATGCAGGCATTTGTTCATCCCTAACGTGTGTGTGTGTGTGTGTGTGTGTGTGTGTGTGTGTGTTCGTTCACCAGACACCAAATGTATCCATCCTATAGGTTTGGACTCAACACTTTAGAAATAATTAAAGCAAGCTTATAAGAAGCTCTGCTTTTAAATCGTTTAGTTCTCTTATTGAAGATCTTATCCATTCAGATTTATAACGGCAGTGTAATCAATGGGAAGACTTTGGGTCAAAGCAATTTGAAATACTGTGATCAGTATTTAACACTGAGAATTAAGTTGTTAATGGAAACTAAATGTTTTTCCGACAATTTAATTAAACATACAACATCCTCTGTTATGAAAAAAAGGAAGAAACAGAAGAGGGACAAAAGTGTGATTCGTATGAGAGTAATTAATGGATTAAAAAGGTTAAAGATTTTGTTGTCATTGTTGTACACGTTTGGTTCCCCTCTGTCAGCCAATAGCAGCGAACAACAATAAACAATGTACAAGATAAGGATACACAAGGAATAAAATAAGTTAAACATTACTAAAGATAAAAATACACAAAAGGAATAAAACATATTACTGAAGTATGAAGATAAAATGTTAGTTTCTTTTAGTTTGAGAGCAAACAGTGTCAAGTGTCGCAGTGTGTGAAGTAGTTTTTATTTCTGCATTTTGATGTTGGAGGGGAGATTCAGCTAGAGCTGTGTGTGTGTGTGTGTGTGTGTGTGTGTGTGTGTGTGTGTGTGTGTGTGTGTGTGTGTGTGTGTGGCGGGGGGGTAGAGGCTACATCTCTGGGGAAGAAGCTGTTCCTCAGTCTGTTTGTGTGTGTTTGTATAGTTCTGAACCTGATGGCAGGAGGACAAATGATGGGGAAACAGCAGCAGCAGTGTATATAGTAAAATACTATATTAAAAGCAGTAATGATAATGGGACAAATAACAGTAGTATTCGTATCAGTTTGTGTCAAAATGGCAGCCAGCCCAACTATAAACCTGAGCCAGCCCTATATCTATATATCTATATCGTCACTACGCTGTAAATTGGAGCACTTTGAACCCCTGTGAGCTCTAAACCCACATGCACACAGATCCTAGTGTTTCTCCTTTACAACTGCGGAGCGGCCGTCTACGGGGAAGCAGCAGTCGGTGCTCTCTGTCCACTGCGCAGACACAGACCTGGTGGAACTGCCTGCGTGAATTATTTATATTTATGTTTTGAATCCAGGCTTTTTCAGGGAGCCAGGAGTAATTCCAGAGGTGCGGGGCCACTGGATCGTACCAATCTGCAAGAGACAGAAATGAGCCAGAATGTCTCACAGCAGAGAAGTCGAGCGGAGAAACAAAGTGACAGAAGTAGGAGAACTTGAAAGTAACAGTAAAACTGTGCGGTTATTTTTGAGGATTTTGACTTAAAGTTGTAACGATAAGACGAAGCGTGTAAGGGGAGACCTTCTCTATAAACTGTAGGGTGGAATCCAGTGGGGCGGATTGAGGTCGCTGAGCAGATCAGATCTGTTGGATGTCTGCTGACAGTAATCTCCTTCCATGGGAGGATGAGCTTCGTGGTTGATTGCTCACTTGCAGATGGAGCTGTAGGAGCCGGCAGGTCCTACAGCAGACCCCCCCCCCCCCCAGTTTATTTCACCATTTCAATTGTCAATAGATCATCATTAGTGGTTTGATCGTCAATGTGACATTCATGCAGAGACACTGGTTCAGTCCTGTGTGTCCGCCAGTGCGTTTAGTTTGTGTTTGTCGTAGTGTTTTCATGTATGTTACTCTACTTATTGTATGCACGGGGTCTCCAATGTCCACCATTGACGCCTGTCCTCATACAGCGAGTTTGACAAGGCTCAGCTCAGGGTCTGGTGTTCCTATCGAGTGTATTTTATCTATCCATCTATCCTGAGATTGGATGCATTTTTTCAGGCATATTTGTCCTGATCCGAAGCAGCGCCGCTCAAGGGATTGCAGCGTTGTCATTTGGCAAAATGTCACATTATCTATTACTTATGGCGCTAAGACGCCAATATATCGTATCGTAGGATGCTATAATGCTGAGCAGTCTCAAGTCAGCATTTAGCTAGAGTACAACCTTCCAGAGTAAACATCTTTTTTGTTTTTAACTGTTTGAACAAGTTGGCCGCCTCTTCTTGCCGTCTTGCTGATATGGCGAAGGCCCCATCTCGAGTTTAATTTGTAGGAACAAGTTTTATCGGTGCCATTTATGTTTGGAACAAGTTGAAGTATTTGTATTCTAAAACTTTCAAAACAGCATAACTGTTTCATGGGCATGAACGGAAACACGGTTATATTTTTTAAAGATGTTACACTGCTGTTGACTTTGGAATGTTGATACCACTCCACCGAATTGTATTTGGACTAACGGCACTTCCAGCATTCATAGCCTACTTATTTAAAACTGAGCCAGCTTCAATTCTTCAGCTTCATAAAAAAGCGATTATTTTATCAGTTTCTGTTGGTCCAAAGCAAGTGGGAGTAAGGACACAATATGGCTGTATGATGATGTAGATGACATGGCACAATTTTGTAATTCAAATGTATTTTTGCGACCCTGTGGAACAGACCTGAGAATCCCGTAGCCGCTCTGTGTATTCAGGCACCCCTTCACCGTCCCTCCCTTTAATGCAGACAACGCTGCCAACTTCCCTCCCTCACACACACACACACACACACACACACACACACACACACACACACACACACACACACACACACACACACACGCTTTTTTTTTACCAGACCCCCTGTGCTGCAGCCAATAAGCTGCAGCCTGAGAAGAGGCACGTGAAAAGAGCTGCCTCAGCACCCAAAAGCGAGCCGGAGAGGGTGGGGGCGGTGGGGGCGGTGTTGCCATCGGAGCGAGAGAAGCACGGCGTCAGAGTCCTGTGCATTGACCGGCGGGCAGCTGCGTCGCATCTCGGCGGGCGATAGGAAGCGCGGAGGAGGAAAGGAAACGCTACCCCCCCCCCCCCCCGGATGAGGACACTGGAGGATCGGAGCCGCCGCCAGCCCCTCCCTCCCCTCGCTGGACGATCTGCTGCTCGGATGTTCATCCATCCCACCCGCTGAAGCCACCAGGATTAGTCTTTTGTGACCGCTGCTGTTGACCTGCTGCCCCCCCACCCCACTGGTCCCGCGTTGAGGCCACGACCTGGGGGGGGCCATGAGCCCCGGGTGTATGCTGCTGTTTGTTTTCGGCTTTGTAGGGGGAGCGGTGGTCATCAACTCTGCCGTGCTGGTCTCTCTGTCAGTGCTGCTGCTGGTTCACTACTCTGTCGCCACCGGCGGCTTACCTGCCCTGCCTTCCTTACCCTCCTTACCCTCCTCACCCTCCTCACCCGGAGCCCGCAGGTAGATCACGTATACCTCTGTGTGTGTTACCTCCATGTATGATGAGTGGCTTTTCCTTTCCCGCGGGGCTCCGTGTTGTCGCCGTGCAGTCGCAGCGCTGCTGCCATGTGGGTCTGATATCGTCAGTCGCTGTGAGACTGCACTCTAAAAGTAGGTCAGGAGAGAGAGAATAAATCGCAGAGTCACATCTGGAAGACTGCAGCACCCTTTTTTGATCACTGCAGTTTATAGCCGTGTGTGATTATCCTCATGCTTTGATGGAGAAGATGAGACGTATTGGCGGGCCGATACCTAAGCATGTGTTTCATTTTTTTTTTTTTTCCTCCCACCCTCAGATTAAATCGTGAAAGGCAGCGATTGTGACCAATCAGTGGCCTGCGTGTGACCTTTTCCTCTCAATATGGTGGTGTGTCCATTGTTTCTGGGCTGCTGCCGGCCTGCTGCTCTTTTCCTCCTGGCAGCAGAACAATGGCTGCCACTGAACTGTACGATGTTTTTGCTTTTCATACCACAGCAGTGAGAACTACCAGCGGGTAACCGGTCGGGTGCAGTGGAGGCTTCAGGGTGCTTAGTTCAATGCGTTACTGAATGTTGTTTGGCTTTCAGTGCTTGGTGTCGAATAGAGCATCTCCATAAGAGAGTGAGCCGGAGTTCTATATGAGAGCCTGAGATGGTGACACATATTTGTTCATAGTCTATTCTTAGTTGACCTCCTAATACTACACACAGCAGAATATAGCAGAATACGTCTCCTGTCAGTTTGACCCTGTCTTAAAGGGAGCTAGCGACGACATTACACTACACAGTATGTGTGAACTGTCCTTGTTGGGACGGGGACATTAGCATTTAGTTCAAAGCACAGAGAACAGCCTCTTTGCCCTTTTGATTCATCCCTCTTGTTTCTGTGTTCAGAAAGGAGCGTCCCATCTCCATGGGGATATTCCAGCTTCCTGGGACTGATGGTATGACCTCTGACCTCCAGAAGGAACCTGTGGACACCCCTTCTGAGCCGTGGAGATTCAACAACCTGAGCCACCCGCGCTCCAACACCAGCCTCAGGGTACGGCACCCCCCCCCCCCCAGAAAGTTTTAAAGGGTCCGGCTTGAAGTTCTTCCCACGGATTGGACCAGTGACATCATCCCCAGTTCTCTAAGAGAGAGGTTGTGGAAAACCGAAACGTAAACACTCGATGCCAGGAAAACACCAACGAAAGAGGCCCGTTTCTTTTCAGAGAGAGAGGATTGTTCAGTGTGTCCAGAATGATTAGCAGCAGCTTGGGTGTGTGTGTGTGTGTGCGTGTGTGTGTGTGTGTGTGTGCGCGTGTGCGCGGGGGGTGGAGCCCAGCGAGCAGAGGAAGTGGTACCATCAGAGGGCCTGTCTTTAACCCCAGGGGAGGGTGGCAAGGACAGTGTCTTCACATTGTTGCTGTTGGAAACAGCAAGGCTCCATCGTGCATAAAAAAAAACGGCTAATAAGCATTAATTTGCCATCATTACACTTGCGCTGCGTCGGATGGACATTTTACAACTGGCGTTTGAGTTCTTACAAGAACTGTCGTGGAGTACAACGTAGGTGTCGCGGTGTGTGTGTGTGTGTGTGTGTTTGGAGGGTTGGGGGAGGGTCATCCACAATTAGCGGAGTAGCAGGATTAAGTATCGTGAGAAACGAGGTTGGTATGTTCCCGCTTCCATCACGCTGCTTTCGAAGCCTGTTTGTTTAGATTCCAGAGATAATGTCTGTGGTTACAAACACGCCCAATAGAATTGAATGTTTTCTTCTTCAACATACTTCAATAGCTAAATTTAAAGTGATTGTAAGTGTCATAAACTTCCGTTTGCTCAGAGCTTCATTTCCTCAACAATCAAAACAATAAAAAACACCCCATTGGATTTCTGTAGTTGGAGCCAGTGCGACGCTAGACAACAAAACGATAATCATCTCTGCAAAGTGATGGCAGCATGCAAGCAAAACAAGGAAGTAATCCCATCAGTGTGCAGAGGAGTGAACCAGAAACAAGAAAAGGGAATACATTTAATTACAGTATGGTGAAAGCTTTTATCCCTAATACGATGTCGCTCCCTGTCTGACAGCTCGTCTGTTTTCAAGGTGACCGAGGGATCCTCCCGTGTGGGCGCGTTGTCGATCTCCTGATTGATCCTTTTCCATCAGGCCCTGTGCTATTTATATGACTACAGCCACCAGCATTAAAGGATGAAGACAATGCAGCGTTAGATGTCCTACATATAAAAAGGGCTGCTTGGAACTAACGAAACCTTTTGAGTGTTTCTTCGTAAGGGCTCACTGAGTACTAGAAGAAGCCATGAATCCACGCACATCCCTCCCTCTCTTGTGGTGTGCAGGTTTTTCCCAACAGTTTTGTTTGGTCTTCTTGGACACATTCACATAATTTGCCCGTTCTTTTTATGTCCTACCAAATCCACACATTCCTGTATATTGAAATGGAAAGAAACGCGTATCAGGATGTCGTAATGAGTGGGGTCTCGTATGCCCTCAGCGTGGGGAAGAGTCCTCCCCGGTCACAGTGGAAGCTGGGTGTTGGAAGGAGGCCGACCAGGACCAGGTAGACCGGAGGAACTCTGACCCAACTAATCTACCTTAGTAGATGTTTTTGCAGATGTTGCTGTGGTGTTATTGAATGCAGTGATGCTAACATAACGATATAACTCACAGCCATTAGAAACTTTCAGCCCGGCCTCATGTTTTTTAAAATTCTAAACAGACATCTCAAGCACAAAGACTGCCTTCCATTTAGGTGAGCTGGTGGCTTCCTGGGACAGGAGCGCATGCTTTTCCTCCCTGTGCTCTCAAGTCACAATGTTAGCTATGAAAAGGGTTTTAACTGAGAGGGATCAGTGGCTCACAACCGGCAGGGAAGAACTAAACGCTCGCATTACCCTTTTTTACATTCGCTGAATTATACAAAGCTCTTTTACACTGCATGTCGTCATTTGCATGTTCAGTAACTAACATCCACACCATTCACACACTGCAGTCAGTTGGGGTTCAGTGTCTCGATAACTCGCCCGCTTCGTTAGAAGAGGAGGAGTTGGCTGAACTCCGCTTGTTGCAATCTGCACCCTCTGAGATGATGTCACTGAATGTCACACGCTGGCCCTTTTAGCGCTGCCGTCACTCTTATGACGTGTGCGGTTTGGTTAGTTTCTGTGTTGGTTTTGGTTGCATGCTGAGGTGCACACAGATGGTTTTAGCGTCTGTTTGGCTTTATTATACTTAAGAGAAGACCTGTATATGTTAATGCCTTTTCCTGAAAGATTTCTCAAGGTTTGAAATCCATTTGAGAGTTTATTTCCTGAGCTTACAATACAGTTTTTTTTATTTCATGAACATAAGTGTGCAACTACAATAATATTTAAAAGTTCTGGAAGAAGCTTGGAAGTGGACCTTCACTTCGGATTATATTTTCAGTTTTATGAAATCCATGTTACCGGCGTTGACTGATTTCTTTAAAGATTTGTTTTGTCTTTGTCTTGATCCCACTTTTGTGTTATTGTGTTTGATCTTCATGTACACGAGGGAAGTCTTTGTATATAGAAAATTGAATTAATAACAAAACAAATGTTTATGGAACCGTGTTGTTGTCTTCATCACTTATTCTTCACTTCCTCTTCTTCCAACTTCAGGATGAATTGTCCGGTTCCACCCGCGGAGGCTCCAGGTCCAGTACTCCAACCAGCCAGGGAAGTGTCTCCAAAAGTGGAACTCCCGTGTCCTCACAAAGTGGAGGCTCCAAACCCAACACCTGCATGTCCTCTCAGGGTGGTTCCTCTCAATCCAACACCCCCACATCTACCAACAGTGCTGGCTCTCCGTCCACCACGCCGCTATCTCCTCCCGGGGGAGCGTCCACGAGGACGTGTCCGCCGTCCGCCGTGGCCGGAGGGTCCGGCTCGTCCGCTGCCGCCTCTGAGTCCTCCTGTTCTGCTGTCTCCGTGGCAACGTCGGACGGGCTCAACGAGAAGGTGGGCAGGAGCGGGGGAAAGCCGGGCGGCGGCAGAGACATCGCGTCAGTGCAAGAGGGACAGCAGAGTCATCCGGACTCGGCTTTCACGCTCCTCAAAGGTGACGGCCGGCGCTGCGGTGAAATCACATGTCCGTCGTGTTCACACATTTAAACATGCACGTGTGACTTAGATGGAGCAGACAACCGGGAGACGTCCGAGGTGCAGGCCATCATCGAGTCCACCCCTGAGCTGGATATGGACCTCGATGGCTTCAGAGGAGCAAGGTACAGGACTCGCCATGAGATGTTTCATCATCATCTGACTATAAAGCAAAGAAGCAGAATCAACTCATTGTGGTTTTTGGTCTTTTCATGAGATTTGTTTACAAAAAGAATAACTTAATGCCCAAAATAATGTTACACGTTATAATTCCACATAGTAGCCATTTGTACTAAACTGTTAAATTGTTTTAAAAGCACTGGTCTATTAAAATAATAAATCATGTTGCAATATCCTTCCCCCTTCTTTTGTATCCTCTCCTTCCCCGAGCAGCACGCCAACTAAAGGCGGCATTGAAAACCTGGCGTTCGACCGCAACACCGACTCTCTGTTTGCCGAGCTGTCATCTGCAGGCAACGACCTGATCGGAGACATGGACGAGGGAGCCGACATGCTGGGTAAGAAGCCTCCCTGACGGGAGTTCACGATGCCGTCAGCGCCCCCATATTTTCATTCTCAAAATCTCTGAATTCTTGTTTTCCTTTTGGCTGTCGGGGCTTTTTCATCCTCACAGATGAGTTTTCTGGTGTGTCAAAGATCTCGTTATTCTCGTCTTATGTGTCCTTGGTTCTGTGTCTCCGTTGCCCCAGAGTAGTGAATAGCTACTGTTCTGTGGAGAGCAGTGATCTCCTAGACTAGAGATTCAATTCAAATGAGACCTCGTAACTTCACAGTCTGATAAAGCTCTTCCTGATTTGTCGCATGCTCTCAGACTACAACTTTCTAGGTAAGACTGGGATCAACATGTCACCGAGTACGATCGGAAGAAACACTTCTTCAGTTAGTTTTTTTCCCCCTTTCATGTTGCAGCACACGATGCCATGAAACGTTGGTTGTTGTTTTGTTGTTTTCAGGTATGGGTCGGGAAGTCGAACATCTGATCCACGAGAACGCCCAGCTGCTGGAGACCAAGTTAGTTTATTCATTTTCTTTTCACCTCTGACTTACGTCCTCGTTAACGGCCGCATCATGAAAAAATGCTTTTAACAGTGAAGTAACTTCATTAGCTTCGCATGCATTGCTGCATTAGAGGGTCATTATACCCTGTTTATCCAATATGTGGCAGTTTCGTTTCTTGCTCGTCCGCTCTGCGGTTGGCATTTTTTAATATATATCTAACCAGGCTGATTGAGATCAAGGATCTCTTTTACATGGGAGACCTGCCCAAGAATAACAGCACCGGAAATAACAGGCAAATGCAAACCTTTGAGAAATATTAAAAATGAAAGAAAAGTCCAACCTCTAGTCAGCGGCAGGCGGCAGCAGCTCAATTCCTTTAACTAGTCATGTAGATAAATACATAAAGTTCAGACCCGGCATCAGGATGAGGAAGACTTAGTTGACCTTTAAAGTAGCGAGGTTGTTGGTCCCCAACCAGTTGGGTTTAGTCATTCACATGCCGCTGATCTGCGTGCATTTTAACACACAAATCTCATGCTTACGGAAATGGATCAAAAGAAGTTAAACTGAACCATGAGCTGCAGTTCTCTAGGACCAAAAATGCCCTTTTGAGTCAGCGGAGAAGAACCCGTCTGGTCAGAGCTGAACGGAAGGCGAAACACTTAGTTTCCATCGCTTTTCCTCCCCTATTCATACAGTGACTTTTACCAGGCAAGTTGCCAACCAGCTCATCAGGAGCATTTGGGACCAATGGGTTCGTGTCTCGCTCACAAGATCACTAGAGGAGCCGTGGAGTCCAACCAGGAATGTTGTTTGATTGACGATTGCTAGGCGACCGCTCTACCTCCAAAGGCCCACAGCGTGATTTGAAATCAACGCACGTCAAACCGGCAATCTTTTTATACTCAACAAATGCAGTTCATTGGAATCTAAACTAGAATCACTCCCGTGTGTGCCAGCGTTTCAGTTCTGTGCCTCGCTGCACTTCATGTCGAAGATCGATATTGGTCTCGGCGGCGTGTTGAGAAGCAGGACGGCGCTGCCGCCTTGTGTTTAATCACCACATGTACATGGATTTGTGTTTGTTTCCAGAAACGCTTTGAACGTGGTGAAAAATGACCTCATCGCCCAAATGGACGAGCTGTCCTGTGAGAAGGAGGCGCTGCGAGGTGAGCTGAATGCCGTCACCCAGGCCAAGTCCAGACTGGAGGACAAGAACAAAGACTTGGAGGACGAACTTAAGAAGTGAGTTGCTTTGCCTTCAAAACAAGTACACACAGGTCCAAAAAAATATATTCTTCAGTGTCTCCTCCTGTATAAATGTGGTCGTGTGCTCGCTTGCAGGATTCGAGCAGAGCTTGAAGACGCCAAACACACGGTCAAGAATGACAACGAGGATGACGTGAGTATTTGTTTCGCTCTATGGGTCGTACACCTGTATGGATTAGTAGTTCTAAATATTAATACTTCAGTGCCAAGTCGTGGTCCCTTTTTAAAAACGGAGCCGTGCTCATCTGAATGGAAATAAAAGGCCTGTGTGAGCGCGTGTCATAGGTGTCATAGGTGTCATAGGTGTCGTGAGCATTGGATGGTGGGTTGGGGGTCTCATGCCGGTGTTGTGGCTGCAGAGCGACGTGCCTACAGCACAGAGGAAGCGCTTCACCCGGGTGGAGATGGCCAGGGTCCTGATGGAGAGGAACCAGTACAAGGAGAGGCTGATGGAGCTGCAGGAGGCGGTCAGATGGACGGAAATGATCAGGTAAGCCAGCAGGAATGGACGAGAAGATGAAGGACTCACGGGGGGAAAAAATGGAGGAATGCTTGTAGTTTTTCTGATTTGCGGGCAAAGACACTGAAGAAGATAATAAAGCAGCAGGCGTAATTACTTTGCATCTGTGGTTTGTTCATCTATTCAGCCAGAGAAAAAAAGTCAATGCAGCTGTAAATGTTATGAAATACGCTCACATTAAAGGACTCCATTACAATTAAATGGATGTTTACAAAAGTAAAAGCAAATTGTTCACATCAACGTCCTCAAAGTAAAAAGTACTCCCCATGCAGATCCTCTTTTGTAGAATGGTATATTCTGTTTTTATCAGTAACAATGATTAAACGGATTGTAAAAATCCAATTAAAAATCCAAAGTGCCGTTGCTTTCCACCACTGGTTACATAACGGCTGCATGCTGTCATGGTAGTGCGGACACAGTTTGATATTTAACTGATGACACGGAGTTCAGGCTTCATGGTTTGAAGCTGGTGCGTCTGTGGTGGTCTTGGTCTAAATGGTGTCTGATACCTCTCAGACGATCCCCTGGAGCATCTATGCAGGAGAAGACTTAAATCATTCTCTGTCAATATCAAATTTGTGTGTCATCCTACTCGGCCATGATTTGATCATGAGGTGCTGTTGCTATTTAATACTCTTTCCTGTTTCCCTCGCCTTGATCCTGAACACACCACCCAAAAAGAGGAAACACTACAATAGCTTGAAGTAGAACTGAAGGAACAGACTAGAGCGCCTTCTTGAGGATTCCGTTTGATTCTCCGTGAATTGTCTTTCTCGCTCTCTCAGGGCTTCAAAGGAGAACCCAGGTCTTCCAGAGAAGAAGAAATCCAGCCTTTGGCAGTTGTAAGCTCCTCTTTTTATTTCACTTCAGCTCTCAAATACCAACCAGAGTGCGATAGCTGTGGTATTCATGCATTTTTATTTTGCTTTTCTTTGTATTCCATGTTGTGTGGTTCTTTTCTCCAGGATGTAGGTACATTTTCGACATGGTGTCTCTTGCCTGGTTGTTTTCATCTTAACTCAGGAGAGCCAGTCAGGAACAGGTGGCTCTGATCTCAAATCTGAGCTGCTTTCCTGTCGTGTCTGTAATTACTTTTTAAAAATCTTTTTAAATGTTTTGTCTAAGCGACTAATGGGAACAATAAAACACTTCACATGGCTGCCACTCAAAGGGCTGCAATGTAATCGGGCGACTCTGCATCATCAATGCACTAAAGTGGCTTTGATTGTTAACAAAGTGTCTGATGGCATTACGGGAAGAACCGCACAGAGAAATAAAATCCTTTTCTGTTTTCTCTTTCTGTTTGATTTAGTGTCTTAACAAATTCTCACAAGTCTTGCTTTGAAATATCGCGACTCTTTACATTATCAAAATATACATTTTCACCCACGACGCTGAAAATCTTCAGTCATTTCAGAATAAGCGACACACGAGTGAGAGATGAACGTGGCCAGACACTGTTAACAACAATCGGAACAGTTTCTTCTAGTGGACGTATCGTGAAGTAAAAAGTATTGTTATTAGTCACTCGGATACAAAAACATGAAAAAAAACAAAAGAAAGGTGTAAACATCAGGCATGACGAAAGGTTTTTCTTTTCTTTAGATAACTAATTGGGAGAAATGCCCTTTGGAGCAACAAAATGCAAAAGACTTGATGTGTGTGATCTGCTCTCCTTGGTTGAGTTTGATGAGGAATGCCTCTGGTTTGGTTTAAGGAGACATTATCCGGGGCAGGTGTGTCCATAAGACGAGCAAAATCTGATCAAACCACCGTCTCTCCTGCCCTGTTTCTGTGTGTCCCTCTATGTTCTTCCTGATGTTGTGGCGTCTGTGTGCAGGAGGTGTGTTTGGGGGGAAGTGTGTTGATTTAGAACAAATATACTCACATAGATAAACTTAGCAGAGCCCTTTTCTTATAACTAAGTTACATGCTAGTAGTGTCTGCTGTATCTGAAACACGCTTAACACCTGTTGCTGTGCATAAACTGTCAACATAATGACGTGCGCGTGCTCTCAGTGGGAAGTTACGGGGAAATGAAAAGTGTCTGTCCAGTTTCCCCCCCTGTGTTGGCGACTAACGTCCTCGTTGGTGCACAATATTAACCCTGCACTCATGCATTGTGGGAGGGACGCTGCTCTGGTGCTTTGCTGTTTAGGAGACGTGCGTATCAATGTCTGCCTCTGGCACGGTGTGTTGGGACTTTTTGCAACCCTTACATGTTCTGCCGCTGGAGCTGCTGCTTGTGTCCATCCCTCTATATGTTTGTCTGTGTGCTTCTTCTTACCCCCCCCCCCCCCCTCCCCCATCCCACTTCCCCGCCCTTACACTTCCAGTTTCAGCCGTTTGTTTAGCTCGTCGGGCGGGGCGGCTAAGAAGCCGGCGTTGGAGGCCCCGGTGAACGTCAAGTACAATGCGCCCACCTCTCAGATCCAGCCGTCAGTCAAGAAGAGGAGCACCACCCTGCAGCAGCTGCCCAGCGACAAGAGCAAAGCCTTTGATTTCCTCAACGAGGAGTAAGTCGCTCGGGGGGGGAACGAGTGAAGGGACAGTTCAAAGTGTTTTGAAGTGGAGGTGTGTGACGTACGTATGCAGTCTGTGCATTGCATGCAGTAAAGGGCAGCCTGCATTGCCCCTCGTCCGGACGAACAGCCCGGAGCCCCCACTGTAGAGGGTGGCGGCAGTAAAACGTATTGTAGCCAACCTAAAAGAACTGCTGAACTATCCCTCTAAATCTCGAACATGTGTCCGTCTTTTATGCATCACACTTCTTAAAGTGCAAACTATTTTTGTTTGTGGTTTCTTTTCGACCCTGGACAAAAGTAGTTGAGCACATTTGGATGCATTAAAGTGCAGCAGTTCAGCACCAGGATAAGTTTTTTCACACACAGTTACTATCGAAGGTTGCTTACCAAACTCAAGCCACGGTTTGGTAGTTTGTTGAGCAGCAGTGTTGCATCAAAAGCTTTGACTCGGGTGTGAAGGGACCCTTGTGGGATTTTATTATTTGCGGAAAACGTCCAAAAATAGCCGTGTGTGTGTTTGTTGGTGAGCCGCTGTCGTGTCCCACAGAGTGGCCGCCGATAACGTGGTGTCCAGGCGGGAGCAGAAGAGGGCCCAGTACAAGCAGGTCAAAGCCCACGTCCAGAAGGAGGACGGCCGAGTGCAGGCTTACGGCTGGAGTCTGCCCAAGAAACACAAAGTAAGGAGATGAGCGCGGTCACAGGAGCCGACGTCCCCACTGCAGTTTGTCTGTAGGACTGTAATGTTGAGTAATGCATTTTTCAGGCGAACGGCGGTCAGACGGAGAGTAAGGTGAAGAATCTACCTGTTCCCGTCTTCCTCAGACCCCTGGATGAGAAAGATGCTTCTATGAAGGTACTCCTAGTTCAGTGTCTGAATGTATTTGTCAGCTGCTCCTCGAGTAGCTGCCCGCTCTCCTCTGGCTCGGTTCATCCCGTCAATTCTGGCCCGCGTCTCCTTGTATCTGACTGTGTGACTGTGCTGCAGCTGTGGTGTGCTGCGGGCGTGAACCTCTCCGGGGGTAAAACCAGAGACGGAGGTTCCATCGTCGGGGCCAGCGTGTTCTACAACGACGTGCCCGGACCAGAGAGCCCCACAAAGAAAATGGGATCTCAGAGCAGCCTGGATAAACTGGACCAGGACCTCAAGGTACACGCGCGCCCATGGCCATAAAGATAACCCCCTAGATGAATGCTAGCTCCTTCAAAGGCCACCTCCTTTTGTGCCTGGCTCCAGGAGCAGCAGAAGGAGCTGCGGCAGCACGACGAGTTGTCGTCGCTGGTTTGGATCTGCACGAGCACCGAGTCCACCACCACAGCCGTCGTCATCGACGCCAACCAGGCTGGCAACATCCTGGAGACCTTCTTTGTGTGCAACTCCCACGTGCTCTGCATCGCCAGTGTTCCAGGTCAGCGGACGAGTGCGCGGGTGTCCCGACGGGTCGCGTTTTTTTTTTTTTAACTAGCGACACCTGCGTGCAGCCGGCTCGCTCTGTGTTCAGCTTTTTTTTTTTTTTTTTTTGTTTAGGTGCAAGAGAGACGGACTACCCGGCGGGGGAGGAAGTGGCCCCGAGCGGCGTGGCGGGACCAGCGGGGGACGCCGGCTCGCCGTCGGCCCACAGCGGCTCGCCGTGTGGGGAGGGCGTGCTGGGAGGCATCACTGTCGTGGGCTGCGAAGCTGAGGGAGCAGCAGCCGTCCCTCAGACCGCAGGAGAGGACGGAGAAAGCGGTCAGACATGTTTGCTGTTTTTTTCTTTCCACCTGACTTTAGCGTGTGTTGTCTCGATCAGGGCAGCATTCCTCAGCATTGACCAAGCTTCTACGGTAGTGAGCCAAAGAACACGTCATCTCAAAATGCTATTTATTCAACAGTCTCATTGAAAACATGGCATTTGTTAACTTTTAACTACACCTTAATTTTAATTTTTGCGTTATCAGAGGAGGGAAAAATAATCTCTGCAATGTCACCCTGTGATGGAAAAATATTCTGCAGGAATATGAACAATACAGCATACAGAATTATTTTACTACATTATAAGTAATGAACCCACAATGTTGAAATTTGTGTCAAAGTGGCGCCCGGGTTACTAAGTGATGGTCCTCTCTACAGAATCCCGGCCGGCAGAGGAAGCCACAGAGGCGACCGAGGCGAGCGCCGGGCCTGCCGACCAAAGAGAGAGCCTGAGGGGAGCCTACACCGAACACGTCTTCACCGATCCACTGGGAGCTCAGCAGACAGCAGAGGCTCTGGCCAACTACTCGCAGAGGTAACGCCAGGAGGCCCCATGCTCTTACGCTTTAGTCTGTCCAATAAAACGACAAAACCCACGAGCAACAGCCTCAAATCACCATCAAAAATGTTTCCTGTTCATCATGAAACGTGTCCATATTTGTGTGATGGTAAATGAAACTTTTGATTCAAACCCCCCTGCTACATGGCTAGGTGAACTTTGCCCCCAGCTTCCACCTATCCTCTGAAAATGGGGTGTGATGTTGAAATGGCGAGAGACATGTGGATTCAACCTTGGATGAATATTCATTTCCTCGGATCGGATGCTTGTGATCCAAATATTTTTTTAGTTTGTGGCTTGACAGGGAACAAAAAAGTTTTACTTTTCCAATCTGATCTCCAAAGATTTTCCTTTTTTTATGTTAGCTAAACAATAACTTAAGATCGGAAATGCATTTTCTCACTCGCCTCTCAAGGCTCACTGAATGTGTTTGGACGCCGGATAAGAAATCTGGCACATACATCTTGCTAGCGGACAGACGTACTGAATCGGAGTCCCTAATAATGCGTCGTGTGTCCGATGACCAGGGAGTGCGATCTGTTGAAAGACGGCGTGAGTTCCAACCCCAACGCGGAGGAGCAGGACCTGATGAGGGAGGAGGCTCAGAAGATGAGCAGTGTGCTGCCCACCATGTGGCTGGGAGCACAGAACGGATGGTGAGTGTTACGCCCCGGGGGGGTTACGCACTGCACCCCAATTGAAGAAGAGCCGCTGATGGAATGAGACGTTTTGTGATTGCAGTGTGTACGTCCACTCCTCCGTGGCCCAGTGGAAGAGGTGTCTCCACTCGATAAAGCTGAAGGACTCCGTGCTCGGGATAGTGTGAGTGCGACGGATCCCTCTAATGCTGCTAATGATTTTTTTTGATTTGATTTGAAAGCTTTTATTTTGTCTTCCCCCAGGCATGTGAAGGGCCGTGTACTGGTGGGTCTCGCTGACGGCACTTTAGCCATTTTCCACAGAGGAGCAGGTAAGAGAGTCTCCAAAAGAAAAAAGTACAGTGTCGATCTGAATTGTCTGCAACCATAACCGTGTATCTCCTCCTCCTTTGTGTGTGGCAGACGGACAGTGGGATCTGACCAACTACCATCTGTTAGACTTGGGCCGGCCGCACCACGCCATCCGCTGCATGACTGTAGTGCACGACAAAGTGTGGTGTGGCTACAAGAACAAGATCTACGTGGTGCAGCCCAAAGCCATGAAGATGGAGGTAGGACCGTCTTACCACTAAAGCGTCTGCAAACGACGGGCGTTCTTTGATCCCCACAGGAAGGTGATGCTTTGTCCCCTCTTTGCAGAAGTCCTTTGACGCACACCCCCGTAAGGAAAGCCAGGTCCGTCAGCTGGCCTGGGACGGGGACGGCATCTGGGTGTCCATCCGACTGGACTCCACCCTCAGGCTTTTCCACGCTCACACCTTCCAGCACCTTCAGGACGTCGACATCGAGCCCTACGTCAGCAAGATGCTTGGTCAGTGCCGCGCTCTCTGCCACCAGATTCTCCCGGCAACAGGATGTCGTCAGGCGCAGACCGACTTTGGTGAACCACATCTGATTTTTTTTGCAGGTACGGGGAAACTGGGTTTCTCATTTGTGAGGATCACAGCGCTCATGGTGTCAAGTAACCGCCTTTGGATCGGCACTGGAAACGGAGTCATCATCTCCATCCCTTTAACAGAAAGTGAGTTTGGGAGCTACTCTGTAATCTTTCTTTTATAACGGAGATAAACTTCTGTTGGAAACACACATTCACACTGCAGTTTCTCTTAACCTGCATCACTCTACATTTTGTAGATTGTAATTCAAATGTCTGAAAAGTATGTGAAGGCATTGTTCCCTGTCAGAGAGGTGATACACTGACTATAGAGAAGTACCTCCTTCATCAGACTTGAGAAGTACCTCAAGTCTGATTGAGGACGCTTGGACGCTTGCAATCATTCAAATGAAACATGCAAAAAGATTATTGCACAACGTCCACAAAGAGTGCACATTACACATTGTCCTGAAGGTGGATTTTGCAGACTGGTTTTGTATCAGTCTCTTAGTCTCTCTCTCTCTCTCTCTCTCCTGCTCCGTTAGCGGCAAACAAAGTAACCAAGGCAGCGGCGAGCAACCATCCAGGAAGCGTGGTTCGTGTGTATGGCGACGACAGCAGTGACAAAGTGACTGCAGGGACATTTGTTCCATACTGCTCCATGGCTCACGCTCAGCTCTGTTTCCATGGTCACAGAGATGCTGTCAAGTTCTTCACCGCCGTACCAGGTAAACAAACCCAGCCCTTTGTTTATATTCCAGCGGTGTTGTTTTCCTCTTTCAGTCGGTAACACCGTACACTTGCAATATGTGGTGCGATTGGACAATCGGCAGTCCAACTAAGTAGGAAATGAAAGGACCAGTGTGCTCCTCATGCTAACAAAAGATGAATAATCAAAGCGCTGCCATCTGATAAAAAATACAGTGTGCAGATAAGATGAGAAGGTCTGTCCCAGATAAACACAATCTGGATCTCATTTGGTGTTATTCACACTTTGGCTCTCTGCTCTCAGGTCACGCAGTTCCATCCGCGTCCTGCGGAGCGGAGGCAGCCGGCGACAAGACGGCAGACGCCGCAACTCAGGAAGGAACCAAGTCCATGCTGGTGATGAGTGGAGGAGAAGGCTACATCGACTTCAGGATGGGTGAGTTTGCAACAGATGAAACCCTCTTTGCCGTCAGCGCAGCAGATCTAGAGGCACACGTGACGTCCCTCTGTGTGTCTTCAGGTGACGAGGACGCGGAGGAGAGCGAGCAGCCCCCCTTGAAGCTGCAGCCGCTCGCAGGTAAAGCCGAGCGCAGCCACCTCATCGTCTGGCAGGTCATGACCAGCGAGGACTGAACTGACCCCCCAGGACCCACTGAGGCCCTGATGCTCCTTTTCCTCCTGAACCGGCTGTCACGGACGGAGGAGTTCAGGTGGACGACTCTACAAGCAGAGGACAACTAGCACTTTCTTTCTTCCTGAACAATTCGAGTGAAACAAGCAGCAACTGGATTCGACCAGTGCAAACTAAATAAAAAAAAAAATCCATAATTTCTTATTTGTATCTTTAGAATATACATATTTTATGAATTTGAATTATTTTAATCTGTTATGATGCCTCTTTATCTTTTATTATTTAAGCTAAAGCTGGAAGCAGAACTCTTTGTTATGTTTGCTCACCAAATCCAATGCATTTTCCTCCTGGTTCCCTTCACTCATTTTAGGGGTTTTATGCTCATGTCGACTCCACGTCACACTAAATGAGAACAATCACGTGGGAGCTCCCCTGTTGCCCTTCAACAATGTAAGACTGTGGCAATTATTGCGGGAGCAATTGTCATTTTTATTTGGTTTTTCATCCTTTTGAAAACTTGGCTTTTGATTGTATGCAAGACAAAGTTAATCGAAATAGTCAAATGCAATACAGCTTCCCCTGGTTAATATTCAAGATGCAGGTCCTAGTACATCCCTCTCATGCAAGCTCTACCATTAACGTTTCAGTCACAGAGAAAAGCAATATTGAAATATGTCCTGCAATGTTCTTCTAATTTGTGGCTGCAAAAACAATGGCATTCATACTGCTGTGCTGCTGTGCTTCGTGCCTAATGCTAATTCGCAGAAGTTAGCTCGCTTAAGGCCAACGCTGACGTCGTTGTTAAGCTCAAGCACGGCCTCAGTGCCGCTAACGTGTCTGCCATTCTTTTTAAGTTAAGCCGGCTCTGTGACTCTGAGGTCCCGATGATGCATCGGAGGCACGAACTGCAGCCCAAATAACTCTGGGACAAAATCCAATTCTCATTAATAATCAAATGGAAAGCGGCGGCTTCTGCCAACAGGCGCTGGTCAGCCCGGCCTCCGCTGCAGGTGGTGGTTGTTGGTATTATGCAAGTATTTAATCCAATGTGATGGGAGGATGCTGTCGACCCACTGCTCTCAATCTACAAACCAGCTAGTAGACACTTTAGAAGAAACAAAAACAACGTTTTTGATTTACTCTGCTTTTCAGGTGTGACAAAGTATTTATTTTTCCTTCAAAGAATGTTGCTGCGCTTGCTACCAAAGTATAAAGACTTAACGATGGCTAGTTTTTCACCGGCTGAGAGGATAAGTGTCTCACTAATGTAGAGCAGCATGTGTGAGTCGGCCTCCATGAGGATGAAATGCACGTTTTCACAAAATCCCGTTTTATAGTTGAGATATATTTTTAGACTTTCATATCTGGGAATTAATGTATTTTCAGCAGAGAGCAGATTGTGCTGTGCCTGTCACGTTAACGGTCACAATTTGAACATAATTCGCGGCGCTGCCCCCCTTTAAGCCAGAACATCTTTATCTGGGGTTAATGTGTTTATCCTGATGGCAGAATGATGTTTTAAGTCCTTTTTCTTTCAGGCTGTACTCTCTGAGAACGGTGCACAAGCGGTTCACTCGGGTGTAAAATGAGACTGTAACTCTGGCCCTTGTGTACCAGCACACTGCACTGTGTGCTCTTTGTTTGGTCCTCCTTTGTATTGAACCGCGTCCGAGTGTGTGTGTGTGTGTGTGTGTGTGTCCTCTCCAAGAGAGGAGTGAGACGTTATTGCAGATTAGCCATTTCAGTATTTATTTACAATGATTGAGCCTTTGCAATTCCGAATGTATCTTTTGTAAATTGAATATATATGATTATATATGCTTGGGTTTACTGTTTCCATATGGTATGAATGTGTTTTCTGGGGGGAAGGGAGGGTCACTCAGCTATGCACTGTCTGTAAGGAGGTGGGGTTGTTTCATTTTCTGGTGTGATCAGTTTTGGGCGAACGCCTTCCTCCACAGGTCTGTCCGCCCTCTCATCTGCATATGGTGTCTTTAACCAGCGTCCTCTCTTCCAAGTGAGCACCATCTTGTTCTTCTTCTCTGGCCTTACATGTTTTTTCTAACGGTCAAATTAAAGCTTTTTTGTGAGCTTCCTTTGCTTGTAGTGTTTGTCTGCGTCAGTGACACACAGCTGGTCTTACGGTTCAAAGCTGAAGCTTTGTCTTTGACCTGAGGTCGGTCAACCAACCGAAAAAACACAAACCGGTTTATTATACATTCCATCAATGGGGTAAACCTTTATTTTTCTAAAGTAATGCAGTAAATTAAATCAAATGTTTGTCCTTGGCTCAGACCCATAATATGCATTTCGGTTTATTCTTCTGTAAAGTGGAAAATAAAAAAAATATAAAGCCAAGTGATCTATTTTAATGCAAAACAATCACACAGCCAAATTTAAACAAAATATATCCTTCCTTCATGGAGCCCCCCCCCCACCCAGACTCTACTCACTGTTTACCAGCACTAGGTGGCGTGCTTCCACTACACTTATAATAGCTGTTTTCCCCAGTGACCAGTGGAAGGACATACGCGCCCCGCCCCGGCCTGTGATTGGCCCACAGCCGTTCTATTCTCGGCCTCGGTTTCAGCCCCCTGAATGAGGCTGAACTGGTGCTTAGCAGGCTGAGAGATTGATGGAGGCTTTAATCTCTTCACAAGCTCTCAGGAGAACACCTGGCCGTCATGGATCACAGCCACGATAGTGGAGCAGCAGGTTAAGTAGTGGATGTACACAACGGGCCAACAATAAACATGGCATGTTTACTTTACATTACATTACATGTCATTTAGCTGACGCTTTTATCCAAAGCGACGTACAATAAGTGCATTCAACCATAGGGTACAAACTCAGGAGAACAAGAAACAAGAAAGTGCAATTTCCTCAAATAAGCGAATTTACAATTTGCTATAGATGAGTGACGTCACAAGTACAATTTAAGTGCTACAATTTGTTAGTCTTTAGTCGAGGTAGAGTCTGAAGAGGTGTGTCTTTAGTTTGCGGCGGAAGATGTGAAGGCTCTCTGCGGTCCTGGTGTCTTCAGAGAGCGCGTTCCACCATTTCGGCGCAAGGACAGCGAAGAGTCGAGACCTAGTCGAGTGTTTTGCTCTCAGTGAGGGAGGGACGAGTAGTTTTGCAGATGCAGAGCGGAGAGTGCGGGTTCCTATTTTAATGTAGTGGTGAAACATTAAAAAGTGGTGAAACATTAAAAAATATTTAAATGTTAAAGGTACTGAATAAAAAAAATGAGAAATACATCATTGCAATATCGCTTCCGCGCTGCTATCAGATTGAACAAAGGCTCTGCTGAGAATAACGCTACTGTAAACAGGTTCTTTATTGTGCTATTTTCAAACTCCAGAATCAAAGTACTGATACTTGCGGCACTCGGCCAGAACAGTGTTATGCCTGTGCTCTGAAATGTCTTTTAATATGGAATTAATGATATTACATCCATTTCAACCAATACATAAAACTGTCTGAATTAATGGTCACAGGATCCAGTCTGCCGGGTTGCAGCACCATGTTACAGTCTGTTCTGACAGCCAGATGGTGGTTTAGAGGTCGGGGGGTTATCCAGGTCTCACCATAACATCTTGTTCCTGTTGTGGAACTACTTCCAATAATGCTCCAGGTTAACAGACCCACTAATGCCGCTGCAACTGTGTTTACAGCAACGCCAAGCTGCTCGGATGTAAAATCCTGCAAACATGCTGTAAAAAATCAGACTGTGTGTTTGTGAACGCAATTCTTTCACATTTCACTAAAAGTCACACGGCTGTAATGAGGGGAAAACGCAGTCTTTGCAGAATGCCCCTCTTCTCTCCTGGAGGAGGCAGAAGTCATTGAAGTGGAAAACCGCTGTCGGAGGAAATTCACCCTCCATGTGTAACTCGCAAATGCAGACGCACTCCTGAAGAGGCACGACACGCACCTTCTATGTGAGCGTGTCTACCCGACCTGTCGCCTGCTCTGTCATCTCAGCAGTCGTCCCTGGTGCAGGATAAACACACAGCAGGAGTCCCTTCCAAATCATTCACACACATCTATTTCTGTCCTCTCATCATTTTGCATCACTTTTCACACACACTACGCTCTTTGTCGTCCCTTTAGTCTCAAAACTAGAAATCGGTTGGTTTTGTAGTAACTTGACACTAGCCGCAAAAACTGAACTCGGTTCTTTCTGTAGTGCCGTGGCAGCAAGCCTTAAAAACAGGGGTCCTGGAAAATGATATATATAATATAAAATGGGGTCGCTCATCAGCAAAGAACGGGAGGATGAGAGCTTGGAAGGAGATGAGACATTTATGAAGATGGTAGAGAGGTGGAAAGATCAATATGGGTTTGACGGGAAGTTGACGGTTGCAAAATTTCATCTTCAGACGGGTTAAAATCAGGCAGAGATGCAAGGGAAGAAAAAAGAAATAGTAGACTGAACTGTTTTTGGTTTTATCGCATGAGGAACACGTTCGAGGGAATCCTGGACTGGACTCCTCTTCGCCACCAGCTGTGATCTCCCTCGGTACCGCCAACCTCCCACCACACCAAGGATGAAGAAGAAGGACCAACAACTACAGCCCCATCAATGAACATTACAAAATCTCACATGATCTGAACGACAGGAGTCTGACGAGCAAAGAAACCAGGACTCATTTGGCGAGTCTGAAGATCCACAGAATTAAAGAGAACTTTTACTCCTTTAGACGTTGTCATGAAAAGAGTAAACGAGCCCCGACGGAAGCAGCAGAGAAGTTGTACCCGAGACGAAGAAAGAAGAGACATTAATGGGCAAGGACCTTTGAAACACACCAGTTGAGAACGTTGTGTGAGATCACTATGGCAACATGGACATTGAAGCCGAGGAGGGAGGGCTCACCTCGGGTCACTGCAGGACAATTTTATTGTCTCAAAAGTGAGCTCTTGTTTGTGATTACATCAAATAAAGTTTGATGTAGCTCAAAAAAGATGAACTCTACTTCATCACAGTGTTCGAGTCGCTCGGCCAATGAAACACATACACACAGCGCACACACGGCAGGGCCTGCTCGAAAACAAAGGGCCGTCACACCCCCCTTCATAAAATCTGGGTTCCAACCCCAGAACCCAACATATTCTTTTTTACTGATCCTAACCAACGACCCCCCCTTCAACCGAGCGATAGACAGGGCACGCGACTGGTCGCCAGTAAATTGCAGCGCTGATATAGAGACAAAAAACTCTTCACGCTCACACACCTATGGGCAATTTAAAGTCACCAATTGACCGAACCCCCAGAGCAGGCCTTTGGACTGTGGAAGGAGTCCTGAAGAGAACCCATGCTGACACGGGGAGAACATTCTCCACACAGAAAGGCTGCAAGGCTGCAGAACCAGGACCTTCTTGCTGCAGGGCGACTGTGCTAACCAACATACTGCCCTGATTTAAGTAAAGGCTAAATGTTGCCATACTATAATATATTCTAAAATGTTTAAAAAAGGAGGATGGTAAGTAGTATTATGGTACATTATGTCAAGAAATTGAATTGTATAGCAAAGAAGAAAACAATACATGTGAAACACATTGTTTAGTATAGTATAAAAAGAAAAAATATAACAAGTACGGTATGGGGATAAAGGATTCACGTTAAGCAACAACAATCCATGACTGAGAGATTTTCTTGACTGTAGGTTTCCTTCATGCCATTTCATCCGAAAAAACTTGTTATGCAGATGATACTCACATGCGTCAAGCTAAACTAAACTGACTAGCTAAACTTCGAGCAGGTCTGCTACTTCCTGAGGTCTTGTTCAGACAAGAGGTCATTAATTGTCGAGTTGTTTCTCTAGATGGCATGGCTCTGGTATCCAGCGGCATCATAAATAAAATAATAAAATATATAATCAGGTGTCCTTTAACTTCCTGATGAAGCTGAAGACCTTTTTTTACCTATGAAATTGAGGCACTTCTAGTTCTTAAAACGGCCACTCAAAGTCTCTTAAGTCGCTGCATCACAATGTACAGTGCATCCGCAAAGTATTCACAGCGCTTCACTTTTTCCACATTTTGTTATGTTACAGCCTTATTCCAAAATGGATTAAATTCATTATTTCCCTCAACATTCTACACACAACAACCCATAATGACAAAGTGAAAACTAATTTTTGCAAATTTTTGCAAATCTTTTAAAAATAAAGAACGAAAACATAACATGTACATACGTATTCACAGTCTTTGCTCAATACTTTGTTGAAGCACCTTTGGCAGCAAGTTCAGCCTCAAGTCTTCTTGGGTATGATTCCACAAGCGTGGCACACCTATTTCTGGGCAGTTTCTCCCATTCTTCTTTGCCGAACCTCTCAAGTTCCGAGTTCAAGTTTGGTGCACAGCCATTTTCAGATCTCTCCAGAGATGTTCAATCGGGTTCAAGTCAGGGCTCTGGCTGGGCCCCTCAAGGACATTTACAGAGTCCCGAAGCCACTCCTTTGTTATCTTGGCTGTGTGCTTCGGGTCGTTGTCCTTTCGGAAGATGAACCGTCGCCCCAGTCTGAGGTCCAGAGCGCTTTGGAGCATGTTTTCATCGAGGATGTCTCTGTACATTGCTGCATTCATCTTTCCCTCAATCCTGACTAGTCTCCCAGTTCCTCCCGCTGAAAAACATCCCCACAGCATGATGCTGCCACCACCATGGGGCGACTGTGGGTGAGTGGGGAGCACGGTCGTCCTCCAATCAGAGGGTTGTCGGTTCGATCCCAGGCCAACCCGCATGTCGTTGTGTCCTTTGGCAAGACACTTAACCCAACATTGCTCCTGTAGCTGCGACTACAGTGTGTGAATGGTAGTTACTGATGGCAGGTGTCACTGTGTATGGTTCTCCTGTCATCAGTGTATGAATGGGGGTGAATGATGTCATGTAGTGTTAAAGCGCTTTGAGTGGTCAGAAGACTAGAAAAGCTCTATACAAGTACAGGCCATTTACCATGCTTCACTGTAGGGATGGTATTGGCCAGGTGAGGAGCAGTGCCTGGTTTCCTCCAGACATGACGCTTGGCATTCAGGCCAAAGAGTTCAATCTTTGTTTCATCAGACCAGAGAATTTTGTTTCTCATGGTCTGAGAGTCCTCCAGGCGGGCTGTCACGTGCTTTTTACTGAGGAGTGGCTTCCGTCTGGCCACTCTACCAAACAGGCCTGATTTGTGGAGTGCTGCAGAGATGGTTGTCCTTCTGGAAGGTTCTCCTCTCTTCATAGAACAATGCCGGTCACCTCCCTGACTAAGGCCCTTCTCCCCAGATTGCTTTGTCTGGCTGGGCGGCAGACTCTAGGAAGAGTCCCAGTGGTTCCAAACTTCCATTTCCGGATGACTGAGGCCACTGGGCTCATTGGGACTTTCAAAGCTGCAGAAATCTTTCTGTACCCTTCGCCAGATCTGTGCCTCGATACAATTCTGTCTCGGCGGCCTACAGATAATTCCTTGGACTTCATGGCTTGTTTATGCTCTGATGCACTGTCAACTGATACCTTATATAGACAGGTGTGTGCCTTTTAATTTAGCACAAATGGACTCCAATCAAGTTGTAGAAACATCACAAGGATGATCAGTGGAAACAGGATGCACCAGAGCTAAATTTTGAGTGTCATGGCAAAAGCTGTGAATACTTTCGTTCTTTATTTAACAGATTTGCAAAAAACTGTTTTCACTTTGTCATTATGGGTAGTTGTGTCTAGAATGTTGAAGAAAATGAATTTAATCCATTTTGGAATAAGGCTGTAACATAAAACACAGGAAAAGTGAAGCGCTGTGAATACTTTCCGGATGCACTGTAATTAGAACTGAGGAAAGGGATCCAATTACTTCCTGAATTAGTGTCAGTCGAGGGGGCAGAGAGTCACCTCATTTAACACTAGGCTCAAGACGCCTTGGAGATCTCGTCAGCCCCAGGTAACTTGCTACAAGTCTAGACTGCCTAGGATTCAAAGAGCCCATTCCATTCAACACAAGTTCATGGCCAATCATTGAGTCACAAAGTCTACTTCTTTGCTTTTGCACAACACTACAAACAGGGAAACTGCAATTTCAGGGACAGTTTTATTTAACACCAGAGATTAAAAGTAGGTACAAGCCAAAATGTCTTAAGAGGAACTATTGCCCAGAGTGCTGTTGCGGCCTTTAAAGTCGTCGCCCAGAGTGCCGTCCTTTTGGATTTCGTAGTCATAGTCGCCCACTGTGCCGTTGTTGCCGCTGGGGTAGCCGCCGTCTCCCAGAGTGCCATTGTTGCCGCCTGCGGAGTAGTCACCCACTGTGCCGTTTTGGACTTCGTAGTCATCGTTGCCCAGGGTGGCGTTTTGGCCTGCAGAGTCGTTGCCCACGGTGGCGTTTTGGCCTGCAGAGTCGTCGTCGCCCACGGTGGCGTTTTGGCCTGCAGAGTCGTCGTCGCCCACGGTGGCGTTTTGGCCTGCAGAGTCGTCGTCGGCCAGAGTCCAGTAGTTGCCGCCTGCGGCGTCGTTGCCCTTTGTGCCATTTTGGACTTCGTAGTCATAGTCGCCCACTGTGCAGTTGCTGCCGCTGGGGTAGCCGTCGTCTCCCAGAGTGCCGTTGTTGCCACCTGCGGCGTCGCCCACTGTGCCATTTTGGACATCGTCGTCATCCTCGCCCACTGTGCTGTTGTTACCACCAGGGTAGTCATCGTCCCAAACAGTGCTGTTTTGGCCCGCCGAGTAGTCGCTCACAGTGCCGTTCTGGCCTGTGCTGCTGCTGCCCTTGTCGCCCTGCGCCTTTTCAACAATATGCAGGTAGACAGCTGATGTCGCCACTTCCACTTGATTGGTTTCCAGTTGGACTGAAGTGAAGACATTAAAATGAATGAAATCAAAGTACCATGAGCCAGACACAGCCTCTATGAGACGTAAATACCACATAATGTCATCAAGAACCAGAGCCGTACACAAACAGCAAGTAGCGTTAAGCAGAAGTTGCTCACCTTCTTTAGACTTCCTCAGCAACACAGACTCAAGTGAATGCTGAAGTGTAAGGGCCTTCTTCATGGAGGAGTCATTAGGAGATAGATCTATAGTAAAGTTACAAAAATGAGTGTCATTAACAAACCTCATGAAATATGTAGTCACCAATATTCTTACCTCTCATTGTCCTCTGCTGCCCATTACCACTCATTTCATTCTTGCCACCAACCGGCAAACCAGAGCCTGCAGATAAAGAAGTTGCTTTTCATCAAACATTACTTCATCACCCCTACATTTACTATACTCCACCGCAAAGTTCTTGAATTGAAGTCTCCAACGGGACATAGAGAAATACCTTTGGTAAACCAGACAGTCAGCACAGGAACAAGCAAGGCCCAAAACACTCCCATTACTTCGGTCACCAACAGAAAATGCAACCTGAGTCACGTCGCAGGTAAATATACCCATCTGCAGGTGTCACAGGAGTAGCTGATCAGCCCTGATTGGCTGGCTCTTCACAAAGTCAGTGCTAGTTGACATCCAGCCCTTCTTTTGACAAACATTTGACAATATATCTGATCTTAAAACTCTGTTGCATTTATGTAATTTAGATCGTAACCGGCTTCGTTCAAATGCCTTTCATCAAGTCTTTGAATGGGGAATTGTCATAGCAGGTTCTGTTTAGAGAAGTTGAATATCACATAATTAATTAACCACATTTTTTGGAAACCAATCAACTGGCATCAGCTCACCACCTTAATGTTGTAAAAAAGATGCATGAAGGAGGCAATGGCACTGTTGAAGACTACATAGGCCAACTTGGCGCTGGGGGCAACGACGGCAGTTGTGACGATCTCAAAACTGACCACAATGGGGCCTGTGGCAGTTGGCGACGTAAGCGAGCACACTTTCACTGCCGCACAGATGGTCTACTAACAAGTGTGGTATAAGTTTCAAGAATAATCACATGTTCCTCAAAGATGTATCTCTGCTTTAAATAAAATGTCTTACTTCTATATTGATGTCTCCATCTCTCCTCGGTGTGGACCTCGTGCAGGGTTGCCAGGTCTGTGTGACAAAACCAGCCCAATGGCCAATCCAGCCAGGTTAAGCTCCTCATCCTGTACTTTAATTCAATTACATGTTTTAATAATTTCAAAATTCAAAACTATGGTCTTCACTAATAGCCTCCTGCTTACCCAAGCAAAGCACACACATGTCTGGCATCATTATAACAGCGTCATATTTAGTTTATGTAACCACAATAACACTAAATCACAGACCTATCTCTAATCTTCCCTTCCTCTCTAAGATCCTTGAGAAATCTGTCACAAATCAATTATGTGACTTTCTACAAAACAATGCTTTGTTCGAGGATTTCCAGTCAGGATTTCGAGTGCATCATTGTACAGCACTGGTGAAAATTATGAGTGATCTTCTACTTGCTTCGGACCAAGGACTCCTGTTATCCTGTTGCAGAGACTAGAACATTTAATTGGTATCAAAGGAACTGCACTCAGCTGGTTTAAATCCTACTTATCGGATCGATCCCAGTTTGTGCTTGTAAACGGTGAATCCTCAAAGACCACCAATGTTGGTCACGAAGTCCCACAAGGTTCTGTACTTGGAGCGAATTTATTTACCCTCTATATGTTTCCTTTGGGCGATCTTATCAGGAAACACCGCATAAACTTCCATTGTTATGCAGACGATACTCAACTGTTTCTGTCGATCAAACCAGAAGAGACCCACCAGCTAGTTGACTTCAAGAATGTCTTGGAGACATCAAAACTTGGATGACCGCCAACTTCCTGATGCTAAACTCAAAAAAAAAGAAGTTATCTTGATAGGCCCAGAGCGCCTTCGAAGCCAGCTGTCACGTGATACAGTTTTTATGAATGGAATTGCTCTGGTACCCAGCAGCACCATCAACATATCAAAAATCAGGAACTCCCTGTCTCAAAGTGATGCAGAATCATTAGTTCATGCGTTTGTCACTTCCAGACTGGACTACTGTAATTCTTTGTTATCAGGCTGCTCTTGTAAATCTCTTAAGCCTCTCCAGTTGATTCAGAATGCTGCAGCACGTGTATTAACAAGAACTAAGAAAAGGGATCATATCACTCCTGTATTAACTTCTCTGCACTGGCTCCCTGTTAAATCAAGAATAGATTTTAAGGTACTTAAAACTTCCTCACCTACAAGGCACTTGCTGGTGAGGCACCGTCGTATTTTAAAGAGCTTGTAACACCTTATTGCCCGACAAGGCAGCTGCGCTCCATAGATGCTGGGTTACTTGTTGTTCCTATGGTTTTAAAAAGTAGGCTGGGGGCCAGAGCCTTCAGTTATCAAGCTCCTATTTTGTGGAACCAGCTTCCACTTTCAGGGGGGCAGATTCGGTCCGCTCTTTTAAAGTAAAACTTAAAACTTTCCTCTTTGATTCTGCGTATAGTTAGGGCTGGCTCAGGTTGGCCCGGACCAGCCCTTAGTTAAGCTGCTATAGGCTTCGACTGCCGGGGGACTTCTTAGGACACACCGAGCTCCTCTCTCACTTTCTCGTTCTACAATAATTCACGTTTTATTAATGCACATGACCAATTCAGCTTCTTTCCGGGAGTTTTGTGTGCTTTCTCACCTAGCAGGTCTACGTAGATCGTGGTTCCTTCTGGACCCTGGTCCTGACACCTGCCGTGGCCCTGCTGACGCCTGCTGCTGCCATCGTCATCATCATTATTATTTTAGATATTAATCATATTACTGTACTCGTAAACCAACATTACCCCCTCCTAAAGTCTTTGTCTCCCTCTCCACAGGCTTCTGTAGATGGTGGTTCTATCTGATTGTGGTTCTATGTGATGGTGGTTCTATCTGATGGTGGTTGCCCCTGCAGTAGTCCTTCTGTGCGCCTGGCTTACTACTCACAATTACTTGAATAATTTCTGTCATAGGAATTGCATGTATTATACATTGTTCATTCTGTACACATGGCATCCATTGTAGTTTGTCCATCCCGGGAGTGGGATCCCTCCTCTGACGTTCTCGCTAAGGTTTCTTCCCTTTTTTCCCCTCTTGGAAGGTTTTTTTTTATTTTTTGGGGAGTTTTTCCTGTGCCGATGGTGGGTTCGGGACAGAGGATGTCGTATGTGTACAGACTGTAAAGCCCTCTGAGGCAAATTTGTAATTTGCGATTTTGGGCTATACAAAATAAAATGAATTGAATTGAATTGAATTAAATCATGTGTTCCCCATTTCATAATGAATATGACAAAATTCAGCTTCATAAAAAAACCTCAATCAGAGGTTAAAATATAAATAAGTGACATTTGACGTAACGTTTTGGTGAGCAGGCATGGATCGGTCCCTTGTTAAAGTCATATGAGCTGATGAAATGAAAGGACAAAAGGTGAGGATGGGAAAGAGGAGTATTTTGAGAAGCGGAGCCAGTGGGCAGGATGAGTCACCTCGCCCTCCCAAACGCACTGGGCTCAATGGGGTCTTGTGCAGCCTGCAGACATACACACTTTCATCAAGGGACAGGTGCGCACACTTTAACATACAAAGGGTTGCTATTAACCTGACAGCTACACAAAGTGCTGCTGTGGCGCTCCCCCAAGTCCCCATTAGCACTGTGTCCAAATGTAATCTAGTGACGCACAACATGACCATGAAGCACGAATATATTCTGCCCAAGTCCCTTTTGATTTGAAAAAATGAGCCTCTCGCGCTCTTGTAGGTTTCATTATCAGCCCCATTAAACCGTGAATAGCATTCGGATGAGTCTAATCCCCGGGGCGAATTTCTGCCTGACAGTCATACAACACGCACAAAGGGCAGGCAGAACCCCCCCCCCCACCCCCCCACCCTCTTTCAATCAGCAGCATCACATCACATGTAGTTCCGGCAAAGTTAAGGCGAACCCGAGCTCAGCCCTGTCACTGATGTATCCACTCATCACAACCTTTGGACGTCGTCACACCATGGAGCTGTTCCCCGACCCGTCCTGCAGCACCGGACGCTGCGTCAGATGCCCTTCGTGACGCCTGGCTTTGAAGCAGTTACGGTTCGTGGTGGAAACTTGCCCTCAAGGCCTCTCTGAGGATGGTGTGGGCTTTTCTATTCTTTGCCCCCACTCCAAGGTGAGGCTGCAGCCTGCAGGGAGCACTACTGTGTTTCAATTGAAGGGAGGAAAACAAGCTCTCTCTTTAACTTCAGCCCTGCAGTGCCTGGAGACACACATCCTGCGTGTGAGTGTGTATGTGTGCACCCGGCCCTCCAGTCTGGCCCTTTGCTCCCCATCCTCCCGCCCACCGCTTCAACTTCCCGTGTCCTTGTTTGGTCTCCTTCTGTGCATGAAGAATTTGTGGTAGATATTTCTATATATTACAGTAAAAGCTCAGGACGAGGTGAATAAGGATCCAATCAATCACTCAAACAGACTTTAGCAGCAAACTTACTGTGATTGACAGGCCAGAGTTGCATTGGGTTTCTCTACGTCCCTCCTCTGCATTCCAAAATTTGGTAACTTTCGCCTGCAAAAATGACAAGATGGCAAAGGTTGTGTTCCATGGTGGCGATGACAAAATTGCCAAACTTAAGGCTTCATAATGGAAGTACACAAACCAACGGACAAACAACCACACTAATGGTTTTGCTTCTTATTATCTTTTAAATAAAAAAGTGGTTGGTCCCTCAACTCATATTCCAGTCAGCACTCAGACAGTAACAATGGCCCCCTCATACACAGAGGAGAATGTTGTGGACACATATCAGTTATCTGGGTATCCTCTGTCCTCACCCGAACCTGAGGAATATTAGGAAAATCCCTTCAGACCGGTAACTGATGGTAACCTATACATTACATTACATGTCATTTAGCTGCCGCTTTTATCCAAAGCGACTTACAATAAGATACAAACTAAGAAACAAGAAAGTGTATGTTCATTAAATAAGCCGATTTACAACTTGCTGTATATAGAGCCATTACAAGTACAATTTAAGTGCTACAATTTGTGAGTGTTTTTAGGTATAATCTGAAGATACCTCTTAAAATAAACCTTATAGGCACATTATAAACTACGGGAGATCAGAACGACTGCTGAATAGTTTTTCCCAAAGTTGAAAACAAAAAACATTGTTCAGCATGTCTTTTCAGATATTGAAGGGTTGTATGAATTATGTCTCTATTGTCCATGGAGATAAAGATGTAATTCATTTAGAACTGTAGATACTTGAAAACAAGTAAAGCAAAATCTGATGTCTCCTAGTATGAGCGTCCGCAGGGTGCTGAGCACCAGCATCTGAGCCTGCGGATAGACAAGGCAAGGACAGCGAGGAGGTCATCCGCGTGGAGTTCGGACAATAGATCCAGAATGTCCAGTTGTTTGTTTACTTGCTAAGTCGCAGTGATGCCTTACTTAACTGGTTGGGCAATG